ATCATCATCATCATTATCATCATCATCATCATCACCATTACTATCTCATCAATTGATAATGAATAACACATCATTATCATCATCGTCATCGTCGTCGTCGTCATCATCATCATCATCATCATCATCATCATCATCATCATCATCATCATCATCTGTCACACACTTACACTATCACACACTGACACAAACTGTCACACAAAAAACTATTAACGAAAGTCAAACACGAGCCGCCTGACGCCTCAGGATGATGGATTTTTGGGTCTCCCAACATGTTGTAAATGTAAATATTTTTTACATATTGTAAAACAACGTCTGATGGACATTTTAAAGCACGAGTGTGGAAAAACTCCATTTGCAATGTTGTAAACGAATTTTAGGTGTCAGAAAAGGCACGCCAAATTTTATGATCTATGTAGAGATTGGCAAATTGCCTTTGTCTATTGAAGTTGTGTGTGTATTAATATGTTTGGAAAGGGCTTTATATAAGTTGTAAAAGGTCTTGTGCCCAATTCTATTGATACTTATGTGCAAAAATGTATTTTTAAATAAAAAATCAAATCAAATCAAAAGGGGTCCGAAACTAATCGACGTCAAGGATAGTTTAAGACGCTGACCAGTGACATGTATTTTTTATATCTCTATTGTGATCTGTTATGTTCATATTCACTACGCATGTGTAGTTGAATTTTGCTAAATTGTTTCGAATTTCTGTGTTATTTTTATGTGTTTTGTTGCAACTCGATCCTCCGAGATGATTTATGTTTTCAATGTTTTAATTATTGGTAATGTTAGAAATACAGGTATAGCAGATTAGTTATGAAAAATAGATCCTTGCATGTATATTTATAAACTACATGTACATAACAATTACATTGCTAGTTTAGAAATAAGAATTGTGCAAGAAATTCCCCCGATTTCTGACATGTAATTGCCATGGTTACCAACTCAAAAAAATAAAATGCTAAAAATGCAAAAATGGTACTAATTCCAACCTAACATTATACATTTGTAGAAGAAATTAATTTCTGAACACCTGTCTTAAAATCAACAACACCGCCATGGTGAAAAGTTCTTACATTTCAGCAAATTCCAACTCGGAACGCCTTCACAACATAACCACTTGCAAACACTAAGGAAATTAAATTTCCTGTAGAGCCATTTTTTAGTGTTGAAGACACAGACTCGAGACTGCCTAAATGATAATCTCCAACGCAATGCAAAAATATTGTTCTGAAAAAAAAAAAAAAAATTACCCATAGCTACATTGAGAAGCTGCCCGATCCTATAAATCGTCTTTCGGTCTTGCGCGGCGCAGTACTTTATGTAAAAAAAACAAACAAACAAACAAACAAAAACAATATATTTTTTGGCCGTTTTTGGTCCATTTGAAACGACCATATTTTAACGATGGTAGTTTAAAAAACAACCTATTTACACTAAGAGCATTTTAAGGCCCACATTCTAAATATAAACCGCCCGATTTTCTATCCTATCCTGTAAATCGTCTTTCGGTCCTGTGCGGCACATTACGTTATGTGAAAAAATAAAAAATAAAAACAAAACAAAACCACAATATCTTTATTGGTTGTTTTTGTTCCATATGAAACTACAATATTTTTACTATGGTAATTTTAGAAACAAAATATTTACACTAAGAGCATTTTATTGTCCAAATCCTTCATATAAACCGTCCGATTTTCTGCCCGATTTCTGTCCGATTCTGCCCGATCATGTAAATCGTCTTTCGCGACACAGTACGTTAGTGAAGAAAATACAATATCTGTTTTGCTTTGGTCCATATGAAGCTGTAATATTTTATATGCGGTCTATAAGAAACAAAATAATTACACCAAAAAACAACGTAATACCCTAATTTTATACTGGATTCCGCCCGATCATGTTTTTCGGTATTGCGTGGCACAGTACGTTATGCCAGGGACGTATAATACAGAAACGTCCCTGGTTATGCGAAAACAAAAATAGAATATTTTTGCCATTTTTTGATAATATGAACCTATAATATTTAAACTATGGTCATTTAAAACCAAACTAATTACACTAAAACAATCTAATGCCCAAAATCAACATTTTAACAGCGCGATTCTACCGGAACCTGTAAATCGTCTTTCGGTCGTGCGCGACCAAAACAAATATTGGTGTTTTTGTATTTGTGTAGTACGTCTCCGTTTATCCTTGAAAAACTGTTTATAATGTTTAACGCATTTTGGCATTAAAACAAAAGAAATTCATGTAAATCATTAAAACAGAGCGATTTCGCCTCGATTCTGCCCGATCCTGCCCATTCCTGTAAATTGTCAAACCCCAAAAGAACTGTTTCCTGCCACCGATTTTTCACATCTTAAAATAGATCGGATTTCCCAAACATTAGTGTTCCGCCTGATGAAAAAAATTGTGTAAATCAACATTTGTGGTACGTGATAGACCATAAGATATAACGACTAGTCCTTCAAAATGTGTTATAGTGTAGGCAAACTGCACGCTGTAATTCAGGTAAGCAGAATGTTGACTAGTCTATATTTAGACAACTTCTACGAATGAAAAAGACTGAGGCTAGCGGGATTTTCTAAGAATAGTGTTCAATCTGGACGTGATGTCATAATAATGTGTTTAACTCGCGCTGCAACGCATCATTACGTGGGCATGTATCACTGAATGGTTTGACGAAATGACTTACAGTGTATATAATACGAGTATGCGTGCTTTAGTACTCAAGTACTGTCAATGATACGGGCTGATGTTATATATACAAACTCGTTTACCCATGGCATAGGTACTCCGAAGTCTGGTAAGATGAGAATCGTAGAAAACAAGAATCAGTTTGTTGATTGAAAGAATACACACACTTCATCTAAGATTGTTTGAGACCAGAACAACATCTTTAAGTGCCATGACCTACAATTGAGCTTCCTTGAAGGACATATTCAATAAGGGATAGGTAATTGTGTTAAACAAACAGGGTATATATAGTGTTGAATACAGTCTCTGTAGCTTAGGTGGTGAAGCATGCTTCTTTGGCTTAGTTGTTAGAGTTGGTCTATTACCACACAAAAGGCACAGATGTGATTCCTCGTGAATTCACTTGATGCACAGGAATGTGTTTTCCCTGTTTGTTCACACATGTTTATCTCTTTGTAAATCTTCAGCAAAGAAATTTGATTGTGCTAACTTTTGTGACAAACAAATTCTCGATCTTTTGATATGTTTAAAAGAAAATGTTTGTGTTCTTTATGACCGAAACATACTGGCCAAAACTCCCTACATAGGATTTAAACTCCTGATTTTTAACCCCTGAGATTCATACTTGCTATAATTCTCATGAGGGAGAAAGATAGGATTAACTTGAATAATTGACAATAATTAGGTAATTAGGCTGTGTACTCACTTAGCTAGGCCTTGATTATGTGGCCAGGTGGTCAGCCTTACTGATTTGACAAATGTGGCAAGGTGACTTGTGACCTGCCTAGTGGTATCTCTGAAATCCATACAAGTGGGAGGCAGTGCTGGGAAAAGAAAATCATGAAACTCCCTTCTGAATCGGGAAGTTGGCAGGTATGGATATTGACATTTTCAACCTAAAAATAACTAGCTAAGCTTCTAGTGATTTTTTAAGACCCAGCAATTTTATTTGAATGAACAACAACATGATGCTACCCACATGTGTTACTTACTGGAGGGTATATGTACACCCATTTTATTTATGCTTTTAGTTTTGAGCCTGTAAAATTAAAGCTCCTCACCGAAAACTTTAAAAAAGGTTAAAGTATGAATGAGTTCTCAAAATTTCAGTGAGTCACACAGGAAAAGCCTTAGGGCAGGACTAAAATATTTGAGTCCCTAAAGTCATTGACCACCCTATATTTTATACCACTTTTAGCCAGAACTATGGAGAATGAAGAGTAATTTTCATTATGACATGTAATTTTCAGGTGTTTTAATTTATTAGTATTATTTTTGTTATGAAAAGGAGATTCGCTCTCACTGAATGTGAAATGGCTCTGGTCAAGCCAGTCAGTGCCAAGACCACATTAACACAATGTGAAAGTGAATAGAAACTAAGTAAGTAAGATTAAATAGTGACTGAGCAGAGGGGTGCTAAAATGATTTCTGTCATAAACAAATACAAACTAATGGCAGAAAAGTCTCAACTGTGCCTAGTTTCTTATTCTTCAGTATCAACACCACTGGTAAATAGGTAGGGTCTAACTGCTATATACTGCTTGATTAATGAGGACCTGTCTTTAACATAACTGGTAGATTTTAGATGAATAAGTCTGAAGTTCCAGGCTGGGTCTAATCCCTAGTTATTGATAAATTAGTAACTTCTGTTACACTGATACAAGGGACTCACGAAGGACAACTTCTCATTACTTTTGCTGTTACTCCTGGTAAACAATCTATTCCCCATGTACCACTGTACATTAGGGAACTTCAACCCTTCAAATCTTTGATTATTGAATCACAGATTCCAGTTTAATCGGTATAGATTGATTATTAAACATATTGATGTTTGTCATTCATGTTTACAGCATCTATTTTAGATAAATTTGGATCTTAACACAGTAAAGTGTTTCTTATATAATACATGTACATATTAGTGTCTATGAGTAATAGAATCTTACACCCCAGTGTTTTATAGACAGGGATATCTCAAACTGAGGGGTATTTTTTCGTGACAAGCCTCGAGCTATAAACTTTGAAAAAAGTACCCCTTGGTTTGAGATATCCCTACCTATAAAACACGGGTGTAAAATTCTATTAATCTTTCCCTACTCAAAACAAGGATAACGCTGTGAAGTATGGGAGAAAACTGAATCATGTTTTATATATTTGTGTGTTTATGACAGTATTTTCATAGTCAGATCTTTGTAGATGAATGTTTGACCAATTTAAAACAAGTATTTTATGCTGTAGGTTGACCAGTGAACACAACAATATGTAACAAGATTGGCATAGAAATTGGGATATCTCGACTTACCAACATGGCTGATCCACTATCATATGCTGAAGCCATGTGAGTGTTTATTGTACAGAATGAAATTGATGCATGATGTTGGTTACCTAGTTTTATTTCAATGGTTTTTATCTGTCAGTCACAATGTAATGAACAAAAAAAAAAAAGAAGAAAAAACTAAGAGATATAAAGAAGGTAGTCTCTATTCAACAATTAGAGGTTGAATGGAGAGGAAAATGTTAGGAAATGGAAAGTGGAAAAGACTGAGACACATGATATCTTTTTTTTTTTGTAATTCATTTATTTTTCGACAAGGTTTTACATATTACACAATATACAAGAGAGAGAGAGAGAGACATGATATCATAAAAGATTTGTTGATTGATCAAGATAAGGAAGTTATCTGGAGGTGTGAGAAGGCTTGTATTACTTAATAGTATGGAAGGAAATCAGTGATGATCAGTAAAATCATACAATTTGTCAGAAAAAGATGAAATTTTGTTTTCACATTACTTTAAATGATAGAAATTTATTTTGATTTGGAGGCATCTTGACAAACTGCTACTTCTTCTCTAAATCCAAACTGAAACCATAATATATTAAAAACTTGGATATTTCAATACATTTCAATAGCAACCCAAATTAAGATGCTTTGTTTTTTCCTATTTCTAGTCATAATAAGGCTTGGGTTCCTTACATACTAGTAATGTTTCTATTACATGAGGAGGTTAACAGGAGGTGAGAGCACTAATTTCTATTACATGGGGAGGTTTACAGGAGGTGTGAGCACTAATTTCTATTACATGGGGAGGTTTACAGGAGGTGTGAGCACTAATTTCTATTACATGAGGAGGTTTACAGGAGGTGTGAGCACTAATTTCTATTACATGGGGAGGTTTACAGGAGGTGTGAACACTAATTTCTATTACATGAGGAGGTTTACAGGAGGTGTGAGCACTAATTTCTATTACATGGGGAGGTTAACAGGAGGTGTGAGCACTAATTTCTGTTACATGGGGAGGTTTACAGGAGGTGTGAACACTAATTTCTATTACATGAGGAGGTTTACAGGAGGTGTGAGCACTAATTTCTATTACATGGAGAGGTTTACAGGAGGTGTGAGCACTAATTTCTATTACATGGGGAGGTTTACAGGAGGTGTGAGCACTAATTTCTATTACATGGAGAGGTTAACAGGAGGTGTGAACACTAATTTCTATTACATGGGGAGGTTTACAGGAGGTGTGAGCACTAATTTCTATTACATGGGGAGGTTGACAGGAGGTGTGAGCACTAATTTCTATTACATGGGGAGGTTAACAGGAGGTGTGAGCACTAATTTCTATTACATGGGGCGGTTAACAGGAGGTGTGAGCACTACTTTCTATTACATGGGGAGGTTGACAGGAGGTGTGAGCACTAATTTCTATTACATGAGGAGGTTTACAGGAGGTGTGAACACTAATTTCTATTACATGGGGAGGTTAAAAGGAGGTGTGAGAAAGTTTGGTTCACCTGTATACTAGTGATAATTTTTTGCATAGATGGAGGTTAACAGGAGTTGGAAGAAAGCTTTTAACACTTATATACTTTTCTTTACAGGCAGAGGTTGGCAGGAGGTGGGAGAAGGCTTGGTGTCAACTTTTCTGGAGCTGTTAGACATGGTGAAGTATCTAAACTATTAATGATGTGTATATTCTGTTTAGAAAACTGGGTGTATTGTGGAGACAATGTTAGATCTTCAAATGCTAATGACAGAAGGAAGAGTTAGGGCCCTTTGTTTCCATATACCATATTTTCCAGATTAATGGCTGCTGCTGTTTTTCTTGGTGGTCAGGCGTACGGCGAATCTGCCAGTGCAGCTTATATGTGTATGAAAAAAAATGGACAGAATGAAAAAAAAAAAAAAGCCCATCGTCTGGAGATTGGTTCTGGACCGTTATGTTTATCGGAGTGGTCATTTTGTCAAGGCGTATCACATGCACTATTGACCTGCATGACCTTGCACCATGATAATTTTGTAGCATGTCATGCTTCCAGGAAGAATAGAAAATAGTAATTTAAACCAAGAATACCAGTACACAAGTAACAAGTTTTTTTACAAGTACCTGTCCATCACGTGTTTGTGACTGAAACAGATTGTCTAGAATCGTCAATTGCAACCATGTACAGGATGATTTTAAGATTGAAGTAAAGATAACATTCTCAGGGATTTAATTAATCATACATTTGAATATGAATCACAATAATATCTTCTGAACTTTCATGGTTGCTTCTGAAGCCATAGCGGAAGTAAACTATAGCCTTTTGCATCATGGGATTGATAGGTCATTGGGGCAAATGCTTGTTTACAATAAGAATGGCTTCATGTAATTTACAAGAAATAATATGGAACTCTAAGAATTTTGTCAGCATGCAAGGGCCTTCACCACTGTTTAACAGTACAGACACCAATGGAGATAATCTTTGAAGGCTCCCAAGCTAAACAAGTTTTTGAAACACGTCAATGAAATATCTGTGTATAATTCATTTGCAAACATTTATATTCAGATGACAATCTTGATAAATAGGCTTCCTTTGGCTGTTATATCAACAAACTATGGTTAACATAATGATAACCACATTGTAAGGAAGAGTGTGACTTATATTCCGCTGCAGCTGATATATGGATCATATAGAATAATTTGCTAAAAATCAGCCCAGTGGCTTATACTCAGGTGCAGTTTATAGGCCGTAGAATATGGTATATCATATAATTTGATGCATACATGTTAAAGAAACAGAAAGCTATTTGAGCTTGCATTAAGTCTAATTCTATTAATAGATTTGTGTGTAAATCATAATCGTTTTGAAATCAGACTTATGATATAGTTATGAAAGTCACTGTAAAAACTTGTATATATATCATAAATCTGAAGAAAACGCTTTGTTATAAAGTAATAGTTTCATTAATTACAGCTATGTTTTCCTCTGTGAACCATTTTGAAAAAGGGAAAACATTTTTTGTGATATGTGGTACTAATAGACACTTGCAATTGTACAACTACCAACGTTACAAATATATAAAAAAATAACAAATTTTATGAGGCAACAATTTGATGCAGTTCATTTTACAAAAATCATTAACAGCAGTTTTTCATGTAAAACTTATCATTTGTTATACAAAGTCAGATTTTGGAATTGTTTCAGTCTGATTTCTGTTGTAGCTTTGTTCCATATATATATAAATATGGAATATCAGTGAACTAATCATTATTGTTTGGTAATGGTTCAGTTTTACCTAATTGGTTTGTAGCATACTTTTTATTGTACAGGGATGTGTTTTTATTGTAGTGTACAGAGGCCTTAAGTACACCTATTTGTAGCAGTCTATAAAGCCTGCTGCTTCACGGTGTGGTTTACAATGTTTTAATATTTCGATATTTAAGAGTTATTGATTTTCTTTGAATTTGTAGATGGGGTTATGACGCAAGAGACATGGATACATATAGCCAACAGCGAGTCAAAAACCGGTCAGTATTGTGAACAAAATACTAATCTCATGCTCGTCTCTCATGTGTGTATAACACAAAAACCGGTCAGTATTGTGAACAAAATACTAATCTCATGCTCGTCTCTCATGTGTGTATAACACAAAAACCGGTCAGTATTGTGAACAAAATACTAATCTCATGCTCGTCTCTCATGTGTGTATAACACAAAAACCTGTCAGTATTGTAAACAAAATATTAATCTCATGCTTGTCTCTCATGTGTGTATGATAGATGTATTTATATGTAATAGAAGAAATCTTCCAGGGGCCTGAGGGGTGGGGCCAAAAAGGACACAATGATGGAAATTGTAAAAATTTTGTTCTCAAATCCCAGGTATGGGAGCATCAATTACTCTTCATAGATGGAAAGGCATTCAGATGCTTTACCAATATTTCATGACCACAGGGTCTCACATTTCCCCCAGGGGAAGGGGTAATGTTTACTATAGTTCATATTGGAAAATTACATTTTTTAACATTATTTGTGTTTTTTTTATCAGAAATATTTCAAACCTGGTTATAATTATTAGCTTAAGATGAAATTTTAATGAGATGCACATATTGACCTCAATTAATCCCAAGGTGCTGTTGGGCATGGCCGAAAATGGGTCAAATTGACTAGAATTTCAAAAATCTTCTTCTCAGTACCCAAATAATGTAGAAATAAGTACTCTCCATGGATGGAAGTATCTTGCGATTATTCATGAAAATCGTGGAGGGGGTAAAATCTTCTGTATTTTATATAGGAAGATTACATTAGGGTATTTTCTTTCAGAAATAGTTCCAACATTTCTTTTATGAGTGTAAGCTGATAGTTTGATGAGATGCCTTGATTGACCGCCAGGGGATGATGGGTAGGGCTAAAAATGGGTCAAATTGACTGAATTCCAAAAATGTTCTACTCTTCCTGGATGGAAGATTTTGTATAGAAAAGTTCAAATCTTGAGTGTTATTTCTTTTTATTCAAACTTGGTTAGAAGCTTTAGCATGAGACAGAAGTTAATGTATACACAATTTACATTTGTTATCATGTGTACACGATAGTTAAAGTTATATTACATTTTTCTAAAGTAATAATTTCTATGAAATGTTACAAGAAGCATTGTGATTCAGGTGACTGTAACACCCTTTGACCTCTTGTTTTAATGATTTTGCTGGATGAGTTTTAAGATTACTGTTCTAATTTAGTGATCAAACCACTTTAAATAGTACACGTTTCATTGTATAAACTTATGGATGATTACAAAATGATTGCAAATACTTCTTCAGAGGCACAATGTTTTTCCATGTCCTAAATAATATCCTAAAAAGGAACTCATCTTGTATTCCTCACCCCAAGGGAGATAAATCCATCTTCAGTAAAAGTTTTACTTTGTATGGATTATCTGTAGAGGGTGAGGAATGAATGTAATAAATTAAGAGTTAAAGATTACGACGTTTTGTCTTACCAACATAAAATCATGTCAGTATCGTGGACAACAGACCTTCTATCTGTCTTACTAACTGAGATTTCATAACATATAACCCAAACATTAACATAATGGATTTTCTGTTATAAAATGTTTACACTGAAGTTCTGTTATTTGATCAGTATTTATGTTTCTTGACAGCACGTACCTTGACTATTCCAAAAGGACTGGGAATTGATACAATATTTGTGATTGACATCTCAGAAAGCATGCGAGGAAGGCCATATGAACAAGCTGTAAATGTTGTGCTAACATATCTAGATAGTAAGTCGGATTCAACATTTTATCTAAAAATAGTTGCTGTTTAGCTGTTGTTTTTGTGGCGACTTTTGTGATTTCCATATAAATCAAGAGTATTGTATTTTCATTCATTAAAATTTCGCAGTCTGGCATTAGATTAAATGGATATCACATCTTCACAAATAACCCATGTATTATATAAAAAAAAAAAATATATAAATAAGTGGGGAAAAAACCCCTAAGAACCAACATCCATTCTGGTGTAGATCAGGAAAAGTTCATTTTCTAGGTCCCAGTGGATCCCAAAGGGATGCAGGGCGCTCTTCAAATAGTTCAGACAAATCAAAATAGTAGGAAAAGCACAACGGTATTACTACACCTGGCCTCAGCTGTTGTGCTCTTCCTACTATTTTGATTTTTAAAAAAATATGTTTAAAACGTTTCATAACCTCGGCCATACCTAGATGTAACTCTTGATATTTCACGGATCCAATTTTCTGGAGCACATCAATGACCCGCGAAATAGGAAAAATATCATTCTATGAAAATATGTGGCTGTACGGTATATAAAAAATATCCACAGTTTGTTTCAAAAGATTTCATAAGAAGGTAATATAACAATTTTTGTAATTTTAATTAAATACAAATGTAAAGTTATTAATGATATATACTTTTTATCAGTATCATTGTTGTTGTAACTTATCACAGTTAAGTTACAGTATGACTAAATATCAGATATATTGCAGTGAAAATGACTGTATATATCCTGTACCCAGCAAGACACTTTTGTATTTGTATTGAGTCAGTTAAGCATTAAGAGAAAAAATCATTGCCCACTTAGTGCTTTGCAATTGTTGCTAAATCTGAAGTGGTTGTATTTGGTGTCATATATATGAATTCTAAGCTGACATTCATTCATGCCATACATAAAAATGCTGATTTCAAAAATTATATTTGGTCAAGTCATATATGTTTTATAGGAAACATGCATTTCATTTGTCTTAATTTCTTTGTGAATAACAGGTATTCCTATTTATTTTCGAGGCAATGTTTGATAAAAAATGTGATGTCAGGTGCACTGCTTTTGGAAAAAAGTTCAGTGATTGATAATAAAGTCTATGAAAGTCTATGATATTATGTTGGAATTTCTATCATATTGAAATATGCCCTACTTCCTGTCAAGCATTTTACTTAAGATTACAGGATAAATCTCAGGACCAGTTACTAATTAGCAATAACAACATTTATTCATGCTACAGTTATTGAGAATGTCAATAAGAAGCATCGTCTGAGTGAAAGTGTCGCCTTGGTGACTGTTGGACACAAGACAGAAGTGCTGCATCATCTGACATGTGATTATTGGGCGCTGAGGACTAGTCTAGGTAGGTTTCCCTTACAGGATGGAGTTTCATATCTCATATCTTATATGGATTTTTCTTGTGTATGAAGAATTTATATATATATACCAACATCTAAATATGTGTATTGGAAACTTAGATAATTTTTCAAGAAAATTTCAAATCATCTAATTGAAGTAGCAATATCTTCACCATTGTATGTTATCATCAAGCACTTCAACAGATGAAATTTTAATAATCACCAGTAAAAGATTCTAAAATATTAAAGATCAAGTTAATTTTTAAGATACAAAGGGGTATCATGTTAAACCTGCCTCAGTAATTTTAGATGCTACTTGTAGTTGTTAATTCTTTATCACTGCTTTAACCAGTGTGTCCTCTAATATACAACTTCTTGATAAAAGTTTTCTGCAAAGTCAAGATCCACCATCTAACAACTAAGGAGCTCTGTGTGATGTAGACAGTAAATAATGTAATCTAATACTCCTGTGTGATGTAGACAGTAAATAATGTAATCTATTACTCCTGTGTGATGTAGACAGTGAATAATATAATCTATTACTCCTGTGTGATGTAGACAGCGAATAATATAATCTATTACTCCTGTGTGATGTAGACAGTGAATAATATAATCTATTACTCCTGTGTGATGTAGACAGTAAATAATGTAATCTATTACTCCTGTGTGATGTAGACAGTGAATAATATAATCTATTACTCCTGTGTGATGTAGACAGTGAATAATATAATCTATTATTCCTGTGTGATGTAGACAGTAAATAATATAATCTATTACTCCTGTGTGATGTAGACAGCGAATAATATAATCTATTACTCCTGTGTGATGTAGACAGCGAATAATATAATCTATTACTCCTGTGTGATGTAGACAGTAAATAATATAATCTGTTACTCCTGTGTGATGTAGACAGCGAATAATATAATCTATTACTCCTGTGTGATGTAGACAGCGAATAATATAATCTATTACTCCTGTGTGATGTAGACAGTAAATAATATAATCTGTTACTCCTGTGTGATGTAGACAGCGAATGATATAATCTATTACTCCTGTGTGATGTAGACAGCGAATAATATAATCTATTACTCCTGTGTGATGTAGACAGTAAATAATATAATCTATTACTCCTGTGTGATGTAGACAGTAAATAATATAATTTATTACTACTGTGTGATGTAGACAGTGAATAATCTAATATGTTACTCCTGTGTGATGTAGACAGCGAATAATATAATCTATTATTCCTGTGTGATGTAGACAGTAAATAATATAATCTATTACTCCTGTGTGATGTAGACAGCGAATAATATAATCTATTACTCCTGTGTGATGTAGACAGTAAATAATATAATCTATTACTCCTGTGTGATGTAGACAGTAAATAATATAATCTATTACTCCTGTGTGATGTAGACAGCGAATGATATAATCTATTACTCCTGTGTGATGTAGACAGTGAATAATATAATCTATTACTCCTGTGTGATGTAGACAGCGAATAATATAATCTATTACTCCTGTGTGATGTTGACAGTGAATGAATAATGTAATCTATTACTCCTGTGTGATGTAGACAGTAAATAATGTAATCTATTACTCCTGTGTGATGTAGACAGTGAATAATATAATCTATTACTCCTGTGTGATGTAGACAGCGAATAATATAATCTATTACTCCTGTGTGATGTAGACAGTAAATAATATAATCTATTTCTCCTGTTTGATGTAGACAGTGAATGATGTAATCTATTACTCCTGTGTGATGTAGACAGTGAATAATATAATCTATTACTCCTGTGTGATGTAGACAGTGAATAATATAATCTATTACTCCTGTGTGATGTAGACAGCGAATAATATAATCTATTACTCCTGTGTGATGTAGACAGCGAATAATATAATCTATTACTCCTGTGTGATGTAGACAGTAAATAATATAATCTATTACTCCTGTGTGATGTAGTTGACAGTAAATAATATAATCTATTACTCCTGTGTGATGTAGACAGCGAATGTAATCTATTACTCCTGTGTGATGTAGACAGTGAATAATATAATCTATTACTCCTGTGTGATGTAGACAGCGAATGATATAATCTATTACTCCTGTGTGATGTTGACAGTAAATAATATAATCTATTACTCCTGTGTGATGTAGACAGCGAATGATATAATCTATTACTCCTGTGTGATGTAGACAGTGAATAATATAATCTATTACTCCTGTGTGATGTAGACAGTAAATAATATAATCTATTTCTCCTGTTTGATGTAGACAGTGTATAATATAATCTATTATTCCTGTGTGATGTAGACAGTAAATAATATAATATGTTTATCCTGTGATGATTGTTGAGTTTTCCAAGGATAATGTGTGGATACCCCTGAACAGGGTAAAATAAAGTTTTGAATTCTCTAATACATGATAAAGGCTGTAGTTAACAACTCCTATTATTACAGGTTCAATACAAGTGGGAGGACGTACTCCAATGATTGCTGGTCTCTTCATGGCTTTGTCTGCTATTAATGGCCGTGGTAAGTACACATATTTTCTTTGCTATAAGAATATAAAAACTCTTTCATATTTACAATAAACTTGAAGCAATTTCTGTATCTTGACATCTGTATGAAGTATGAATTATGAATTATTTTCAGAGTCTGATAAGATTTTGACATATATTTTCTATTCATTACAGGTTCAATCTCGGTGATGAACGGTTGTCATGTCTACCCGAGAATAATCCTATTGACAGATTCAATGTTTACAGATTCTGATTGTACAACAGGCCCAGATAGCAGCATGTATGAACAACAGGAGGTAGGATAGTCAGTGTTAACCTGACTCTGGTATAATGGCTGATAGTTCTGTTGTACAAGAGGTAGGCTAGCTGTGTCAGTGTTAACCTGACTCTGGTATAATGGCTGATAGTTCTGTTGTACAAGAGGTAGGCTAGCTGTGTCAGTGTTAACCTGACTCTGGTATAATGGCTGAGAGTTCTGTTGTACAAGAGGTAGGCTAGCTGTGTCAGTGTTAACCTGACTCTGGTATAATGGCTGATAGTTCTGTTGTACAAGAGGTAGGCTAGCTGTGTCAGTGTTAACCTGACTCTGGTATAATGGCTGAGAGTTCTGTTGTACAAGAGGTAGGCTAGCTGTGTCAGGGTTAACCTGACTCTGGTATAATGGCTGAGAGTTCTGTTGTACAAGAGGTAGGCTAGCCATGTCAGTGTTAACCTGACTCTGGTATAATGGCTGAGAGTTCTGTTGTACAAGAGGTAGGCTAGCCAAGTCAGTGTTAACCTGACTCTGGTATAATGGCTGAGAGTTCTGTTGTACAAGAGGTAGGCTAGCTGTGTCAGGGTTAACCTGACTCTGGTATAATGGCTGAGAGTTCTGTTGTACAAGAGGTAGGCTAGCTGTGTCAGTGTTAACCTGACTCTGGTATAATGGCTGAGAGTTCTGTTGTACAAGAGGTAGGCTAGCTGTGTCAGTGTTAACCTGACTCTGGTATAATGGCTGAGAGTTCTGTTGTACAAGAGGTAGGCTAGCTGTGTCAGTGTTAACCTGGCTCTGGTATAATGGCTGAGAGTTCTGTTGTACAAGAGGTAGGCTAGCTGTGTCAGTGTTAACCTGACTCTGGTATAATGGCTGAGGGTTCTGTTGTACAAGAGATAGGCTAGCTGTGTCAGTGTTAACCTGACTCTGGTATAATGGCTGAGGCTTCTATTTTACAAGAGGCATGCTAGCTGTGTCAGTGTTAACCTGGCTCTGGTATAATGGCTGAGGGTTCTATTTTATAAGAGGCAGACTAGCTGTGTCAGTGAGATGGTTTTGATCAGTATTTTTTAGGTTTAGGTTGGTTTAAAATCCAAGATAGCTGCCATCTTTAAAATTCTTCTCTCTCATCAGTTTCATTGATGTAAATGGGCAGAAAATTTCTGGGATGTTAAGGAATGGAGGCAGACAATATATTCTTATTTTTTGGCTTGATGAAAAAATTATACACGACAGCCATGTTGTGGATTTTGATAATATAAGTGCACAAGCATGGTCTTTAGCTCACCTGGCACAAAGTGAGCTAATGCCTTGGTGTAGCATCTGGCTTCAACTATTTCATTTTAATAACTTCCTCTCAATAACCATTGAATCATATGTTTTAACTTTGACTTATGTTGAAGGTCATAGGGGTCAAATTTATTAAAACCTGTAAAAAAAACTTCTTCTCATGAACTAAAAAGCTTAGAGGCATGATATTTGACTGGTATTTTCTTCGATGAAGCCTGACAAAGTTTGTAAAAAAATATTTACCTTGACTTATGGTCAAGGTCACAGGGATTATATTTGTTAGAACTTTCAGTAGATGTCTTCTCATGAATCATAAGGCCTGGAGGCATGATATATTGCTGGTATGTTTCTAGGATGAAGCCTGACAAAGTTTAAAAAAGGGATGACCTTGACCCTTATTCATGGTCACAGGGGTTAAATTACTTGAAGCCTTAAAACAACTTCTGACTAACAAATAGGTGCAGAAATATGGTGTTCATCTGATAGATTGCTTGAATAAAGCTCAACAATGTTTGTGAAATGAAATGATGAACATTGAATACCAGGTGAGCGATGCAAGCCCATTGGACCTCTTGTTATTCATCACATTTCATCTGTCTTCAGGTGTTGCCTGCCATCTACGATCATTGTGTACCATGCATGATGGCTACCATTGCTGCCATATTAAAAAAAACACACATTTCAGACTTTTTCTGCAGTTTATATGGTGCTAATGCACTGAAAAATTTGTGAGGATGTTAATGAATAGGAGGCTTACCATGTCTTCTTATTTATGGCCAAAGTTCAACATGTCAGCTCTTGTCTAAAATGATCCAGAAATAGTTTTGTCGAAGTCTTCTTAATTTTTGAGTCTCCAAAACCGAATTTGGTAGTCATCTTGAAAATCATATTTTACACTTCATTTTTAGTTCCATTTTTGCCATTGAGCTGCAAAATAAAAGAATGTAGAGAAATATAATTGAATGATGTTGTTTTTGTTATCTTAGTGGCTAGAATATCAGAAATACTTGGTATCGTAATCACAGGCCTTTTAAAGCCCTTGGCCTTCTTGTTCATATCCCTAGATTGATGAAACTATTTATTCATTTATTTCTGGGTTATTTATTCATATATAATTGATGAAATATGTATTTATTGATATATAAATGATGAAATATCTATTTATTGATATATGATTGATGAAATATGTATTTATTCATATATAATTGATGAAATATGTATTTATTGATATATAAATGATGAAATATCTATTTATTGATATATGATTGATGAAATATGTATTTATTGATATATAATTGATGAAATATTTATTTATCAATGTATAATTGATGAAATATTTATTTATTAATGTATAATTGATGAAATATCTATTTATTCATATATAAATGATGTATGTATTTCTTCATATATAATTGATGAAATATTTATTTGTTAATAGATTGATGATGAGATATTAAATCTAGCAGTCAGACTTGGAGCAGAGCACCATAATATTCATTGTATAAATGTTGGTGATAAGGAAAACCCAGTAAGTGTTGATTACCTTAAAAGTGCAGTACTTGTTTTAACAGGGGCTCAATACATAGTACAGTAATGCATTTGTAACTCAACTCTCAGTCACTGTTAATTTTGATGTTGTTGTACACATAAATACTGTAATTAATCTAAAAAATAAAACCATTTTGGTGGAAGTATTTTAAAAAGAATATAAGCTTGAAACTTTGAAATCAGAAAACATTTCATATTCATTTTATTAAAATGCAAATTACAGCAATATTACTTAGGTAAGAATTGATCCTATCTATTTGAGACAAAGAGATTTAAATGGATATATCTTAAACTGAGATTCCATTTCATATGCATCAGTAATATACTTTTCAGGAGATACTGAGGAAATTAGCAGAAGTGTCAGATGGGAGTGTGACCAGTTATGATGCGGCAAGTGTGAAAAGCCTTGGCAGACACTTCAAGAACATGGCAAGTAGTTCTAGGGCCACCTTATTTTTAACTATTTCAACAGTGAAGTTTGGTAAGGCATGGCGTGCATATTCATAGAAATATTAAATATGCATATAATTAGCTTGTCTAGTCTTGAAGGAAGACTATGGCTCTAACTGTGAAATCAGTGGGAAGAGAAATCCAGATAAAGATAATTTGAGCAAATACAGATTCTTTGTATGCAGAGGTTTTACAGGAAAATGTTTGGAAAGGATATAAGTATTTGGATATTCAGTTGGATTGTCTGTTGACGACCTTGTACATATTAGTCAGACAAGAATCAGCTATCAGACAGACTACAGATAGCTATCAGTCTGTTGACAACCTTATACATATTAGTCAGACAAGAATCAGCCATCGGACAGACTACAGATAGCTATCAGTCTATTGACAACCTTATACATATTAGTCAGACAAGAATCAGCCATCAGACAGACTACAAATAACTGTTTGTTGACAACCTTGTACATATTAGTCAGACAAGAATCAGCCATCAGACAGACTACAGATAGCTATCAGTCTGTTGACAACCTTGTACATATTAGTCAGACAAGAATCAGCCATCAGACAGACTACAAATAACTGTTTGTTGACAACCTTGTACATATTAGTCAGACAAGAATCAGCCATCAGACAGACTACAGATAACTGTTTTTTGACAACCTTGTACATATTAGTCGGACAAGAATCAGCCATCAGACAGACTACAGACAACTGTTTTTTGACAACCTTGTACATATTAGTCAGACAAGAATCAGCCATCAGACAGACTACAGATAACTGTTTGTTGACAACCTTGTACATATTAGTCAGACAAGAATCAGCCATCAGACAGACTACAGATAACTGTTTTTTGACAACCTTGTACATATTAGTCAGACAAGAATCAGCCATCAGACAGACTACAGATAACTGTTTTTTGACAACCTTGTACATATTAGTCAGACAAGAATCAGCCATCAGGCAGACTACAGATAACTGTTTTTTGACAACATTGTACATATTAGTCAGACAAGAATCAGCCATCAGACAGACTACAGATAGCTATCAGTCTGTTGACAACCTTATACATATTAGTCAAACAAGAATCAGCCCAGCCATCAGACAGACTACAGATAACTGTTTTTTGACAACCTTGTACATATTAGTCAGACAAGAATCAGCCATCAGACAGACTACAGATAACTGTTTTTTGACAACCTTGTACATATTAGTCAGACAAGAATCAGCCATCAGACAGACTACAGATAACTGTTTTTTGACAACATTGTACATATTAGTCAGACAAGAATCAGCCATCAGACAGACTACAGATAGCTGTTTGTTGACAACCTTATACATATTAGTCAGACAAGAATCAGCCATCAGACAGACTACAAATAACTGTTTGTTGACAACCTTGTACATATTAGTCAGACAAGAATCAGCCATCAGACAGACTACAGATAACTGTTTTTTGACAACCTTGTACATATTAGTCAGACAAGAATCAGCCATCAGACAGACTACAGATAACTGTTTTTTGACAACCTTGTACATATTAGTCAGACAAGAATCAGCCATCAGACAGACTACAGATAACTGTTTTTTGACAACCTTGTACATATTAGTCAGACAAGAATCAGCCATCAGACAGACTACAGATAACTGTTTTTTGACAACCTTGTACATATTAGTCAGACAAGAATCAGCCATCAGACAGACTACAGATATAACTGTTTTTGACAACCTTGTACATATTAGTCAGACATCAGACAGACTACAGATAACTGTTTTTTGACAACCTTGTACATCAGACATCAGCCATCAGACAGACTACAGATAACTGTTTTTTGACAACCTTGTACATATTAGTCAGACAAGAATCAGCCATCAGACAGACTACAGATAGCTATCAGTCTGTTGACAACCTTATACATATTAGTCAGACAAGAATCAGCCATCAGACAGACTACAAATAGCTACTCAGTCTGTTGACAACATTGTACATATTAGTCAGACAAGAATACATATTCAGTCAGACAACCTTATACATATTAGTCAGACAAGAATCAGCCATCAGACAGACTACAGATAGCTAGACAACCTTATACATATTAGCAGACATCAGACAGACTACAGATAACTGTTTTTTGACAACCTTGCCATACAGATAACTGTTTTTTGACAACATTTACATATTAGTCAGACAAGAATCAGCCATCAGACAGACTACAGATAACTGTTTTTTGACAACCTTGTACATATTAGTCAGACAAGAATCAGCCATCAGACAGACTACAGATAGCTGTTTGTTGACAACCTTATACATATTAGTCAGACAAGAATCAGCCATCAGACAGACTACAGATAACTGTTTTTTGACAACCTTGTACATATTAGAATCAGCCATCAGACAGACTACAGATAACTGTTTTTTGACAAGCCATCAGCCAGACAGACTACAGATAACTGTTTTTTGACAACCTTGTACATATTAGTCAGACAAGAATCAGCCATCAGACAGACTACAGATAACTGTTTTTGACAACCTTGTACATATTAGTCAGACAAGAATCAGCCATCAGACAGACTACAGATAACTGTTTTTTGACAACCTTGTACATATTAGTCAGACAAGAATCAGCCATCAGACAGACTACAGATAACTGTTTTTTGACAACCTTGTACATATTAGTCAGACAAGAATCAGCCATCAGACAGACTACAGATAACTGTTTTTTGACAACCTTGTACATATTAGTCAGACAAGAATCAGCCATCAGGCAGACTACAGATAACTGTTTTTTGACAACATTGTACATATTAGTCAGACAAGAATCAGCCATCAGACAACTACAGATAGCTATCAGTCTGTTGACAACCTTATACATATTAGTCAGACAAGAATCAGCCATCAGACAGACTACAGATAACTGTTTTTTGACAACCTTGTACATATTAGTCAGACAAGAATCAGCCATCAGACAGACTACAGATAACTGTTTTTTGACAACATTGTACATATTAGTCAGACAAGAATCAGCCATCAGACAGACTACAGATAGCTGTTTGTTGACAACCTTATACATATTAGTCAGACAAGAATCAGCCATCAGACAGACTACAAATAACTGTTTGTTGACAACATTGTACATATTAGTCAGACAAGAATCAGCCATCAGACAGACTACAGATAGCTATCAGTCTGTTGACAACCTTATACATATTAGTCAGACAAGAATCAGCCATCAGACAGACTACAGATAACTGTTTTTTGACAACCTTGTACATATTAGTCAGACAAGAATCAGCCATCAGACAGACTACAGATAACTGTTTTTTGACAACATTGTACATATTAGTCAGACAAGAATCAGCCATCAGACAGACTACAGATAGCTGTTTGTTGACAACCTTATACATATTAGTCAGACAAGAATCAGCCATCAGACAGACTACAAATAACTGTTTGTTGACAACCTTGTACATATTAGTCAGACAAGAATCAGCCATCAGACAGACTACAGATAACTGTTTTTTGACAACCTTGTACATATTAGTCGGACAAGAATCAGCCATCAGACAGACTACAGACAACTGTTTTTTGACAACCTTGTACATATTAGTCAGACAAGAATCAGCCATCAGACAGACTACAGATAACTGTTTTTTGACAACCTTGTACATATTAGTCAGACAAGAATCAGCCATCAGACAGACTACAGATAACTGTTTTTTGACAACCTTGTACATATTAGTCAGACAAGAATCAGCCATCAGACAGACTACAAATAACTGTTTGTTGACAACCTTGTACATATTAGTCAGACAAGAATCAGCCATCAGACAGACTACAGATAGCTATCAGTCTATTGACAACCTTATACATATTAGTCAGACAAGAATCAGCCATCAGACAGACTACAGATAGCTATCAGTCTGTTGACAACCTTATACATATTAGTCAGACAAGAATCAGCCATCAGACAGACTACAAATAACTGTTTGTTGACAACATTGTACATATTAGTCAGACAAGAATCAGCCATCAGACAGACTACAGATAGCTATCAGTCTGTTGACAACCTTATACATATTAGTCAGACAAGAATCAGACATCAGACAGACTACAGATAGCTATCAGTCTGTTGACAACATTGTACATATTAGTCAGACAAGAATCAGCCATCAGACAGACTACAGATAGCTATCAGTCTATTGACAACCTTATACATATTAGTCAGACAAGAATCAGCCATCAGACAGACTACAGATAACTGTTTTTTGACAACCTTGTACATATTAGTCAGACAAGAATCAGCCATCAGACAGACTACAGATAACTGTTTTTTGACAACATTGTACATATTAGTCAGACAAGAATCAGCCATCAGACAGACTACAGATAGCTGTTTGTTGACAACCTTATACATATTAGTCAGACAAGAATCAGCCATCAGACAGACTACAAATAACTGTTTGTTGACAACCTTGTACATATAAGTCAGACAAGAATCAGCCATCAGACAGACTACAGATAACTGTTTTTTGACAACCTTGTACATATTAGTCAGACAAGAATCAGCCATCAGACAGACTACAGATAACTGTTTTTTGACAACCTTGTACATATTAGTCAGACAAGAATCAGCCATCAGACAGACTACAGATAACTGTTTTTTGACAACCTTGTACATATTAGTCAGACAAGAATCAGCCATCAGGCAGACTACAGATAACTGTTTTTTGACAACATTGTACATATTAGTCAGACAAGAATCAGCCATCAGACAGACTACAGATAGCTATCAGTCTGTTGACAACCTTATACATATTAGTCAGACAAGAATCAGCCATCAGACAGACTACAGATAACTGTTTTTTGACAACCTTGTACATATTAGTCAGACAAGAATCAGCCATCAGACAGACTACAGATAACTGTTTTTTGACAACATTGTACATATTAGTCAGACAAGAATCAGCCATCAGACAGACTACAGATAGCTGTTTGTTGACAACCTTATACATATTAGTCAGACAAGAATCAGCCATCAGACAGACTACAAATAACTGTTTGTTGACAACCTTGTACATATTAGTCAGACAAGAATCAGCCATCAGACAGACTACAGATAACTGTTTTTTGACAACCTTGTACATATTAGTCAGACAAGAATCAGCCATCAGACAGACTACAGATAACTGTTTTTTGACAACATTGTACATATTAGTCAGACAAGAATCAGCCATCAGACAGACTACAGATAACTGTTTTTTGACAACCTTGTACATATTATTAGCCATCAGACAGACTACAGATAGCTGTTTGTTGACAACCTTATACATATTAGTCAGACAAGAATCAGCCATCAGACAGACTACAAATAACTGTTTGTTGACAACCTTGTACTCAGACAGAATCAGCCATCAGACAGACTACAGATAGCTATCAGTTGACAACCTTATACATATTAGTCAGACAAGAATCAGCCATCAGACAGACTACAGATAGCTATCAGTCTGTTGACAACCTTATACATATTAGTCAGACAAGAATCAGCCATCAGACAGACTACAAATAACTGTTTGTTGACAACCTTGTACATATTAGTCAGACAAGAATCAGCCATCAGACAGACTACAGATAGCTATCAGTCTATTGACAACCTTATACATATTAGTCAGACAAGAATCAGACATCAGACAGACTACAGATAGCTATCAGTCTGTTGACAACATTGTACATATTAGTCAGACAAGAATCAGCCATCAGACAGACTACAGATAGCTATCAGTCTATTGACAACCTTATACATATTAGTCAGACAAGAATCAGCCATCAGACAGACTACAGATAACTGTTTTTTGACAACATTGTACATATTAGTCAGACAAGAATCAGCCATCAGACAGACTACAGATAGCTATCAGTCTATTGACAACCTTATACATATTAGTCAGACAAGAATCAGCCATCAGACAGACTACAGATAACTGTTTTTTGACAACATTGTACATATTAGTCAGACAAGAATCAGCCATCAGACAGACTACAGATAACTGTTTGTTGACAACCTTGTACATATTAGTCAGGATAAGGTGCTATAATTGGTCTAGCATGTCACCAACACTGGATGTATTTAGGTAGTGATTAGTTATAAATCTGGCAGTGGATGTGCGCCATCTTGATCTTGTCTGTTATGATTAGGCTCCCATACTGAGCTCGTATATTCCAGCTTTGGCAGGGGCAGGGCTTTACAGCATTTTTCCTTGATCTTAGTCAATGATATTTTTTGGTTTTACCTTAGAAAATTAAAGGAATTACCAACATTGTTAGTATATATGCTTGTTTAGATTAGGTTGTAACTCCAAGGTACTAAGCCAAATCTACATGAGTTCGCACCTGACCATGACAAAGGTAATAGTGTAGTTTGAGATTTTTGGGATTTTATGCCCGGAGAGATGTTTCCTTGATAGAACACCATTCTCCATTTGCCTTCCAAAGTGGCAATGATGTTGAGGTTTTTTGGAGAGAGATGGCATCTTTATTGGATGTAGCTGTGAAATACATCATCATATCGTTAGCAAAATGCCTGACAGATGAAGAGATTCCATCTACAATATGGAGAAGAAAAATCACTTTGATCGAAGGACTGACCTTTTAGGTACTCCTGATTTAATGAGTACAGTGTTGGATGATTCAACATCTAGAACAACTGTTTGGAATCTGGCAATGAGGACATTTTGTTTCTGTTAATTTTATCTTTAATACTTTAATAACTTTAACAATGGCTGAAATCCATCATAAGAACAACAGTTTGTTTGTAAGAATCTGAATTAAAACATCATCAACCAATTTTTTACCATTTGGGATTAGCAGGAGGGTTTTTAACGGAATGCTGTGATGGATAAAGAATGATTATCAGCATTCTTCATGATGTTAGAAAGTAAAACATGTTTCAGAATTTTACAGATAATGTTGGTCAAAGATATTTGATGGTCTGAATTATATTTAGGTCCTTTTAGCCAGGTACAATACTTACTGATTTCCAAGCAGAAGGGACCTCGCCAGTATCTCAAGAGACTTTGAAGAAATGATGGAGAGATCTCTTGGGCAAGTTCTCTCAAAACTAGATTTTGTCATGTCAGAGCCAGCAGCCTTCCAGACAGTCTAGACAGAAATATGGTTAAGCTTCACTTATTTTCGCATTTGATTATGATAAGTTCTCTGTTTTTGGCAGGCTGCAGTGACTCGTATGCGTAGACATTTCTCTCTGAATTGGAAAAACAGGAGGGAATTTGAAAATGTTGTGACCAGTTATGAAAATGATGTTGATCAGAGCGATATAGTGAGTACTGGTTAAAAATTTAAGATAAGATATTAGAGTTAGCAAAAAGTGAACATGTTCCAAAACCTTGAGATTCAGTGTTGTCATATTCTGCATTGCAATGATAACAGAATGCAGTATTCGTTCTGAGACTATATCATGTGACCGTTGTTGTGATGTCATCAATATTTAAGTGATAATATTGCTGTAACTTAACAAACTGATATACTGTGAAATCATTAAATTTTGTGGTGATTTATTTTCTTGGATTTCATGGTTACTTTTAATCCATGAATCTGTCAACGAACTGCTAACATATGTATATGTAAATTTATTGAGCTATTCATGAAATCTAATATTAATGAAATAACTATTTTTTGATTAGTAATGAAAATTAAGCCCAATGAACATAATGAATAATATAATGCATATGATGTCATGAAGTTATAACTTCACCATTGGCAACGCTGGGACCCTTCAATCAATCACAGCTCGGCTAGCTAAAATATTCATGGCTTTATTTCAGGATGATATGATGTACCTCCTCCAATATAAACTGGCTGATGTTGTGCAGGAGGATGTAGAGTTCATGGATGGTTCAGCACCTAATTTGGGCACGCGAGTTATGAGGGGTCCGCAATGGGACAGTGGTAATGAGGATGGTGAGGGCCCTGGCACCATTGTTAAGCATTCCCGCAAGCCAGGTATGAACTGAAACCTATTGTAGGTTAGCTTGAGGTAGTTCTGTCTAAAACATATTCAACAACAGAAGTGAATCATATAGTCCAAAGTGAATTAATTGGAAAACAAACATCAGGAAGAGGAAAAAAGACAATTAATAATTGACCTCTGCCCTCTTTGTCTGACCTTTAGTCTTCTTATTGATAAGATTTTCCTCTGTAGGTCATGTGACAGTAGAATGGGACCTGACAAGAATTCGTAAAGAATACAGTTATCATGACGGTAAAAAACAGGTCAAAACAAGTTTTGAACAACGAATCCTGATGGAGGACGACCTCATCGCACCTGGCTGTCTGGTTTGTCGTGGTGATGATTGGCAGTGGGGCTTTCAGGACGGAGGTCCAGAAAATGTTGGAGTTGTGTATGATGTTCAGCAGAGTGGACTGGTACATGTGGGTATACAAAGAATCTTGCTTTATATTCACAAAGAGATATCTTGTGAAATGGTTTTGGGGTAACATTCTCTCTGTGTAAGGATGACATTCTCTCTGTGCTGTGATGACATTGTCTCTGTGCTATGATGACAGTAGCTCTGTGCTGGGATGACATTCTCTCTGTGTTGTGATGATATTCTCTCTGTGTTGTGATGACATTCTCTCTGTGTTGTGATGACATTCTCTCTATGTTGTGATGACATTCTGTCTCTGTGTTGTGATGACATTGTCTCTGTGTTGTGATGACATTCTGTCTATGTGTTGTGATGACATTCTCTCTGTGTTGTGATGGCATTGTCTTTGTGTTGTGATGACATTCTCTCTGTGTTGTGATGGCATTCTCTCTATGTTGTGATGACATTCTCTCTATGTAAGGATGATATTCTCTCTGTAAGGAGGACATTCTCTCTATGTTGTGATGACATTCTCTCTATGTTGTGATGACATTCTCTCTATGTTGTGATGACATTCTGTCTCTGTGTTGTGATGACATTGTCTCTGTGTTGTGATGACATTCTCTCTATGTTGTGATGACATTCTCTCTATGTAAGGATGATATTCTCTCTGTAAGGAGGACATTCTCTCTATGTTGTGATGACATTCTCTCTATGTTGTGATGACATTCTCTCTGTGTTGTGATGACATTCTCTCTGTGTTGTGATGACATTCTCTCTGTGTTGTGATGACATTCTGACATTCTCTCTGTGTTGTGATGACATTCTCTCTGTGTTGTGATGGCATTGTCTTTGTGTTGTGATGACATTCTCTCTGTGTTGTGATGGCATTCTCTCTATGTTGTGATGACATTCTCTCTATGTAAGGATGATATTCTCTCTGTAAGGAGGACATTCTCTCTATGTTGTGATGACATTCTCTCTGTGTTGTGATGACATGCTATCTGTGTAAGGATGATATTCTCTCTGTAGGAGGATTCTCTCTGTGGACATTCTCTCTATGTTGTGATGACATTCTCTCTAAGGAGGACATTCTCTCTGTGTTGTGATGACATTCTCTCTATGTAAGGATGATATTCTCTCTGTAAGGAGGACATTCTCTCTTTGTTGTGATGACATTCTCTCTATGTTGTGATGACATTCTCTCTATGTTGTGATGACATTCTCTCTATGTAAGGATGATATTCTCTCTGTAAGGAGGACATTCTCTCTATGTTGTGATGACATTCTCTCTATGTTGTGATGACATTCTATCTGTGTAAGGATGATATTCTCTCTGTAAGGAGGACATTCTCTCTATGTTGTGATGACATTCTCTCTATGTTGTGATGACATTCTCTCTATGTAAGGATGATATTCTCTCTGTAAGGAGGACATTCTCTCTATGTTGTGATGACATTCTCTCTATGTAAGGATGATATTCTCTCTGTAAGGAGGACATTCTCTCTTTGTTGTGATGACATTCTCTCTATGATATTCTCTCTGTAAGGATGACATTCTCTCTATGTTGTTCTCTCTCTATGTAAGGATGATATTCTCTCTGTAAGGAGGACATTCTCACCCTCGAGTGCTGACTGTGTCTGGAGGTAAGCAGGTTTCTCTCCCGTTAATGATGACATTCTCTCTATGTTGTGATGACATTCTCTCATTCTATCTGTGTAAGGATGGATTCTCTCTATGTTGTGATGACATTCTCTCTATGTTTTGATGACATTCTCTCTATGTTGTGATGACATTCTCTCTATTTAAGGATGATATTCTCTATGTTAGGAGGACATTCTCTCTATGTTGTGATGACATTCTCTCTGTGTTGTGATGACATTCTATCTATGTAAGGATGATATTCTCTCTGTAAGGAGGACATTCTCTCTATGTTGTGATGACATTCTCTCTATGTTGTGATGACATTCTCTCTATGTTGTGATGACATTCTCTCTGTGTAAGGATGATATTCTCTCTGTAAGGAGGACATTCTCTCTGTGTTGTGATGACATTCTCTCTATGTTGTGATGACATTCTCTCTGTGTTGTGATGACATTCTATCTGTGTAAGGATGATATTCTCTCTGTAAGGAGGACATTCTCTCTTTGTTGTGATGACATTCTCTCTATGTAAGGATGATATTCTCTCTGTAAGGAGGACATTCTCTCTGTGTTGTGATGACATTCTCTCTATGTAAGGATGATATTCTCTCTGTGTTGTGATGACATTCTCTCTATGTTGTGATGACATTCTCTCTATGTAAGGATGATATTCTCTCTATGTAAGGAGGACATTCTATGTTGTGATGACATTCTCTCTGTGTTGTGATGACATTCTCTCTGTGTAAGGATGTTGTGATGACATTCTCTCTATGTTGTGATGACATTCTCTCTGTGTAAGGATGATATTCTCTCTATCTGTGATGACATTCTCTCTCTGTGTTGTGATGACATTCTCTCTGTGTAAGGATGACATTCTCTCTATGTTGTGATGACATTCTCTCTATGTTGTGATGACATTCTCTCTAAGGATGATATTCTCTCTGTAAGGAGGACATTCTCTCTATGTTGTGATGATTCTCTCATTCTCTCTATGTTGTGATGACATTCTCTCTGTGTTGTGATGACATGCTATCTGTGTAAGGATGATATTCTCTCTGTAAGGAGGACATTCTCTCTATGTTGTGATGACATTCTCTCTATGTAAGGATGATATTCTCTCTGTAAGGAGGACATTCTCTCTATGTTGTGATGACATTCTCTCTATGACATTCTCTCTGTGTTGTGATGACATTCTCTCTATGTAAGGATGATATTCTCTCTGTAAGGAGGACATTCTCTCTATGTTGTGATGACATTCTCTCTATGTAAGGAGGACATTCTCTCTATGTTGTGATGACATTCTCTCTGTGTTGTGATGACATTCTATCTGTGTAAGGATGATATTCTCTCTGTAAGGAGGACATTCTCTCTATGTTGTGATGACATTCTCTCTATGTTGTGATGACATTCTCTCTGTGTTGTGATGACATGCTATCTGTGTAAGGATGATATTCTCTCTGTAAGGAGGACATTCTCTCTATGTTGTGATGACATTCTCTCTATGTTGTGATGACATTCTCTCTGTGTTGTGATGATATTGTGTAAGGATGATATTCTCTCTGTAAGGAGGACATTCTCTCTATGTTGTGATGACATTCTATCTATGTAAGGATGATATTCTCTCTGTAAGGAGGACATTCTCTCTATGTTGTGATGACATTCTCTCTGTGTTGTGATGACATTCTATCTGTGTAAGGATGATATTCTCTCTGTAAGGAGGACATTCTCTCTATGTTGTGATGACATTCTCTCTATGTTGTGATGACATTCTCTCTATGTTGTGATGACATTCTCTCTATGTTGTGATGACATTCTATCTGTGTAAGGATGATATTCTCTCTGTAAGGAGGACTTTCTCTCTATGTTGTGATGACATTCTGTGTTGTGATGGCATTGTCTCTGTGTTGTGATGACATTCTCTCTGTGTTGTGATGGCATTCTCTCCATGTTGTGATGACATTCTCTCTATGTAAGGATGATATTCTCTCTGTAAGGAGGACATTCTCTCTATGTTGTGATGACATTCTGTGTTGTGATGACATTCTCTCTTTGTTGTGATGGCATTCTCTCTATGTTGTGATGACATTCTCTCTGTGTTGTGATGACATGCTATCTATGTAAGGATGATATTCTCTCTGTAAGGAGGACATTCTCTCTATGTTGTGATGACATTCTCTCTATGTTGTGATGACATTCTATCTGTGTAAGTATGATATTCTCTCTGTAAGGAGGACATTCTCTCTATGTTGTGATGACATTCTGTGTTGTGATGGCATTGTCTCTGTGTTGTGATGACATTCTCTCTGTGTTGTGATGGCATTCTCTCTATGTTGTGATGACATTCTCTCTATGTAAGGATGATATTCTCTCTGTAAGGAGGACATTCTCTCTATGTTGTGATGACATCCTCTCTGTGTTGTGATGACATTCTATCTGTGTAAGGATGATATTCTCTCTGTAAGGAGGACATTCTCTCTATGTTGTGATGACATTCTCTCTGTGTTGTGATGACATTCCCTCTGTGTTGTGATGACACTCTCTCTGTGTTGTGATGACATTATCTCTGTGTTGTGATGACATTCTCTCTGTGTTGTGATGACATTCTCTGTGTTGTGAAGGTATTCAGTTATAAGTCTAGGTATAAAATCCAAAACCAAATAACATATTGTGATTTTTCAACCTTTTTGAAAAAAATTTGCTAATAATTTTATCTAAATTTAATGACTATGTCCTTATTGTAGGTAAGATGGCCAAATGGACATTGTAATTGGTACAGATTTGGAGCTGAGGGAATGTTTGACGTCCAGATATGGTAAGGTTCTTCAGTTGATGAACAGTTCAGGCTCTGATTGATTTTGGCTCAGTTCTATTCTGTCAGATGATACTATATTAAACCATTTTTGTCAAGACAATCCAAGAACCTGATGTGGACTGTTCTATTTGACCTTAGACATGACAAAGAGGCATTATCATTTAAATAGAAAGAATATGTAAGATGTTAGACTTCTGTTTAAAACCTATTATTTCTTTGTCATTGTAGGGAGCCTGCTGGGGATGGAAATGACCCTGTGGTACCTTCCACAACTATTTACACCAGAGATACAGCTTTACCGCCTAAGACACACAATGCAGAAGTGGTGACCTCAGCAACTATTCTTAAAACCACACCTGTGTATAGTCTTGCGGCATCATCTAACATCACACCTGTGAGTAGTCTTGCGGCATCATCTAACATCACACCTGTGAGTTATAAAACTGTGAAAGGTAGTCTCGCGGCATCATCCAACATCACACCTGTGAGTAGTCTCGCGGCATCATCTAACATCACACCTGTGAAAAGTCGCACAGCATCATCTAACATCACATCTGTGAGAAATCTGGCAGCATCATCTAATATCACACCTGTGAGTAGTCTCATGGCATCATCTGCAGCAGATCCTGATAAGCTCTTCATGGATACCCCTACAGCGTCAAGTCCAGACAGTAATCATCATGTCTTTCGGCCAACAGTGACATCAGCTCCTCAATCAGACATACCTACGGATATATCAGGGTCACAAAAACATCAACAGGAGACCAGTGACCCAAAGTCACTTAGTCAGCAGACTGATTTATCTGTTGATTTTGCAATGTCAAGAAAAATAACTGAACTACATGATCTAGTCGGTAAGTAATAAATCCTGTGGAATGATTTTTTCTGTTATTTAATGATGTAGTTAATTGTTTAGAAATGTCTTTAAAATTTGTTTTTAATGTTTTTTACTCAAGGACCTTTCGGAGCACAACAAACACAGGTTAAGACGCCTTTCACAAAGCAGAATACACCAGGTTCTCCTAAAGTGTACACTGATACTGTGCCCGTATCAACCCCAGACTTTCCTCACGGTGTGACATCCCCAGTCATGTCTGGAACAACTGCTACACCTCAAACTACATCAAATGTTGATGATCAACTTGGTGTGAACTCTAAAACTAATACCACACCTGGAGCTTATTCTGATGCCACAGAAAGTAGGGCTTACACACAGGAAGATGTTAGGTGGTGCTGGTTTGATAAGAAGAGCAAAACATGGGTGTCCTTTTCTGAGGCCAACAACAGTGACCTTGAGGCCGAAAAACAGAAAAACAGAAAAAACAGCAGCAAAAATGTAAAGATATATGACACATGGTAAGATGTGTTTTTTTCATAAAACTAAAGCAGAGTTTTTATTGTAATACTTGAATTTAATTTTATTATCTATTAAGTCTGATTAATCTACTCATTGGAATTGAAAATCTTAATACAATATTATTGAGAATTTCCGTTATTTATGAAGACCTTTTAAAATCGTTTGGCTTATATTGGCTTTGATAAACTTGAATATCATTAAATGTTAATTGGTTTATGATCATAAAGTATTACAGAATATATTGTTCTCTGATCTCAACATGAATGTTGATGCGGTAAAGTTTGTTCTTTTCAAAGTGTTTTAGATTTTACTATTATTTTACTACTAAGGATAGAGTAGAATTGTGAAAAAAATAGGTATCTTAAAATAGATACCTTAAACATGGAAAATTTAGAGAAAGACTTGGGGAAAAAAATCTTTTTGCTTTAAGTGTTTTGGTAAACCTTGAACCATCCAAAAAATTGCTGTAGTGTTTCATTAGCGTACAGAAAAGCTGTTTCTTAAAAATGTACAAATGATAGATGTAAATGATTAAACCTTTATAGCCTGATAAATTCTTTCACTTACAACTCTGGAAATGTTATTTTGAATTTATTTTATTTCTTTTTTGACTTGTCACCGACACCATGATATTTCTTAAACAGGTATAGAGTATTTTTGAAAACTATGAAGATGCAAAGGTTGAAGAGTCGTGAAAGTACACCTGTAAAACGAGCAGGTATGTCAGTGTACAATACAGCTACATGTAGTTGGTGTAATTTATCATTTGAGTACTATAACAGAATTACATTATTGATGCATTATAGCATCTGAGTACCACAGAATCTGAGTACTATAGAGCTACATTGACTGAAGTGGTATAAAATCTGAGTACTATAGAGCTACATTGACTGATGTGGTATCAATCTGAGTACTATATAGCTACATTGACTGATGTGGTATAAAATCTGAGTACTATAGAGCTACATTGACTGATGTGGTATAAAATCTGAGTACTATAGAGCTACATTGACTGATGTGGTATAAAATCTGAGTAATATAGAGCTATATAAAACATGATTACATGGGACAGTATGTTCAGATGTTTATATTAATAAAACATGATTACAGAGGACAATATGTTCAGATGTTTATATTAATAAAACATGATTACATTAATAAAACATGATTACAGAGGACAATATGTTCAGATGTTTATATTAATAAAACATGATTACAGAGGACAATATGTTCAGATGTTTAATAATAAAACATGATTACATGATTACAGGACAATATGTTCAGATGTTTATATTAATAAAACATGATTACAGAGGACAATATGTTCAGATGTTTATATTAATAAAACATGATTACAGGGGACAATATGTTCAGATGTTTATATTAGTAAATCATGACAATATATTAATACATGATTACAGTGGACAATATGTTCAGATGTTTATATTAATAAAACATGATTACAGAGGACAATATGTTCAGATGTTTATATTAATAAAACATGATTACAGAGGACAATATGTTCAGATGTTAATAATAATAAAACATGATTACAGAGGACAATATGTTCAGATGTTTATATTAATAAAACATGATTACAGAGGACAATATGTTCAGATGTTAATAATAATAAAACATGATTACAGAGGACAATATGTTCAGATGTTAATAATAATAAAACATGATTACAGTGGACAATATGTTCAGATGTTTATATTTCTATAGTAATCCACTCTAGGATGACACAGGAGACCATATTGCTATCTTTTAGTTTTCATGTGCGAGATCTAGTTAGGCAGCAACTAACTGTCACTTGATATGTGTAGATTCAATTCTAAACGATCATTATCTTAAATGTTATACTTAGATGTGTTCATTTTATGGTTTTTATTCAGTGATACCAAGGGCAATTAAAGGTATGAGGAAGGAATTGGTGGACAAATATATGAATCTTCTTTCTAAAGGAAGTTATCAGTCCTCCAACATCCGCCTGATGGTGGTGGGCAACGATCGTGTTGGCAAGACAACACTTTGTCAAAATATGCTCAAGGACAAGAAATTTGGTAATACTAATGGTACAGATGGTATTGATGTATTTGTGCACAGTTACCAAATTGACACCACGACGAAAAAAAAAGAGAAGCTTGGACAGACAGAGCATGTAGTTGCTTTGCAGAAACTAGCATGCGCAACAGTTTATGGCAAACCAATGTGGACAGAGGTTGAGGAGAAAGAGGAGGAGCAACCAGAGGAGGAGGAAAACATGGCAGAAGGAGCAGGTAGGATTAGCAAGTTTATGTATTATTGTCTATCATTTATAGACAGAGGTAGGGTAGATAACTCTGTGTAACATCCACTGTGGTAGGGTGAATAACCCTTTATATCTGTTTGTCCATTGTCTTGGTTATAAACAGTAGTAAGGGATGCAGTATATGGCGCTACTAGAAATTTTTCTGCATATAGTTGTTGCTATGTGCGTTCAACTTTAATAATGATAATAATAATAATAGTAAACTTTTTTTAGCCAACGGCTAATCTTTCACATGGTCCTTTGGTTAGTTAAATAATATTAGTTAAAATCTACAAATTTACCTACATGAATCAAGTTTACACTACAAACTACATATAAAACAACAAAGGGATTTTAAACTAATCTTAGGAACAAAACAAAAGTATCAGATACATTAATTAAAATTATCACAGAATGCACAATTACAATTGCAAAAATATTTCATCAATTTAATGGCAGGTGCCTAATATACATACATGCTAATATAGCAAACAGATAAAAATTGACATAGTTATACACTAATATAGCATAGTCTAAAATTTAGGTCAATATGGTGGTAAAAAAGTTGAATAAGAATGTCAAATATATTACAAAGAGATATTAGACTTTCTGTCTATCCTATCATGTTTGGATCATAACTTTGCTGTCATTTGAACTAAGATAATGAAATTGTTCTATACATTGGTCATACTAATATGATGAGCAGTCTTTTTAATTCAGGGCCCAAAATCCCTTTTTATATAGAGTTATTGCCCTTTGTTGAAATTTTCTGTCCTGTAAACTTGCTTATGATGGGCATTCATCAGTTTCCCTGATACTCATGCTAGTTAATTATACGTAACTTGACATTTTTCACTGTAACATTTTAGAGACAGACTCTGTACCACATTTTTCTTCACGAGAATCCATCGATGTGCCAGTGACACCTCCAGTTACCACGATTCCTGCAAATACACTTGAGAATAAGTTTGAACAGATTGATATAAACCAGCCTATCAACCTCTCCAAGACGGCCCATCCTGTGAAAAGTAACTACGTTGTTGGTAAAAAAACTGGTGAGATATTAATACCAGACTATGTGAAGAGAGATGTGGACTGTATCCTTGACGAAGCAGACAAACTGCGGTTAGCTGGAAGAGCAGCTGAAAAGGACAATATTGCCTACTTATCCATGTGGGATTTTGGTGGAGAGAAGGTTTTCTATGATACTCATCATGTCTTCCTCAGCAAGGATGCTGTTTACTTACTGTGTTTCAATGTCAAAGAATATCAAGAGAAAAAGAATCACCGTAAGTATATCTTATTCTGAATTATTGTCAAAACTGACATAGTTTGCAAAGACATATCATTGATATTGAATCCAAATCTTCGTGTGAAAGTGGACATAAGTTAAGTTTGATTAAAATCTCTACAGGAATAAGGCTACTGGAGTCCTGAGAATTACTTTTGTTATAGTAATGGTGGCAAAGACATATCATTGATATTGAATCCAAATTTTCATGTGAAAATGAATATAAGTTAAGTTTGATTAAATTCTCTACAGGAATAAGGCTACTGGAGTCCTGACAATAAAATCGCTACAGGAATAAGGCCACTGGAGTGCTGACAAATACTTTTGTTATAGTAATGGTGGCAAAGACATATCATTGATATTGAATCCAAATTTTCATGTGAAAATGACTATAAGTTAAGTTTGATTAAATTCTCTACAGGAATAAGGCTACTGGAGTCCTGACAATAAAATCGCTACAGGAATAAGGCCACTGGAGTCCTGACAAATACTTTTATTTTATTGTAATGGTGGCCTTGACCCTAAAACTTTGCAATAGCTGAGATCACTGCTTCATTACAAATATTAGTCATCCGGAATACACTCGCGTACTGTGTACATGCTGATTACAAATATTAGTTGTCCAGAATATACTCGCGTACTGTGTACATGCTGATTACAAATATTAGTTGTCCAGAATACACTCGCGTACCGTGTACATGCTGATTACAAATATAAGTCATCCGGAATACACTCGCGTACCGTGTACATGCTGATTACAAATATTAGTCATCCGGAATACACTCGCGTACCGTGTACATGCTGATTACAAATATTAGTTGTCCAGAATACACTCGCGTACCGTGTACATGCTGATTACAAATATTAGTCATCCGGAATACACTCGCGTACCGTGTACATGCTGATTACAAATATTAGTTGTCCAGAATACACTCGCGTACCGTGTACATGCTGATTACAAATATTAGTCATCCGGAATACACTCGCGTACCGTGTACATGCTGATTACAAATATTAGTTGTCCAGAATACACTCGCGTACCGTGTACATGCTGATTACAAATATAAGTCGTCCAGAATATACTCGCGTACCATGTACATGCTGATTACAAATATAAGTCGTCCAGAATACACTCGCGTACCGTGTACATGCTGATTACAAATATAAGTCGTCCAGAATACACTCGCGTACCGTGTACATGCTGATTACAAATATAAGTCGTCCAGAATACACTCGCGTACCGTGTACATGCTGATTAGAAATATAAGTCGTCCAGAATACACTCGCGTACCGTGTACATGCTGATTAGAAATATAAGTCGTCCAGAATACACTTGTGTACCGTGTACATGCTGATTACAAATATAAGTTGTCCAGAATACACTCGTTTACCGTGTACATGCTTGTAGATTTAATACTGATTCAGGGGACTTGCTTTGTTTTCATGCTCCTCAATCTGTTTCCATTGATGTGTTTGCTAGGCTTGAACACAAACTGAATGAAAGACCTTGCCCTGGTGGACTGACGATCCAGAGCTTTAAATGAGGTGTTACTGTGTTTTTCGCTCTTCCAGCATGTGCAATAACTCTATTCTTGATATATTCTGAAGCTTGTTGACCAATATAACCATGTAGCCCTTATTGTAAAAGACAGATTGAAGCTTATTATTGGGCGATGAATGGAGAAACTTATTGTATAAAGAGAGATTGACGCTTATTATTGCACGATGAATAGAGAAACTTATTGTATAAAGACAGATTGAAGCTTATTATTGGGTTGATGAATGGAGAAACTTATTGTATAAAGAGAGATTGAAGCTTATTATTGGGTTGATGAATGGAGAAACTTATTGTATAAAGAGAGATTGAAGCTTATTATTGGGCGATGAATGGAGAAACTTATTGTATAAGACAGATTGAAGGTTATTATTGCACGATGAATAGAGAAACTTATTGTATAAAGAGAGATTGAAGCTTATTATTGGGTTGATGAATGGAGGAACTTATTGTATAAAGAGAGATTGAAGCTTATTATTGCACGATGAATAGAGAAACGTATTGTATAAAGACAGATTGAAGCTTATTATTGGGTTAAATGAATGGAGAAACTTATTGTATAAAGACAGATTGAAGGTTATTATTGGGCGATGAATGGAGGAACTTATTGTATAAAGACAGATTGAAGCTTATTATTGGGTTGATGAATGGAGGAACTTATTGTATAAAGACAGATTGAAGCTTATTATTGGGCGATGAATGGAGAAACTTATTGTATAAAGAGAGATTGAAGCTTATTATTGCACGATGAATAGAGAAACGTATTGTATAAAGACAGATTGAAGCTTATTATTGGGTTGATGAATAGAGAAATGTATTGTATCAAGACAGATTGAAGCTTATTATTGGGTTGATGAATAGAGAAATGTATTGTATCAAGACAGATTGAAGCTTATTATTGGGTTGATGAATAGAGAAATGTATTGTATCAAGACAGATTGAAGCTTATTATTGGGTCCATGAATGGAGAAACTTATTGTATAAAGACAGATTGAAGCTTATTATTGGGTTGATGAATGGAGAAACTTATTGTATAAAGACAGATTGAAGCTTATTATTGGGTTGATGAATAGAGAAACTTATTGTATAAGACAGATTGAAGCTTATTATTGGGTCCATGAATGGAGAAACTTATTGTATAAGACAGATTGAAGCTTATTATTGGGTCCATGAATGGAGAAACTTATTGTATAAAGACAGATTGAAGCTTATTATTGGGTTGATGAATGGAGAAACTTATTGTATAAAGAGAGATTGAAGCTTATTATTGGGTTGATGAATGGAGAAACTTATTGTATAAAGACAGATTGAAGCTTATTATTGGGTTGATGAATGGAGAAACTTATTGTATAAAGACAGATTGAAGCTTATTATTGGGTTGATGAATGGAGAAACTTATTGTATAAAGAGAGATTGAAGCTTATTATTGGGTTGATGAATGGAGAAACTTATTGTATAAAGACAGATTGAAGCTTATTATTCGGTTAAATGAATGGAGAAACTTATTGTATAAAGAGAGATCGAAGCTTATTATTGGGTTGATGAATGGAGAAACTTATTGTATAAAGACAGATTGCAGCTTATTATTGGGTCGATGAATGGAGAAACTTATTGTATAAAGAGAGATTGAAGGTTATTATTGGGTCGATGAATGGAGAAACTTATTGTATAAGAAAGATTGAAGCTTATTAATGGGTTGATGAATGGAGAAACTTATTGTATAAAGAGAGATTGAAGCTTATTATTGGGTCGATGAATGGAGAAACTTATTGTATAAAGAGAGATTGAAGGTTATTATTGGGTCGATGAATGGAGAAACTTATTGTATAAGACAGATTGAAGGTTATTATTGGGTTGATGAATGGAGAAACTTATTGTATAAAGACAGATTGAAGCTTATTATTCGGTTAAATGAATGGAGAAACTTATTGTATAAAGAGAGATCGAAGCTTATTATTGGGTTGATGAATGGAGAAACTTATTGTATAAAGAGAGATTGAAGCTTATTATTGGGTCGATGAATGGAGAAACTTATTGTATAAAGAGAGATTGAAGCTTATTATTGGGTCGATGAATGGAGAAACGTATTGTATAAAGACAGATTGAAGCTTATTATTGGGCGATGAATGGAGAAACTTATTGTATAAAGAGAGATTGAAGGTTATTATTGGGTTGATGAACAGAGAAACGTATTGTATAAAGACAGATTGAAGCTTATTATTGGGTTGATGAATGGAGAAACTTATTGTATAAAGAGAGATTGAAGCTTATTATTGGGCGATGAATGGAGAAACTTATTGTATAAAGAGAGATTGAAGGTTATTATTGGGCGATGAATGGAGAAACTTATTGTATAAGACAGATTGAAGCTTATTATTGGGTTGATGAATGGAGAAACTTATTGTATAAAGAGAGATTGAAGCTTATTATTGGGCGATGAATGGAGAAACTTATTGTATAAAGAGAGATTGAAGCTTATTATTGGGCGATGAATGGAGAAACTTATTGTATAAAGACAGATTGAAGCTTATTATTGGGCGATGAATGGAGAAACTTATTGTATAAAGAGAGATTGAAGCTTATTATTGGGTCGATGAATGGAGAAACGTATTGTATAAAGACAGATTGAAGCTTATTATTGGGCGATGAATGGAGAAACTTATTGTATAAAGAGAGATTGAAGGTTATTATTGGGTCGATGAATGGAGAAACGTATTGTATAAAGACAGATTGAAGCTTATTATTGGGTTGATGAATGGAGAAACTTATTGTATAAAGAGAGATTGAAGCTTATTATTGGGTCGATGAATGGAGAAACGTATTGTATAAAGACAGATTGAAGCTTATTATTGGGTCCATGAATGGAGAAACTTATTGTATAAAGAGAGATTGCAGATTATTATTGGGTCGATGAATGGAGAAACTTATTGTATAAAGAGAGATTGAAGCTTATTATTGGGTTGATGAATGGAGAAACTTATTGTATAAGACAGATTGAAGCTTATTATTGGGTTGATGAATGGAGAAACTTATTGTATAAAGACAGATTGAAGCTTATTATTGGGTTGATGAATGGAGAAACTTGGTCATTCAATTTGTACTTTGCCATGATTAATATAGTGAACTTCTTATAACACAACCTGTGGAAGGTTTGAATCTGACATTTCAATGACCATGGATTGTGTTATAAGATGCAGTTGACCGTGTAGTCATTGAAACATCATACTCTAATCTTCAACTGGTTGTGTTATAAGATGAAGGTGACCATGTAGTCATTGAAACGTCACACTCTAATCTTCAACTGGTTGTGTTATAAGATGAAGGTGACCGTGTAGTCATTGAAACATCATGCTCTAATCTTCAACTGGTTGTGTTATAAGATGAAGGTGACCGTGTAGTCATTGAAACGTCACACTCTAATCTTCTACTAATTGTGTTATAAGGACTTCTATTCTATTGACATTACTAACTTGAAGAAAATGTTAAGAAATTTGCCATGATTTGCTTTTTATTTTGCTGTTTGCTATGTTGATAAAAACACAGGATCATAAATTTTGTACCTGATCTTATAAATGTGTAATTCTGATTTTAGAACCAATACTATTCTGGCTCCAATCTATTGCTACGTACTCTGAGTGTAATGGACAGTGTAAGGGACCCCCTGTCATCCTGATAGGTACTCATACAGACAAGATGGAGGGCACAGTGAGTATGATATGAGTATTTATAGGTTATCATACAGACAAGATGGAGGGCACAGTGAGTATGATATGAGTATTGATAGGTTATCATACAGACAAGAAGGAGGGCACAGTGAGTATAATATGAGTATTTATAGGTACTCATACTGACGAGAAGGAGGGCACAGTGAGTATGATACGAGTATTTATAGGTTATCATACAGACAAGAAGGAGGGGACAGTGAGTATAATATGAGTATTTATAGGTACTCATACTGATGAGAAGGAGGACACAGTGAGTATGATGTGAGTATTTATAGGTTATCATACAGACAAGATGGAGGGCACAGTGAGTATAATTTGAGTATATATAGGTACTCATACAGACAAGATGGAGGGCACAGTGAGTATAATATGAGTATTTATAGGTTATCATACAGACAAGATGGAGGGCACACTGAGTATGATATGAGTATTTATAGGTTATCATACAGACAAGATGGAGGGCACACTGAGTATGATATGAGTATTTATAGGTTATCATACAGACAAGATGGAGGGCACACTGAGTATGATATGAGTATTTATAGGTTATCATACAGACAAGATGGAGGGCACACTGAGTATGATATGAGTATTTATAGGTTATCATACAGACAAGATGGAGGGCACACTGAGAATGATATGAGTATTTATAGGTTATCATACAGACAAGATGGAGGGCACACTGAGTATGATATGAGTATTTATAGGTTATCATACAGATAAGATGGAGGGCACACTGAGTATGATATGAGTATTTATAGGTTATCATACAGACAAGATGGAGGGCACACTGAGTATGATATGAGTATTTATAGGTTATCATACAGACAAGATGGAGGGCACACTGAGTATGATATGAGTATTTATAGGTAATCATACAGACAAGATGGAGGGCACACTGAGTATAATAATAGTGTTGTTTTTAAATGATTGTATTTTTCACAATTCTGTTTGTTAAAATCACAAAAAATTAATCCCGTTTTAGATTTAAAAGTGAATCCTTGATGACATTGAAGCTATTATATCAAATTATATAGCTAAATTTCTTGGGCCCAGTGAAAGTTATAAGATTCTTTCTTCAAGTTTTAGTTTGATTTTAGAAATTTGAACAATAAAAAATCCACGATCTTTATCAACAATCATAAACTGAAACATTAGATTTCTTCTCTCATATTAAGGTCACTTTTACCCTAATCAAAAATCATTGCTGAGATGAAGTATCACAAAACTGAAATCACTTGTTTGCTTGAAAACCAAGAAAAAAGGGGAAAAAAACAATCTAAAACCTTGATTTTACATGATAGCTAGAGTGTTACAACACTGTAAAATTTGAGGTATTTCAATTTCAGGAGGAAGAAAAAGAACGTGAATTTGAAAGAATTTGCGCCGAAATCACTTCTCTTGATATTGTTAAACCAATCAGAGGCCAGATTATGAACTACTTTTGTGTCGATAACAGCAATGCAAGTGACACCAAGTTTGATGACGTCCTTGATGCTGTTATAGAAGCTGCCAAATATCAATCACAATGGAAGAGAGATATTCCTACAAAATGGCTGGCACTGGAGCGGGAAATCATGAAGGTGAAGAAACACAAAGTTAAAACGTTTCAAGATATTGTGAATTTAGATGAGAAGATGGAAGTACCAATAGGAGATGAAGACGAAATCCGAATGTTTTTAAGGTGAGATCTGCTAATGCCTCTGTCATCTTGATTTATTTCTGAGGTGACAATTGCTATAGGTGTATAACAATTATAATTTAGTAATGTCTGTAGTTGTATTGCTATGATTATGACCTAGAGGTAAAAACTGCTTGATGTAGTTTGTCAATCCTCTTAGAATTTCTGAAGAGTACACTTTAATATATTGCAGGAGCAACCTGGAAGTGTTTTTCCAATTCTGGACAAGAACATTTATTGCATTTACATGATAAATTGATATGAATCTGATGTTGTGATATTGATACTTTTTGTAGGCTGTCATCATGGAATTGCATGGCATTTCTTCAACGTAATTACTTTTACTATTTGTAATAATTAAATGAAGGAATTTCAATATCCGAAAACAGTTGTTCTTTTATTTTGGTTGGTACATCATGGAAAAGCATGAACATTTAATTAATAAACAAGTTGCTGTTTACAGTGTCTTTGGCATTTTTCATTCCTCTAAGTAATTCTACTCACCTTTCCAGTCAAATAATTACACCGTCATTAATATCCATTATCACGTCACATTCTTGTAATCACAAATTGTCACTTCAGAGATGTCATCTTTTGTAAATATCATCCTGATGATGACCGCATAGCAGTGGAAATATGTCGAGGATGTACCAACCGCAATAAAGGAAAAACTGTTTTTGGGTGTAGAGATTCCTTCATTAAATTATCATATTTATTCAGGATCTCTAGTGATTACTGCATCCATCTAGGAACATTGTCGCTTTCATAGACGTTAGGAGTGTTGGTTTTCCCAAAGCATCATTTTTCTATTAGTTTTTTTTTTATGTAATTCTAGTATCTGCACATGGGGCTAGTGAATGTAGTGGAAGTATTGAATGTTAACACAAGAAAACACAGAGTGCTAGGTTTTAAAAAATAATTATATTGAACTTATATTTCAGCTACTTACATCTGATGGGATACATCATGTATTTTGATGAGGATGTGGGCCTTGACGGTCCTCATCGCTACAAAGATCTGACGATCATCATTGACCCACAGTGGGTCATTTATGCCTTCCGCAGACTCATTACCAATCCCAAAAATATAAAAAGTAAAGGCTGTAACAGAATGGTGATGTGGAACAGATATATAAATGATGGCCTACTCACTACACCACTCATTGATGAATTGTGGAAAAAAGGAAAGATGGACACAGAAGACTTCCTAGCTTATAAAGCAGTACTACTGCCAGTGATGGAAAGGCTTGGACTCATTGCACCCCCTGTGTCCCACAAATCCAAAGCAGATTGTCCAGAAAATTTGAAGTACTATATTGTTCCTAGCATGTTGTCAGATGTCAATGAGAAGTGGGTGAATGACCTTACTGAAGCAGTAGGCTTCCAGAAAACAGCAACATTGCGTTTTACTTTAAAGGATCAATTTATCTCCCTTCCTGTGTTCCATAAACTACTGGCAGTTTGTTTGTCCAGATTTAAGTTGCCACCAAGTCTTGATCTTCCAGAAGGACATGAGTTCAATCAGACAGACTGCATCAAGAAAGGTTTCGGCTGCTTTGAGGTGAATGGAGCTTGGAAAGTCATTTTACATCACAACAACTCAGGCATCAATGTAACGCTATTCACCTATAGCGACAAAGACTCAGTAATCAGAGCTGGAGTTGGAGTTGATGTGCGCATATTCCTTGAAGAAACATTACTGGAAGTGCTAAGACTGCAGGGCCAAAATGCAAAAAATCTCACCTTTGTGTATCACTTAGGCTTAGATATTTTACAGGTACATCAAGCTGGAAAGTTTAGACCTGTGACACAGTTTGACGCCCTTGGCGAAAGTGATACAATGTTTTTAACCGGAGGGAAATACCTAAGGAAAGTGGATTGTTATCCCTGGTTCTGTACCCAGGAGGAGGAGGTAGGTGACAAGTGGTCAAATATAAACTTCCAGTTCTCAAAATTTATTATGCAAGATATTTAAGTGGTCAATTAACTTTGTTTTTAAATTTCTACAAAAATGTTCAGATCAGAATTGAAACTTTATAGAAATCTACTGGTCCAGCTTCAATTTTATTTCCTGAATCATGAGTACATCTCTTATCAAAGCTAATTACACTTAAATATCTTTTGATGGTGACTATGGCATTCTTGTCACTGACACAATCAAGTTTATGTTTACTACTTTTGCTGTCTTTTGAAATTTAGAAAGGAAATTTAAATTCTTTTATTTTTAACCTTTTGTAACTAATATAAAGCCACTATCTAAAGTGGATAGCGTGCTTTAAATTTGTAATTTTTTGTTGAAGTTTATTTTTTGTCAATTTTGCAGGTAGTTTTTATCCACAAAACTTAACCAAAATAAATCAACAAAACTTAACCAAAATAAATCAACAATTGACAAATTAGAAATTTTCACAACATCTTAGTTATGTGTATGGCCCTGAACTTTTCAAATAAAATTTGACAAGGATGGTTTTCACTACATATTACACTTAATCTGTATTCTGTATATATACATACAGTTTATACCCCATCTGGGCCTCCTCAACATGAAGGATACCAAAAGGGGAAATTAGATTATATTTTGCTTCGAAATGCTACTCCTTTTTAATGCCTGGATACATTTCAACCAAATTTGATCTGAAACATCATTGAGGGTGGAGAATTATTTCTTAAATTCAGAAAGATGATCAAACTACAAGAGACTTAGGGCTGGGATCCAAATGGGAAGTATCAATATCATGCTTTAAAAGTTACTCTTCCTTAATGTTTGAATGGATTCAACCCAAATGTGGTCTGAAATATCATTGTTGGTAGGGAATCATTTCTTAAATTCAGAAAATCCCTAGAAGCTTGGGGACTGTGTCTCAAATGGGGAAGTTAGTCAAAGTTCCTTCAAAATGCTACTTTTCCTTCATGCATGGATGGATTTCAATCAAATTTTGCCTTAAACATCAGTAAAGGTTGGCAATAAATGATTAAATTCCGCAGGTTGATATGACCCCTAGAGAATTAGGGGTTTTGATGCCTAATGGGGAAGTTAGCCAATGTCTTGCTTCAAAATGGCACTCTTCATTAATGGTTGAATCAATGGATTTATACCAAATGATACATCTGAAAAAACTTTGTGGGATCTCATCAGATTTGCAAGACCATCTGCAATTCTGTGGTTTGTCTATCCATTTATTGATTATCAGAAGACCATTAAGGACCATGGCCCTTTTGTTGAGCATAGTGTTGATTATTTCCCACTGGAAATAACTTTACAAGAACTGTCAGTATAGGATGACAGTTTTCATGGCTTACTATCATCAATATCACCATTTCTTTTTCATGACAATTGAAATCCACTTACCTTTTATCCTTCATATTCAATATTGCTTATCTCGGGTGAACATCAAGGCAGCTAGGCCTCTTGTTAGTTGTGCATTGGAAAAATATTTAATAAATGTTTATACATTTGATTAAGGCAAAATCGAGATGAACGACTCAAATACTTTTTGTATATTAACCTAAGTGGAGTTTACAAGGTCAAATAACAAAGAGATATTCATAATCTTCAGGCATCATTCTTTGAAAAAAAAAAAGACTGTAAACTGGTTTATATACGTAATCAAGAACTTTGTTTATTCTCATTTACAGGGAGAGCCTATCCCAGTTGCATGTAAGTAAGATTTCTGACCATATATTCTTCAATAATTTGTTGGTACATGAAAATTTCATTGTTATTCAGTTAGCCTCCAAACTTGCTGTTAAGTGTAGATCAGTTTTGTTATTCTTTATTGATTCAATATCACCCCAAATGTAACAATTTCTGTTGAACTATGATTTATTTTTGCTTTTTCAGGTCACCAGAGACAAAGTCTTATGGTGACCTTTTGTGATGCACCTTTATCCTGCGTCATCTGTATGTAAACTTTTTACATTTCTGACTTCTTTTGGAAAACTCCTGAATTGATTTCAGTGAAAGTTAGCAGGATCCTTCCATGACCAAAAGTGAACAAAATTGTAAATGTAGGGGCCTGAGGGGCAGGGCAAAGAAGGTTTAAATTGACTGAAATTTCAATAATCTTCTTTCCAATGGTATAATGAAAAAGTTTCTGTTGGAAACTGATCAAACTTAGAATAGTTAGAAGAGAATGACAGTTTGTTGCTATGCACATATTGACCCTGACTGACCCTCAGGGACTGATAAACAGGGCCACAAAAGGTGTGATTGGCTGAAATTTCAAAAAAATCTCAATGCCCCAATATGGTATAATCATATACTCTTCATGTATAGAAAGGTCTTAAGTTGTTTTACCAAAATTGTGAATTTCACGATCATTTCTCCCTGGGGAGAAGGTTGACTTGGATATTTTCTGTTGGATATATAATAAATTTGTTAGTATAGAATGACAGTTTGATGTCATGCACATACTGTCTCTGACAGACTCCCAGGGGCTAAATGGCATGGCCAAAAAGGGTCATATTTACTGAAATTTTAAACATCTTCTAAATATCCAAATAGGATAAAATGAAATACTGTTCATGGATGGAAGGGACTTAAGGTGCTTTACCACAAATATAAATTTTCTGCCCCAAGGTCTGTCCTATTTTTCCTGGGGAGGGAGTAAAGTTTACTATAGTTTATATATATATATAAATAACATTTTTGAGCATAATTTGTAAATTTTTTATCGGGAATAGATTAAACTTGGTTTGAAGTCTTAGTATAGGATGACAGCTTAATTTTATGTGCATATTGACTCTTGCTGACACCTAGGGGCTGATGGTTGGTGCTAGAAAGGGTCAAATTGAAGGAAATCTTTTTTTGTCACAACCTAAATATGGTAGAATAAGATATTCTTCATGGATGGAAGGGTCTTTGCATGTCTTTCTCTGGCTGACTCCATGGGGCTGATTGGCGTTGCCAAAAAGGGTGCGACTGACTGAAATTTCAAAACTCTTCTAAATACACAGATAGAGTGGAATCAAATACTCTTCATGGATGGATTGGTCTGAAAATAACACTTCTGTCTGTGTACAAATATCATTTCTAATTTTCTCTTCTCTATACTTCACATTCATTCCAAAGTTTTCAGTGTGAGAGTTCACTCAGGTGACTGTTTAGGCCTCTGGGCCTCTTGTGAAGCTCACTTGGCAGAGTCCTTCACCTGTCATCTGCCACATATTAAGAGAGGTCATCCTTCGTTGACCATATCTGTTTTAGGACATAAGCAATTATACAAAACCAAACCAGTGTGGAATTATGTACATGTATGAGTAGCTCATTACACACTGTGTTGTATTTTGATCTATATGTGCTCTATTCATATCAGCTTTATTGTGTCCAATAGATTTCCTGCCTTCACATCGTCAGAATCTTGTTCCCGAAGAAATCCACCTGGCAAGGATCAGTAAATGTATCTGCCTCAGAGGTGAGGTTGGCAAGGAGCACTTTGGTTTGGAGTTGGGGCTGCAGAGACATCATATCTGCAACATCCAGGCGGAGTACACAGGAGATGCTGAACAGATATACCAGATATTGGTGAAGTGGAAGACCTTAAATAGGAAAGGCAGGATTAGTGACATAATCAAGGCTATGAGAAAACTCGATATAGATCGTAAATTTTTCTGCCAAAAAGGGAGAGTGTTTGACTGACAGTTTACCAACCCATGGTTAAATAACACAAGTTTACTGACTTTATTGTCCACAATTGTGTAATACTTCCAGTCCAACAAAGAGAAAACATTGCTGTACAATTCACTCATAGCTGACCAAGATCATGCAGTGCTGATGTACAATTCAACCATAGCTGACCAAGATCATGCAGTGTTGTTGTACAATTCAACCATAGCTGACCAAGATCAAGCAGTGTTGTTGTACAAGTCTCCCATAGCTGAACAAGATAATGCAGTGTTGTTGTACAATTCACTCATAGCTGACCAAGATCATGCAGTGTTGTACAATTCACCCATAGCTGACCAAGATAATGCAGTGTTGTTGTACAATTCAACCATAGCTGACCAAGATCATGCAGTGTTGTTGTACAAGTCACCCATAGCTGACCAAGATCATGCAGTGTTGTTGTACAATTCACTCATAGCTGAACAAGATAATGCAGTGTTGTTGTACAATTCAACCATAGCTGACCAAGATCAAGCAGTGTTGTTGTACAATTCAACCATAGCTGACCAAGATCATGCAGTGTTGTTGTACAATTCACTCATAGCTGAACAAGATCATACAGTGTTGTTGTACAAGTCACCCATAGCTGACTGTGATCATGCAGTGTTGTTGTACAATTCACTCATAGCTGAACAAGATCATGCAGTGTTGTTGTACAATTCACTCATAGCTGACAGGAATTACATCTTATTATTTCACTGATCACCAATTGATGACTGTAGTAACAGGTTCTGACAAGACTTATCAGTCACAATAAGTGTTTTAACATGTTTGTACTGATTGTGGGGTTTAAAACAGATAACACTGTATCTGTTAATACAACTTACTAAACAACAGTTCTACAATTTGATACAGTGATCCACACAAGTGTTAATATGATGGGCAGTGCAGTGATATCTTCACATGCCAACATAACATTGCTGTCCTATACGGACCCCAAATATACAGGATGAATTGATATGTATAGCAATATTATGTTATTTCTCACCTGTTGTGTGCGACATTTAGCGTGGAAGAGTAAGGCTGAATAAGGTATCTGCCTCAGACTAGTAGAGTTTGGAAACTGATAACCTTTAACCTTCATGATAAGGTCATGAATTGGTTACAGAATTTGTTTTGTACAGCTGTAGTGTAACAACAGGATTTATTTGTATAACTGAAGGAGGAATAAGTTTTGAAATATTCATGCCTACAAAGCTCTGTATTACAATGGAGTTTCATGTAAGTACCCCTGAAAAGGGAAGTCAGAGTCAATTTATAATGTAAATTGTGTACATAATGTTTGTCTTCTGATGCTGTAAAGGGTATCCATTAGACTGTATATAAACTTTTAAAGAAATCGCTGAGTAACATATTTAAACAGAATATACATACTCTGCTTTTCATTTATAAGCCCACCATCATCAGATGGTGGGTTAATTCAAATCGCCCTATGTCTGTGGTTCGTCCGTCTGTAAACAATTTATCTTGTTACTATTTGTTGAAGTACTAGATGTAGGTTTCCACTGGTCCTTAGTTGTGCCAGTTTGATTTTCATTCTGATCAGAAACACAGAATGGCCAACTGGTGGCCTTGAATTTTTACAGTAAAGATTGTTATGACCATTTTTTGAAGTACAAGATAGATATCTTTCAAATTTCATGTGTAGATTCCCTTTGGTCCCTAGTTAGGCCAGTTTGACTTTCGGATTGGACAGAAAATCAATTTTGCTTAGTAAAGTTTGTTATCATTTTTTCTTTACAAGTATTCTGAGGGTCTCTCTCAAATCTTATATGTATTTTCTCCTTGGTCCCTAGTTGTGCCCGTGATTTTGAGACTGATCAGAAAAACAAATGGTCGACAGTAGGTCATTTTTGATGTCATCTAGAAAAGAAAAAGAAAAAATTGGCTGTTTCTTATGAAGTACTGAATGGATTTCTCTTGTATTTCATCTGTAAATTTCTCTTGGTCCCTCGATTTACCCCTTTGATTTTGAGACTGATCAGAAAAAACAAAACGGCTTCCTGGCAACTATCATGGATTTGGTGGTTAAAGATTACTAACACAATATATGCAAAAGAGTGTTCTGATCATTATGAGCAAAAACATAGGAAAGAAGAGAAAAGATCCAACTTTCAAAATATCAAATAAAGATAAAGCAATGGAGGGCACCATGGTCACTTTGTGATCTCTGGTTGTTTGTTTTCTTCATTCATGTGATATTATAGTCTATGGAAGAACTTTTTACATTTAAACAGTTGCTCTACACTGTTAATGAGTAAACAATCTTAAATGAAATTACATTTCAGGTGAGATGTTATGGAATGAGATTTAACTTGTTTTATTTTTGCAAGCCTTAGCAAGCTAAAATAAAAAATATAAGAAGAGTTTCATAAAATCTCATATGAAATGAAAACAAAGTACTTTTTATCACATAATCAGAAAAGTTACATTAAGACCAGTTGTCAAATGTGAAGGACAAAATCAAATGGAGGCAGCCATTTTGTTGTGCCATTTTCAGTTCATGATGTAACATTAATGTTCATATTATGACATCACGATAAATTTCTGACTGGTGAAGCTGATAGAAAACCCACAGGGGTAAATTACATTATTGATATATATCTAAAGTTATTTCATGGATAATTTCAGTGGATTAACAGTACATTATGTCATTTATAGACATTCTTTAAATCAGAATCATAGCATAAATTATCTTAATCAGCAAGGGCTTTGCTTGTTATTAAATTCTCTTTAATATCACCAGCAGTTAAGGACAACTGAATTGGTTTTTGTTTATGAAACATTGGCCAAGGAATGTGGGGCCCAATAGGGTGAGTAAATTGAGATATCTCATTGGTTGGAATGTGGGGCCCAATAGGGGAGTAAATTGAGATATTTCATTGGTAGGAATATGGGGCCCAATAGGGTGAGTAAATTGAGATATCTCATTGGTAGGAATGTGATGCCCAATAGGGTGAGTAAATTGAGATATCTCATTGGTAGGAATGTGGGGCCCAATAAGGTGAGTAAATTGAGATATCTCGTTGGTAGAAATGTTATGCCCAATAGGGTGAGTAAATTGAGATATCTCATTGGTAGGAATGTGGGGCCCAATAGGGTGAGTGAATTGAGATATCTCATTGGTAGGAATGTGATGCCCAATAGGGTGAGTAAATTGAGATATCTCATTGGTAGAAATGTGGGGCCCAATAGGGTGAGTAAATTGAGATATCTCATTGGTAGGAATGTTATGCCCAATAGGGTGAGTAAATTGAGATATCTCATTGGTAGGAATGTGGGGCCCAATAGGGTGAGTAAATTGAGATATCTCATTAGTAGGAATGTGATGCCCAATAGGGTGAATAAATTGAGATATCTCATTGGTAGAAATGTGGGGCCCAATAGGGTGAGTAAATTGAGATATCTCATTGGTAGGAATGTGGGGCCCAATAGGGTGAGTAAATTGATATATCTCATTGGTAGGAATGTGGGGCCCAATAGGGTGAGTAAATTGAGATATCTCATTGGTAGGAATGTGGGGCCCAATAGGGTGAGTAAATTGAGATATCTCATTGGTAGGATTGTTATGCCCAATAGGGTGAGTAAATTGAGATATCTCATTGGTAGGAATGTGGGGCCCAATAGGGTGAGTAAATTGAGATATCTCATTGGTAGGAATGTGGGGCCCAATAGGGTGAGTAAATTGAGATATCTCATAGGATCAGAAGTTAGGGCCCAATTTGAAGTGTAAATAGAAATGTCTCATTTGAGGAGATGAGTGGCCCAATAAATCAGGAATGTATATGTCCATGCACTATTAGAATACGTATATGTTGATTTATTGATCTATAGTTCTCAAAATCACCAAATCAAGTGTTCAGGAAAAAAAGAAACCAAGAATATTTAGCTCCATGAATATGTCATTTTACAGTATAATGTATACTAATTGTAATAGATTTAATAATATTACATGGTAGATTCTGTTTTACAGCATTTTCTGCATCAGTGCCATTTAAGAATATAAATAAAAATCACTATTAGAAGGAACTGATTTAAATAAGCAGTTAACAAGAGTTCTGTGATGATTTTTATGATATGATGGGCTCGGATAACAAATAAAAAGAGAGTATGCCAGCTCCTATATATTCGTCAATATGATATTGTTTACAGCTGTCGGATCATCAAACTGTGACTAAACTTTATACGTTTGATCAGCACTTACGTACTATAACATTGTTATAGTACAATAACCTTGAAGGAAATCCTATTATTTCTAGGTCTACAATCTTTACATCTTAACATTAACACTTTTATGGAGAAAAGTAAACGTGGTAAGGTCCTAACACATGTCTTCAAATAGGAGAAAAATAAGATGAAATATGATGGGAGGAAGACTTTTATCAAACAAATACTAATTTGTTCAGATTAATGCAGCAACTTATGGATGTGTCTTTGAGGTTGGAATGTCATCCTACTGTTGTAACTACAGGTATTTGATGTCATTATCTATAGGAACAGAGGTTGGAATGTCATCCTACTGTTGTAACTATAGGTATTTGATATCAATATATATAAGCATTTAATGAATAGAGGCTATATTGTTATTATTATACTAGTTGAATTTTTGTTTCTATTAATTCATTATGTGATATGAGTAAAACATGATCACGAAGATGTAATCATTTATAATAAATTATGAAGTATGAAGACTTTGTTTTGTTTTTGATGTCGGTCAACAAAACCTTGGTTAACACAAGTTCTTATTTGATGAAATTTTGATAAGACATTTCAAGACAAGAGCTAGGTTTAACATTGAGCAGAATATGTACATAATCTATTATTTCGCTTATTACAGGTGTCATACACTACGTATGTCAGTGCTAGTACGCTTCACACTGGTCAATTGTCTGATGAAGGTGACCGTGTAGATCTCGAACACTAAGTATGTCAATCCTAGTACACTTTGGGCCTGGTGAGCTAACAATGATACAATGTAGTATTCTACATTGTCTATAATAACAATGTAACAATGTTATATTCTACATTGTCTATAATAACAATGATACAATGTAGTATTCTACATTGTCTATAATAACAATGTAACAATGTAATATTCTATATTGTCTATAATAACAATGATACAATGTAGTATTCTACATTGTCTATAATAACAATGTAACAATGTAATATTCTACATTGTCTGTAATAACAATGATGCAATGTAGTATTCTACATTGTCTATAATAACAATGTAAGAATGTAGTATTCTACATTGTCTGTAATAACAATGATACAATGTAGTATTCTACATTGTCTATAATAACAATGTAACAATGTAATATTCTACATTGTCTGTAATAACAATGATGCAATGTAACACATTGTCTATAATAACAATGTAAGAATGTAGTATTCTACATTGTCTGTAATAACAATGATACAATAATTCTACATTGTCTATAATAACAATGTAACAATGTAATATTCTACATTGTCTGTAATAACAATGATGCAATGTAGTATTCTACATTGTCTATAATAACAATGTAAGAATGTAGTATTCTACATTGTCTGTAATAACAATGATGCAATGTAGTATTCTACATTGTCTATAATAACAATGTAAGAATGTAGTATTCTACATTGTCTATAATAACAATGTAATATTCTACATTGTTTATAATAACAATGGTACAATGTAGTTTTTGTGTAGATCATGTATAAAGATATGATTTCAAGTTTGCAGCAATGTCTTCTATGTAAGCTGTAGTGTAGTTGAGCAATTTATCTCAAGCTATTTTGCCTCTTTCATAATAGGTCTTTGTAGTAAGATGACCATTAAGGCCCATGAGCCTCTCATTTTATTTCTACTATTTTTAATATCAATATTTCAGTATTCCCCATAGTGGTATAATTAGTTTTAATCAACAGTAAGTTACTGGTATAAATATCTTGGTATCTGTGGTAGTGATATCAAGCCATCAAGTGTTGATCATTTAAGATACAGGAGACATATCATTAGGCCTATATGATGATTGTCAGTGAAGAGGTATATATAAGCATAGTCAGTAACATAAAATATACCTTAAAGCCAAACGCCTTAAGTCACTGAATATTCTAAAGATTGTGTCTCACACTGGTTGGGGACCTGATAGAAAAGTTTTGCTAAGGCTTTATAGAGCTCTTAATAGATCGAAAATTAGACTACGGTTCCATTGTGTATGGATCTGCTAGACCTTCATATTTAAAATTATTAGACACTGTTTATCACCAGAGTCTGAGGCTTGCTCTCAGAGCTTTTAAGACTACACCTACAGCAAGCCTCTATGTAGAGGCTAATGAACCATCACTATATAGCCATCAAAATAAACTGGCTTTGCAATACACCTTTTCGCTAAAGTCGAATTGTTCAAATCCTGCTTTTTTTACAAAACACAAATATTGATATTGACCAAATTCAGTCATTTGGAACGATAGAAATTCCACCCTGGCTCCTGAATTCACCTGAAGTTGACTTTTCACTCCATGAAATGGTTCAATCCGACATTGACAGTTGCACCTTTCGTTCATCCTTCTCGAAATTGCAGTTAAAATATAAAACATTTCTACATTTATATACTGATGGTTCAAATGATAATGATAAGGTTGCTGCTGCCATGGATACAAAAGATGATGGTTCATACAACAATGTCGTCTACAACACAGGGTTCATACAACAATGTCATCTACAACACAGGGTTCATACAACAATGTCATCTGTAACACAGGGTTTATACAACAATGTCATCTGTAACACAGGGTTTATACAACAATGTCATCTGTAACACAGGGTTCATACAACAATGTCGTCTACAACACAGGGTTCATACAACAATGTCATCTACAACACAGGGTTCATACAACAATGTCATCTGTAACACAGGGTTTATACAACAATGTCATCTGTAACACAGGGTTCATACAACAATGTCATCTACAACACAGGGTTCATACAACAATGTCATCTGTAACACAGGGTTCATACAACAATGTTATCTGTAACACAGGGTTCATATAACAATGTCATCTACAACACAGGGTTCATACAACATCATCTGTAACACAGGGTTTATACAACAATGTCATCTGTAACACAGGGTTCATATAACAATGTCATCTACAACACAGGGTTCATATAACAATGTCATCTACAACACAGGGTTCATACAACAATGTCATCTGTAACACAGGGTTCATACAACAATGTCATCCATAACATGATGTCCTTCATCTATCCAATGAGGTGAGAGTACTCTATTCTGAGGAGGAAAATGTTTTTGAGGCAAGATGTCATCATACCTGATATGAAAAGTGAATTTTGTTGCATTGCTGTGTCAATTTCAAATATTTGCTTAATCAGAATAATACAGAAACATACTCAAATGTGGATTTTGAACCGTTTAGCTATAACCACAAAACATTAAGTAAAAACAGCTACACCAAATTCGTGCAAAAGTCTATAAAATAGTGTTTTTAGCTGACCTTGTCAGAAGGGCCAAGAGAGCTATTGGGAGGTCATTTGTCATCCATCATGCATCTGAAAATTTTTCTAAAAAATCCTACTAGTCATAAACTGAGGGGATTTTGACCAAATGTGGTCAGAAGCATCTATAAGGGATGGGAATTTTTTCTGTATAAATGGTGAGTCATGGCCCTCCAGGGCCGGAGGGGCAGGACCCAATAAGTAAAATAGAACAAATTATTTACAATCCTACTCCTTCTGTAGGAATGATTGGATTTTGTTCTAATTTTGGTGTGAATAATGTTTGGGTGAAGGAGAATCAATTTTGTAAAAATGGTGGATCTTGGCCCCCTTGGGGTGGGGCCGAAAGAGGATAGAGCAACTTTTATCAAAACCTTACTCCTCCTGTAGGAATGATTGGTTTTTGTCCTAATTTAGTCTGAATCATGTTTGTGAGAAGATGAATCAACATTTTTTTTAAAAAGTTGGATCGCGGCCCCCTGGGACAGAAGTGGCAGGGCCAAATTGGGGAAATAGAACAAATTCTTTTCAATCCTATTCCTTCTGTAGGAATGATTGGATTTTGTCCTAATTTGGTATGGGCTGGAGGGGCGGGGCCAAAGAGTGGAAATAGAACAAATCCTTGAAATCATACTCCTCCAGTACAAATGAATGGATATTTCCCAAATTTAGTCTGAAGTATTCTTGGGTCAAACAGAATCAGTTGTAAATAAATAGTAAATTCTGGCCCCCTAGGGTGGGAAGGGCGGAGCCCTTCTGGGGAAATACAATAAATTCCTTGAAATCATACTTCTCCATTAAGAATGATTGAACATCTTCAAAATTTGATCAAAAGTATTCTTGGGTGAAGGTTTGTGTAAGGATTAGTTCCCAGGGGCCTTTGGGGCAGGGCCTAAATGGGAAATGCCCAAATTTGGTTTGAAGTATCATTGGGTGAAGAGGATGCAATAATGTTGTCGAAGTTTATTCTGAAGCAATTTTTATTTAATAGTGAATCAGATCTCTGGTTGACCACAAGGATGGAACTAAATAGGGAAAATATATCGGAAATTAATTGTCATATTTGAAATTCTTTATCAAATGACCACATAGCTAAATTAGTCAGGTGAGCAATGCAGGCCCTTTGGGCCTTTTGTTAGACCTTTCAATGACCTTTTCTTCTCTGTCACATGGTTGACTGAAATTGACAGGAGACAATTTGAAGCATTTTGTAAAGCTGAACATATATAAACACAAGTATTTATAACTAACGTTTTTCTGACGTTGAAGAATTCCTAATGTAGCAAATTTGTATAGATTTGTTTTCATTATTATTTAATCAAACATACTTGATATTGGTAACTGGAAGTTGATAATATCAGAGTCCATGGTTAACTACATTGTAATATCACGCAGTCAACTACATTGTAATATCACACATGATCAAATACATTGTAATATTACACATGGTCAACTACATTGTAATATAACACACAGTCAACTACATTGTAATATAACACATGGTCAACTACATTGTAATATCACACATGGTCAACTACATTGTAATATTACACATGGTCAACAGCATTGTAATATAACACATCAACTACATTGTAATATAACACATGGTCAACTACATTGTAATATAACACATGGTCAACTACATTGTAATATAACACATGGTCAACTACATTGTAATATAACACATGGTCAACTACATTGTAATATCACACATGGTCAAATACATTGTAATATCACACATTGTTAACTACATTGTAATATAACACCTGGTCAACTACATTGTAATATCAGACATGGTCAACTACATTGTAATATAACACACAGTCAACTACTTTGTAATATAATGTTGAAGATGCAGGCTTTTTATGATTAAATGAGCATTATGATGAGGCATGATTGCTGAAATATGGATACATATTATTATCAATCGATCAACCTGAGTTTACCATAATTAGAGCATAAAATACACAAACAGGATACCTTTTTCCTGAATATTGTTAATGTATAAATGAGGACCATCAAAATACAGCGACTGATAAATGATAGCCATGTGACCTCTAACACTAATCAAGTGCACGGACCATGTGAGTTGAATCAGAAGGCTGGACAGAAGTACAGATGAACACATGCATGTGCAAATGAACAATTTGATAATGAACTGAAAACAAACACTCACAGATTACACTGTAATGCCACAATGACAAGAAAGCAATCAAGAGGACTCAAAGTTTGACATGGAAAAGAATAACTACAACATCTAATGACTGGTGTCATGTTAAATAAGAGGTTATACATCTTTTATTTTTCTCATCTCTTTAGTGAGTGATTTCCATTGATGTGATATATAAACATGTCACATAGTTTTCCATTTTAGCTCACCAGAGGTTCAAATACATGAAAAAAACTTGTTTCAAAAATATATAATGAAATTCATGATCCTACAAATAAGGCAACAATATGATGATACATAATATAAGGTATCAAGAGAACTAGTAGTACATATTTTAGTGTTGGAAATCCAATCCTTCTTAGGGTATATAGTTGGTCTGTTCAGCAGTATTCCTGTCCTTTTATGATGGACACAAGGGATGAGAGATTTGTGCTTACAGGACAATGATATAGTATTTCATTTCCTTTAACAAATACTGCATCTTGTTATAAGTTTGAGGTTCTCCACTCTACTTGGGAGTCAAACTCTCTCATTCTGCACCATTCTATATAATTGCTGCGGCCTCTAATCAAGCTGAGTCACAATCCAGTAACATGTCTGGTCAGGTTGAATGGATGTGTTTTACCTCTCAATTTGAACTACTCACGTATGTTAGTTAATATTTGTTCCATAATGATATAAGATATAACCAAATTCCATTCAATATCAGACATTAGCAATCTACCAATGCTCCAGAGAGAATTTCAGTGTAGTGACAGGTCAAACATTAAAAGGTATCCATGGGTACCTGACCTGATATAACTAAGATGCAATGATTATCCTCTAATTTATACATAATCTATGGAACAACAATTGTACTATGATTCACACAAATAACACTCTTGTTATTTATAATCATATTCCTTGCTTTTTCCTTCACTACATTCAAAAATGGGGCAAAGTCACAATTGGCCGGGTTGTGAGATGAGTGCAATGTTATATGGTATTTATAAGGTAGTTAAGGGTGTTTCCTTTGTTGAGTATGTAGAATTTTTGTTATAAGAGGCAAAGGCTGCCATCTTGGATTTTCCATGCCAGACTGTTGAAAATGACTAAGTTCAAAGCCCGGAAAATCAAGAAAAAACGTCCAGAATGAATCAATATTAATAAGAGGTGCACATCTTTAACATATATATATAAATATCCTACAAAGTTTCAAGCCTCTACATCAAAAACATTAGGAGGCGTTGATTCTACAAAACTGGTACCCCTTTTCCCTGCCAAACTGCAGAAAATAACTAAGTTCCAAAGCCAGGAAAATCCAGTAAAATGTCCAGAATCAATCCACAATAGGAGGTGCACATCTTCAACATATATATAAACAACCTACAAAGTTTTGAGCTTCTACGTCAAAAAAATAGGAGGATTTGATTCTACAAAACTGGTACCCCTTTTCCCCGCCCGCTCGCCCAACATTCACCATACTACAACCCGGATTTGCACTGTGTGCAACCCTGCCAATAAACAATTGCTGAATGTACATCACATATTTCCATTTGAAAGCCCTTTATCATAATATAACTTCTTTGTTTGCAAAGTTAAATAGTGCCACATTCTGTGGAACCAAACCATGGTGATAGGTCTTCCAGACCAAAGAAATGTTGTTTTGGTGATCCGCAACATCGCACTCTTGATTCCTGATGTATAGTCTCCTTACCCACACGATTTTCGTTCTCTCCACACCAGAACTTGCAGTGTAGCTCATATTGGAATGTTAGGTGACTCAGCTGGTTGCGGCCAAGGATTTTCTTTAAAGTGTCCTCCAGGAATTCTCTCACACTCACCAGCTCCCCAGCCTTAATCTTCTTCTCATTTTCTGTCTCCACATACTTGAACATGGTAACCTTAACAACTGAATTTTTGCAGTGGAGTATCATATGCCAGTGCAGCCCAACCATGAAGCAGCCAAATCCCTTTTGTAGTGGAACACCCTCCTGTGTCAGGTATGCTGCTATCTTATAATGACCTATGCAAGCAGCTAACAGCTTGTGGAATATAGTAAAAGGCAAAAACTCATAGACCAGACACAGCGTACGGGATTGGGCTACAGTGTTGACTTCTTTCAACACCAATTCTAGCCAATCAAAACTGGACTCCTTCAGGATGGTGGGTACAATATAGTACTGTGCCTTCTCATTGACTTTGATGTTGCTGAGTGATTTTGGTCGTGATATGAGGCCTAAGTTCTCCATGAGAGTGAGAAGAATAGCTTTGTGTTCTCTGAAGGAGTCCCCTCTCCATAAGGCATCCACCAGGGGCTGAAGGAGCTCAGCATTCACATGGTACATCTTCCACATGTTGTCCAAGTTTGTGCTGTCAAACTGGGTGAACTTGCTGTCTGTAATAAGACAACGGAAAGCGTACACTATCCACTGGGGGTCCAAAACCAATTTGCGGTTCATCATACCTTCTCCATCAATTTCTTCTTTGAAAAACATGATATTGCCTGTTTCATGTAAATACCTGCAAAAAAAGAGAGAAAGTTTTACATAAACAAGATCATGACAAGATAACATCCTATTTATGTTTAGTCTAATCTCTAGTAATATAGTACCTAGTAACCAAAGATAGCTAGCTAAGTAGCCAAAGATAGCTAGCTAGGTAACCAAAGATAGCTAGATAGGTAACCAAATATAGCTAGATAGGTAACCAAAGATAGCTAGCTAGGTAACCAAAGATAGCTAGCTAGGTAACCAAAGATAGCTAGATAGGTGACCAAAGATAGCTAGTTAACCAAAGATAGCTAGATAGGTGACCAAAGATAGCTAGCTAGGTAGCCAAAGATACCTAGATAGGTAACCAAAGATAGCTAGATAGGTAACCAAAGATAGCTAGCTAGGTAACAAAAGATAACTAGATAGGTAACCAAAGATAACTAGATAGGTAACAAAAGATAGCTGGATAGGTAACCAAAGATATCTAGCTAGGTAACCAAAGATAGCTAGATAGGTGACCAAAGATAGCTAGTTAACCAAAGATAGCTAGATAGGTAACCAAAGATAGCTAGATAGGTAAACAAAGATAGCTAGCTAGGTAGGTAACCAAAGATAGCTAGATAGGTAACCAAAGATAGCTAGCTAGGTAGCCAAAGATAGCTAGATAGGTAACCAAAGATAGCTAGCTAGGTAACCAAAGATAGCTAGCTAGGTAGGTAACCAAAGATAGCTAGATAGGTAGGTAACCAAAGATAGCTCGATAGGTAATCAAAGATAGCTAGATAGATAACCAAAGATAGCTAGATAGGTAACCAAAGATAGCTAGATAGGTAACCAAAGATAGCTAGATAGGTAACCAAAGATAGCTAGATAGGTAACCAAAGATAGCTAGATAGGTAACCAAAGATAGCTAGCTAGCTAGGTAACCAAAGATAGCTAGGTAGGTAACCAAAGATAGCTAGATAGGTAACCAAAGATAGCTAGATAGATAACCAAAGATAGTTAGATAGGTAACCAAAGATAGGTAGGTAACCAAAGATAGCTCGATAGGTAATCAAAGATAGCTAGATAGACAAGAGGCCAATGGGCCTTAACGGTCATCTGACAAAAAGCAAGCCAAACCTAGAAAGTGGGTTGAGGTCATTCATTTGAACAAACTTGGTAGCCTCTCCTCCAAGCATCTTACAGGCCCAATATCAGCACTCATGGACTTTTGCTTGTTGAGAAGAAGTCGTTTGTATATTTTAACATATTTGACCCCTGTGACCTTGAAAGTGGGTTGAGGTCATTCATTTGAATAAACTTGGTAGCCTTTCCTCCCAGCATGCTACAGACCCAATATCGGCACTCATAGACTTTTGCTTATTGAGATGAAGTCCTTTGTATATTTTAACATATTTGACCCCTGTGACCTTGAAAGTGGGCCAAGGTCATTCATTTGAACAAACTTTGTATGGCTCCATGCCAGCATGCTATGGGCCAACTATTAGCCCCCTAGGCCTTCTAGTATTTGAGAAGAAGTTGTTATTTAAAGATTTTGACATATTTGACCCCTGCGACCTTGAAAGTTGTTCAAGGTCATTCATTTAAATAAACTTGGTAGCCTTTCCTCCCAGCATGCTACAGACCCAATAGGCACTCATAGACCAAATTGAGATGAAGTCCTTTGTATATTTTAACATATTTGACCCCTGTGACCTTGAAAGTGGGCCAAGGTCATTCATTTGAACAAACTTTGTATGGCTCCATGCCAGCATGCTCTGGGCCAAGTATTAGCCCCCTAGGCCTTCTAGTATTTGAGAAGAAGTTATTTAAAGATTTTGACATATTTGACCCCTGTGACCTTGAAAGTTGTTCAAGGTCATTCATTTAAACAAACTTGGTAGCCCTTCATCCCAGCATGCCACAGGCCCAATATCTCCACTCTGAGACTTTTGGTTAATGAGAAGAAGTTGTTTAAAGATTTTAACATAGATAGACCCCTCTGACCTTTAAAGTGGGTCAAGGTCTAGATTTGTAACAAACTTGGTAGTCCTTCATCCCAGCATGTCACAGGCCCAATATCTACACTCTGAGCCTTTTGGTTAATGAGAAGAAGTTGTTTAAAGATATTAACATATTTGACCCCTGTGACCTTTAAAGTGGGTCAAGGTCATTCATTTGAACAAACTTGGTAGAGCTCCATGCCAGTATCCTCTGTGCCAAGTATTAGCCCCCTAGACCTTCTAGTATTTGAGAAGAAGTCGTTTGAATGAAAAGTTTACGGACGGCGCACGGCGCACGACGACGGACGAAGCATGATGACTATAGGTCATCGGACCCTTCGGGTCAGATGACCTAATAACCAAAGATAGCTAGATAGGTAACCAAAGATAGCTAGATAGATAACCAAAGATAGCTAGATAAATAACCAAAGATAGCTAGATAGATAACCAAAGATAGCTAGATAGGTAACCAAAGATAGCTAGATAGGTAACCAAAGATAGCTAGATAGGTAACCAAAGATAGCTAGATAGGTAACCAAAGATAGCTAGCTAGGTAGCCAAAGATAGCTAGATAGGTAACCAAAGATAGCTAGATAGGTAACCAAAGATAGCTAGATAGGTAACCAAAGATAGCTAGATAGATAACCAAAGATAGTTAGATAGGTAACCAAAGATAGGTAGGTAACCAAAGATAGCTCAATAGGTAATCAAAGATAGCTAAATAGATAACCAAAGATAGCTAGATAGGTAACCAAAGATAGCTAGCTAGGTAACCAAAGATAGCTAGATAGGTAACCAAAGATAGCTAGATAGGTAACCAAAGATAGCTAGATAGGTAACCAAAGATAGCTAGCTAGGTAACCAAAGATAGCTAGATAGGTAACCAAAGATAGCTAGATAGGTAACCAAAGATAGCTAGATAGGTAACCAAAGATAGCTAGATAGATAACCAAAGATAGCTAGATAGGTAACCAAAGATAGCTAGATAGGTAACCAAAGATAGCTAGATAGATAACCAAAGATAGCTAGATAGGTAACCAAAGATAGCTAGCTAGGTAACCAAAGATAGCTAGCTAGGTAGCCAAAGATAGCTAGATAGGTAACCAAAGATAGCTAGATAGGTAACCAAAGATAGCTAGCTAGGTAACCAAAGATAGCTAGATAGGTAACCAAAGATAGCTAGATAGGTAACCAAAGATAGCTAGATAGGTAACCAAAGATAGCTAGCTCGGTAGCCAAAGATAGCTAGATAGGTAACCAAAGATAGCTAGATAGGTAACCAAAGATAGCTAGTAACCAAAGATATAGGTAACCAAAGATAGCTAGATAGGTAACCAAAGATAGCTAGATAGGTAACCAAAGATAGCAAAGATAGCTAATAGGTAACCAAAGATAACTAGATAGGTAACCAAAGATAGCTAGATAGGTAACCAAAGATAGCTAGATAGGTAACCAAAGATAGCTAGATAGGTAACCAAAGATAGCTAGATAGGTAACCAAAGATAGATAGGTAACCAAAGATAGCTAGATAGGTAACCAAAGATAGCTAGCTAGCTAGGTAACCAAAGATAGCTAGCTAGGTAACCAAAGATAGCTAGATAGGTAACCAAAGATAGCTAGAATAGGTAACCAAAGATAGCTAGCTAGGTAACCAAAGATAGCTAGATAGGTAACCAAAGATAGCTAGCTAGGTAACCAAAGATAGCTAGATAGGTAACCAAAGATAGCTAGCTAGGTAGGTAACCAAAGATAGCTAGATAGATAACCAAAGATAGCTAGATAGGTAACCAAAGATAGCTAGATAGGTAACCAAAGATAGCTAGATAGGTAACCAAAGATAGCTCGATAGGTAATCAAAGATAGCTAGATAGATAACCAAAGATAGCTAAATAGGTAACCAAAGATAGCTAGATAGATAACCAAAGATAGCTAGATAGGTAACCAAAGATAGCTCGATAGGTAATCAAAGATAGCTAGATAGATAACCAAAGATAGCTAGATAGGTAACCAAAGATAGCTAGCTAGGTAGGTAACCAAAGATAGCTAGATAGGTAACCAAAGATAGCTAGATAGGTAACCAAAGATAGCTAGATAGGTAACCAAAGATAGCTAGATAGGTAACCAAAGATAGCTAGATAGGTAACCAAAGATAGCTCGATAGGTAATCAAAGATAGCTAGATAGATAACCAAAGATAGCTAAATAGGTAACCTAAGGTAGTTAGATAGGTAACCAAAGATAGCTAGATAGGTAACCAAAGATAGCTCGATAGATAGCTAGATAGGTAACCAAAGATAGCTAGATAGATAACCAAAGATAGTTAGATAGGTAACCAAAGATAGTTAGGTAACCAAAGATAGCCAGATAGGTAACCAAAGATAGCTAGATAGGTAACCAAATATAGCTAGATAGGTAACCAAAGATAGCTAGATAGGTAGGTAACCAAAGATAGCTAGATAGGTAACCAAAGATAGCTAGATAGGTAACCAAAGATAGCTAGATAGGTAACCAAAGATAGCTAACTAGGTAACCAAAGGTAGCTAGATAGGTAACCAAAGATAGCTAGCTAGGTAACCAAAGATAGCCAGATAGGTAACCAAAGATAGCTAGATAGGTAACCAAAGATAGCTAGATAGGTAACCAAAGATAGCTAGCTAGGTAACCAAAGATAGCTAGATAGGTAACCAAAGATAGCTCGATAGGTAACCAAAGATAGCCAGATAGGTAACCAAAGATAGCTAGATAGGTAACCAAAGATAGCTAGATAGGTAACCAAAGATAGCTAGATAGGTAACCAAAGATAGCTAGCTAGCTAGGTAACCAAAGATAGCTAGATAGGTAGGTAACCAAAGATAGCTCGATAGGTAATCAAAGATAACTAGATAGGTAACCAAAGATAGCTAGATAGGTAACCAAAGATAGCTAGATAGGTAACCAAAGATAGCTAGATAGGTAACCAAAGATAGCTAGATAGGTAACCAAAGATAGCTAGCTAGGTAGGTAACCAAAGATAGCTAGATAGGTAACCAAAGATAGCTAGCTAGGTAACCAAAGATAGCTAGATAGGTAACCAAAGATAGCTAGATAGGTAACCAAAGATAGCTAGATAGGTAACCAAAGATAGCTAGATAGGTAACCAAAGGTAGGTAACCAAAGATAGATAGTAACCAAAGATAGATAGGTAACCAAAGATAGCTAGATAGGTAACCAAAGATAACCAAAGATAGCTAGATAGATAACCAAAGATAGCTAAATAGGTAACCAAAGATAGCTAGATAGATAACCAAAGATAGCTAGATAGGTAACCAAAGATAGCTAGCTAGGTAACCAAAGATAGCTAGCTAGGTAACCAAAGATAGCTAGCTAGGTAACCAAAGATAGCTAGCTAGGTAGGTAACCAAAGATAGCTAGATAGGTAACCAAAGATAGCTCGATAGGTAATCAAAGATAGCTAGATAGATAACCAAAGATAGCTAGATAGGTAACCAAAGATAGCTAGCTAGGTAGCCAAAGATAGCTAGGTAGGTAACCAAAGATAGCTAGCTAGGTAACCAAAGATAGCTAGCTAGGTAACCAAAGATAGCTAGATAGGTAACCAAAGATAGCTAGCTAGGTAGCCAAAGATAGCTAGCTAGGTAACCAAAGATAGCTAGATAGGTAACCAAAGATAGCTAGATAGGTAACCAAAGATAGCTAGCTAGGTAACCAAAGATAGCTAGCTAGGTAACCAAAGATAGCTAGCTAGGTAACCAAAGATAGCTAGATAGGTAACCAAAGATAGCTAGCTAGGTAACCAAAGATAGCTAGATAGGTTACCAAAGAACAAAGGAACAAAGGAAAATAGTTTAAACTGATATGAAATTATTAAATTGAACATTTGCTCAAGAAAAAATTTGAAGTAATACACTTACTCCAGAAACAATTCAATCTCCTTGGTGTTCTCGATTGGTGATTCCAACTTTCCATCCAGTTTTGTTACTTCTTCGAAGGTCATTATCTTTTGACCTTGACCTTTAAGTTTCATCAGTTCCCTTTCTAGTGACAGCCATTTTGCAGGTAAAGCCCGCTGCCATTGTGATTGGTATGGAGCAGCCTTGATAATATCTTCCCAGAGGTCAGGGAGCCAGGGAAGATTGGGATTACTATTATCAACAGGACAGTAGCCCTGGATGTGGTTTTTAATCTTCTGCAGTTCTGGTGGCTTGAGAAGTATTGAACACATGTCAAAAAATACAACCTTCTTAGCATCGTCATCCTGTAAATTGTAAAGTAGACAATGATTAAGGAATAATATCTTAAAAACATCTGGATCATAATCATCAATTTTACCAAGTTCAGAGGACACTTGCATCCATGTTTTAGTGTATGAACTTTGATTGGTATGTAGTAATTAGGAATTATACCAAGAACTTTAGCAATGTCAACATAACACAGAGGTAAATTGTGCATATCATTGACTGCCACACAAATTCATAAAGATTCTATCCACTTTTGAACTAAATTGATTTCTGCTTAAAAATGTAGTTTTCCAATACTTTTGATTCTACACTAGTAGGATGTTGAGAAGATTTTAAAATATGTATCAATCTGGCCCATTTTGGCTACACCTATCAACCCTTTGGAGTCAGCTAGGTTTGAGATGTACATATCATGAATCTGTCATTATCTGTACTAAAAATTCTGTCCAAGTTTGAATTATTTACAATGTAAAATAAACAAATGATACTGAATACATTACAGTAAACTTCAACCAAAGGAGATAATGTGAGAACCTAAAGTCATGAAATTTGTAATTTTGGTAAATCACATAAAATTCCTTCTATCCATCTGTGTGTTGGGAAGAAGATTTGAAATTAGAGTCAATTTGTCCCTTTTGGCCCTGCCAATCAGCCCCTGGGGGTTAGGCAGGATCGATAAGTGTATACCATCAGTCCACTTGATGCTGTATGAGGTTTTCATCAAGTTTGTCATCCCTAATTCAATTAAGTGATGATATGGAAAACAAACTAAAACACTGACATGTTAGAAAAGACCTGGCTTTGTGTCTGACATTTAAGGGTAAATTTAACCATTCTAATTAGATTGTCAGTATATGTAAAGATGTAAAATATGACCTTGACCTTTTGACAGTGACCTTGAACATTGGCCAGTTGACTACTGGTGTTATTCTGATAAACGTTGCTTCTCCCATCGTTGATACCAGGCCCTTAAGATGGTGATAAATATCTAAAGTAGTAAGTGATCTTCACAGCCTTCATTATTGACCTTTTGACCCCAAACTCAATACCAGTATCTATTACTTCATGAGCTAACATTGGAATAAGTTTTAACAAAATCCATCAATCCTTTCTGAACTTATCATCAGGAAAACAAAATTTGATGACAAAAGTCTATTTCCAGTAATATTAACCAGACAGATGGATGGACAGACAAACAGATTGACAGACAGACAGTTTTACTGGCACTGGACTATTAAAAAAATACCAAACTACATTTTTTATTTTCAAACATTTATGAGGTTAAGCTTGCTGCTCCTCAGTAGCTCCTTGCCTTTGAATCAGTTTAAATTGAAATAAACAGAAATGACTGAATGTTCAGTTTATATACCATTCCTTCCAATTTGTCCATGTGTGTGCCCACCAGAATGATGGGAGGTAACTCAACCGTCTCCGTATTTTGCCTTGTGGACAATGTACCAATAGAATGAAGCCAGAACCTGGCACGCTCTGAAATAAACAAGAAGGCCATGGCCCTTAATAGTCTTCTGACAATCCATGAATGGATTAACAAACGATAGAATTCACTGATGCTGGTCTAACAAATCGGATGAATTCTAATTTTAAACATTCCTTAAAGTATCAGAAATTCATAAATGCTAATTTCTGTACATGAAAAAAAAGTGATCATGTTACAAAATGGCTACTATGGTTGAAGTTTTGATCAGGCTAAAAAATAACATATCATCTATTTCTTTTCCTCAAGAAATCAAACTCCAAATAATTTTGTCAATGGTGTGAATGAAATTTGTGAAGTAGTTAAGACTATGTGTTCAAGATGAAATATATGTTGGATTTTGGACCAAAGAGAAAAAATTAAGATTTGATCAGTACAATCTCAGGATCAAGTTATGTACTTTTGATATCACTGCCTCTCCCTAATAATGTTTCAGGCCAAATTTGGTAGAACATTACCCAGGCATTAAGAAGGAGTAAAATGTTGTCTAACTTCATCATTAGGACCCTCGTTCCTAAGTCCCTAGGGGTCAAATTAACTTCCTGAATTTAATCATTAATTGCCTACCTCTGCTGATATTTCAAACAAAATTTGAATTAAATCCATTTCAGCATTAAGGAAGAGTAGTATTTTGAAGCAAAATATAAAAGGTTGAATCAACTTTCTGAATTTATGACATGATAACCCACCTGCAACAATGTTTCAGATCAAATTTGGTTGAAATCTACCAAGGCATTAAGAAGAAGTGGCATTTTGAAAACAAAACATCATCTAACTTCCCCTTTTGGAGGCCCATCCCAAAGCCCTAGGGGTCAAATCAACTTTCTGAATTCAAGAAATGATTCTCCCTCCTCAATGATGTTTCAGACCAAATTTGGTTGAAATCAATTTAAATATTTAGGAAAAGAAGCAGTTTGAAGCAAAATGTTGACGAACTTTCCTATTTTGGGCCCACCCCTAAGTCCCAAGTGGTCAAAAATTCAACTTTTTGAATTCAAGAATTAATTGCCCACCTCTACTAATGTTTCAGAGAAAATTTGAATGAAATTGTTTCAAGCATTATGAAAGTGTAGTAGATATTTAACATGTAATTTAACCTTTTCTTGATACTGTGCTATATATAAATATAATCATGTAATGATACCCAATCTTCAAGGGTTTTTTTCTTATTATGGTATCTCAAATAGCCTCTCTTTTATAGAAAAGGAAATTGATATACTATGAAATATCAAATGTCTGCCAGGATTGTTTTTAAATTCCTTTTATGAAAGAAAAATTATCTATATCTACACAGCTGGATTTAAGACCAAAATCACACTTTGGGCCATTAATCCTATCAACTTTAAATGATGGCTCATGTAATCAAAAGATATATGAAAAACTCAGATAAACACTGTTAATATACATTTTTCTTTACACACCAAGCAATCACTTGCATCATAATATCCTGTCTTCCCTAAGTACCTGCCTCCATACAATTCAGTAAATACCCATAACAATTTCTTCACTTACCAAATTCTGCTTTCTTCTTATAACCAAAAACACAGAGGTGATCAGTTTAATTTAGTTATAACATTTTCTAACCACAAAACACTTACCAAATTCTGCTTTCTTCTTGATCACATCACAATGGCAGTCACTGACATTGAAACAGACGATGTAGACAGCATCTTTACTGAGGAAGATATGGTGAGAATCATAGAACACCTTCTGCCCTCCAAAATCCCAGACAGATAAATAAGCCTTTTCCTCGCCCTCCTCCTCGCCTTCAGACTTCTGTATCACATTTACCATGTCATTCCTAAAGAAGTTGGTGATCTTGCGCTCTCGTGGCTTGCCTGTGTTATTCCACGTACTACTTATGTTGGGTTTGGGATATCTGTATTTGTTGATGTAACTCTCATCACTAGAATATGATCTCTGGTCCTGAAGTTCTTCATCTACAATGCTTTGACACCACTGCTTTTCGGTAGTCATATCACTAGTCTCAGAAGTAAGGGGCATGCTTTCTAGAACATCTTCAAAACAAAAACAAAAACATCCCTTTACATTTATACAAATCCTAGTGGAGAAATTGATACAAAAATGATCCCTGTTGCATTAGCGCTTTGTTGTCAGTGTAATAACATCCATCACAAAACTACCCTGTTATCAGTGTTATAACATCCATCACATAACTACCCTGTCAACAGTGTAATAACATCCATCACATAACTACCCTGTTACCAGTGTAATAACACCCATTACATAACCACCCTGTTATTAGTGTAATAACACCCATTACATAACTACCTTGTTATCAGTGTAATAACATCCATCACATAACTACCCTGTTAACAGTGTAATAACATCCATTATATAACTACCCTGTTATCATTGTAATAACATCCATCACATAACTACCCTGTTATCATTGTAATAAATCCATCACATAACTACCCTGTTAACAGTGTAAATATACCCATCACATAACTACCCTGTTATCAGTGTAATAACACCCATCATATAACTACCCTGTTATCATTGTAATAACATCCATTACATAACTACCCTGTTATCAGTGTAATAACACCTATTACATAATTATCCTGTTATCAGTGTAATAACACCCATCTCATAACTACCCTGTTATCATTGTAATAACATCCATCACATAACTACCCTGTTATCATTGTAATAACATCCATCACATAACTATCCTGTTAACAGTGTTATGTGACACAGTACATACCTAGTCCCTTATCAGTGTTATCGAGAGAGTGTGAATATCGCTAAATTAGATTTTGAATATGTCTAATAAAATGCTGTTTTGTGATTGTTATCTGAAGTTTGCGATGAACAGAATCTTGCATTTGTTTCCATTTCAAATTCGCTGTACCTTGTTTTGGACTCTCAGCGCCTGCAATGCTCCCCAAACTTCTCAGGTCAGGATGTTGATCAGAATCCACTACTACATTTTCTCCAATCATGTCATTCTCATGTTTAAAACTAGCCACAACTTTGGCAAGTCGGAGACAAGCTGCCTCCTCCTGGCGATCAGGAGGGAGGGGTGTCTGTTTTTTACTTTTCATGTTGATAAGGTAGCGATGGATATATATGTCGATACCGTTAGTACTTTCCAAGTTTTCTGGGATGATTATTTTCATGAGATGATGACAGAGAGTAGTTTTGCCCACTCCTTCATGCCCAACCACCATCAGACGAAGATTGGTGAGTGTTTCCTGTCCTTTCTCCAATGCTGCAAAGTAAAGGTCCACTTTCTCCTTGTCCATTTCCCAGATTTCATTTGGGACCTCTGTTAAATAAAAATATCATGTTAGTTCTATGTTAACAGTTATCATGTAATGGTTGCCTCAATTTCATTAAATTTACTCCTTTCTATTACTAAAAATGTAATGAAGTAAATAGCAGTCTCGGTATATAACCAATTCAACAGATTCGCTAGAAATGTCCACAAGGTAACAACTTGTTAGGGCACTAATATTTTACACAGTATGTCATAGTCTTGCATGTGTGTATGTTTCAATTTGGGTACATTACCTAAACGTCGCACAGCACAGTCTGGTTCAACAGAACCCGCATTCTTCCCATTACTCTTCACATGTGTCTGTCGTAATTTTCCTTTTAAAATGATCCGGTAGCTGTAGAAAAAAGAAATCCAAACTATAATGTAGACTAATTGTGTTGTAATAGAACTCAATTAACATTTCAGGGACTCAATCTGGGGATTATAATGTAGACTAATTGTGTTGTAATAGAACTCAATTATCATTTCAGGGACTCAATCTGGGGATTATAATGTATACTAATTGTGTTGTAATAGAACTCAATTAACATTTCAGGGACTCAATCTGGGGATTATAATGTAGACTAATTGTGTTGTAATAGAACTCAATTAACATTTCAGGGACTCAATCTGGGGATTATAATGTATACTAATTGTGTTGTAATAGAACTCAATTAACATTTCAGGGACTCAATCTGGGGATTATAGTGTAGACTAATTGTGTTGTAATAGAACTCAATTAACATTTCAGGGACTCAATCTGGGGATTATAATGTAGACTAATTGTGTTGTAATAGAACTCAATTAACATTTCAGGGACTCAATCTGGGGATTATAATGTAGACTAATTGTGTTGTAATAGAACTCAATTAACATTTCAGGGACTCAATCTGGGGATTATAATGTAGACTAATTGTGTTGTAATAGAACTCAATTAACATTTCAGGGACTCAATCTGGGGATTATAATGTAGACTAATTGTGTTGTAATAGAACTCAATTAACATTTCAGGGACTCAATCTGGGGATTATAATGTAGACTAATTGTGTTGTAATAGAACTCAATTAACATTTCAGGGACTCAATCTGGGGATTATAATGTAGACTAATTGTGTTGTAATAGAACTCAATTAACATTTCAGGGACTCAATCTGGGGATTATAATGTATACTAATTGTGTTGTAATAGAACTCAATTAACATTTCAGGGACTCAATCTGGGGATTATAATGTAGACTAATTGTGTTGTAATAGAACTCAATTAACATTTCAGGGACTCAATCTGGGGATTATAATGTATACTAATTGTGTTGTAATAGAACTCAATTAACATTTCAGGGACTCAATCTGGGGATTATAATGTATACTAATTGTGTTGTAATAGAACTCAATTAACATTTCAGGGACTCAATCTGGGGATTATAATGTATACTAATTGTGTTGTAATAGAACTCAATTAACATTTCAGGGACTCAATCTGGGGATTATAATGTATACTAATTGTGTTGTAATAGAACTCAATTAACATTTCAGGGACTCAATCTGGGGATTATAATGTATACTAATTGTGTTGTAATAGAACTCAATTAACATTTCAGGGACTCAATCTGGGGATTATAATGTATACTAATTGTGTTGTAATAGAACTCAATGAACATTTCAGGGACTCAATCTGGGGATTATAGGAACCCTGATATATGATTAGAGTTAGAGTGAAAATAAATAAATAAAAAAGAGGAAATATATATATATGGTATTAAATAGATGTTTCATCAAAAACAAGTTTCATCAAAAAACAAACAATAACATACTGACATATGTCAGACTAGCCATTACTAAACCAAGTACTGACACATCAAAAAGGGCCTGCAAAGTGTTTGACTTTACATCACAGCCCTGACACAACAAACAATAAATGTATGTTCGATGTCGAATGTCTGCTCAAAACAGGGTGAAACAGGACTCATCAGTAAACAAGATCTGTCTCAACTGCCTCAATGGGAATATTCTGAGGCCATGCCGGCCATCCAATGCAAGCCATAGGGTCAAGTAATGGTAAGGGACAGACCTACGAAGTGATGCATCACTAAGTAGCCTGCCTAATGTATGACAAGCAGATCAATGTCACAACACTGCTGTGCACAAGATTTTACCATTTTCTGTTTTCCCCTGAAGACATCATCACACAATACAATAATGCTATGTTTAATGTAGGACCACGTGCACTATAACCTAGACAATTGTTTGACCGAATTTAAATGTTTTTGATAAAGGCGTTCTCAAGATATAAAAAGTAATGTCATCCTTCATTTCTTTATCTCTTGAGTATATGTAAGCTATGTTCATTCTGAAGAAGTCTTTCCAATCACTAAAACATGAAATATGCAAAAGAAAATGCAAAAAGTACATTTTTGGGAATTTGCAAATAACAAAAATATCCCAATATATTGTAGTTTATTAATATACCTAGACGTATCGTCACTAATAACAAATTGTACCAACCTGTTAGATTTTTCTTGTGTGCCTAGACTACGTATCACTAATCACAAATTGTACCAACCTGTTAGATTTTCCTTGTGTGCCTAGACTACGTATCACTAATCACAAATTGTACCAACCTGTTAGATTTTCCTTGTGTGCCTAGACTACGTATCACTAATCACAAATTGTACCAACCTGTTAGATTTTCCTTGTGTGCCTAGACTACGTATCACTAATCACAAATTGTACCTAACCTTGTGTGCCTAGACTACGTATCACTAATCACAAATTGTTAGATTTTCCTTGTGTGCCTAGACTATGTATCACTAATCACAAATTGTACCAACCTGTTAGATTTTCCTTGTGTGCCTAGACTACGTATCACTAATCACAAATTGTACCAACCTGTTAGATTTTCCTTGTGTGCCTAGACTACGTATCACTAATCACAAATTGTACCAACCTGTTAGATTTTTCTTGAGTGTCAATTCTGATTAATGTTGTTTTATTATTCTTCTGAAATTTTTCCTCGATCTTTTGACTGATATCATCAGAATATGACTGCCAGGTGCCTCCAGGGGGCTGAAACTGCCAGGAGACAGACTTGTGGGTAAATACTGGCACAGAAGAGCTCAAACTCTCTGGAGATGGTGTACCTGTGGTAGAAATATACACATAAAGTATACTGTGTATTGTTAATTAACACTGATATATCAAAAGCATTAAAGCTCTTTCTCTAGCCATTGTTATATATTAATATAAATATTTTTAAATATAAAAAAAAAAAAATTCAATCACGGATGGTGAACATTAAGTAGAATCTTTCTTCAATACCCACCAGAAATACATCAGTTACCCACTTTGATCTACAATGATATCAACAGGTACAACTTTGGACCAAGCTATATCATTAAAATGCATGGTTATTTTAATTTCCCTATTGTAAATTTTCCATTTTGGATAGCACATTCCCTGCATGTTGTTTACATGTTGCAGATATTTTGATAATTAAGTGTCAGTTCCTACCGATAACACAACATTTTATCTCCTTTCTCTCTGTTTTCGCTTTCATGAAATTTGAAAACTCTTATGAAGAAATAGAGTGATAATGTTTATCTGCCAAAGTGAAAATGGCCATCCCTCAGCCATTTTGTTTTTCTGATCTGTCCCAAAATGAAAAAGGGCACAATTAGGAATCAAGGGAAATACTTGTACAAAATTTAAGAGATATCCATTGAGAACAATTCCTAAAAAATACTGATAACAAACTCTAACTATCAAAATCCAAGATGGCCTCCTGTCAACCATTTTGTTTCTCTGATCAGTCCCACAATCAATGGGCACAACAAGGAGAAAATTTATGTGAAATTCAATAAAGATCAATCCTTATAGGACCCCACTCCTCCAAACCCAGGAGACCTACCATTTATACAAAGCTGATCCCTCTTCACCCAAGAATGCTTCTAACTAAATTTAAGCAAAATCCAATTGTTCCTACAGGAGGAGTAGAATTTGAAAGAATTTGCTCTATTTCCTCTATTGGGCTTTGTCCCTCCCAGTCCAGGCAGGCAAGACCCATTTGTACAAATTGTTGATGGAAGGACAGACAATTGATGCTGCGATATATCAGTAGCTCACTTGGTCCTTTGGCTATAATCACTGATTACAAATATCATATATCTACGGTAGGAGGCCATGCCCCTCACCTTCATGAAGGCAAAAACTAACATTAAAACACGAGATCCCAGAGAGAAGGAGAATTTTAAATTGATTCCTCTATTTCTTCTAATGAGCCCTGCCCCAGGGGGTCAGACCCGTCAGTTGTACCAAATTGAATCCCCTTGACCCAGTGATGCTTGAAACTGAATTTGACCAAACTCATGCTTTCCTTGAGAAGATGTAGCATTTTGAAGTGATCCCTCTATTTCACCTTTTGAACTCCATCCTTTTTTTCCTCAAAGGGTCATATAAACAATTCATATAAAATTTGTTAGACTAAATCTGGACAAAATCCAATCATTCTTACAGAGAAGGATTTTAAAGAACTTCCCCTTTTAGGTCCTGCCTCTTAGGCCCCCTGGGAGAAGAGACTCACTATATCTATAATAAAAAATCAACATCCTAAAGGATACTTCAGACCAAATTTTGTCAACGTTGTAGTATTTTTTAGGAAATAAGCTGATAGAAAACAGAAGTTGTGTTAGGGTATAAGTTTATTTTGGTCAAGGTTGGCTGAGAAAAAAGATGTCACAAAATACAAACCTGCCAAATTTGAGTCAGAAATCTCAGTTCTTTGTTCAACCGCAAGATTCTTAATTTCTCCACCTGCCTTCAAGTCACCTGCAGGGATAGAGGATTCTGAAGTCCCAGGGAATAAATCATCGTCTTTGACTTCAGTCCCAAGAGATTTGAATATATCCTTGCTACTTTCTGGACTTCCAACCAATCCTTGCATGGATGTGTCTGAAGATCGTGTAATCTGATTTGTAGGAGGTTCTAGCACACTAAAATCTGGTGGCTGAATGGTAGGATCGAAAAATTCAGGTTCAGGGGCACCATAGGTTGCAGATTGCTGAGTAGGGTGGATAGGCATCAGTTCAGGTGCATTAGAGGGCATGGATTGATGGGTAGGATGTAAGGGATGGGTTTCTGAAGGTATTGATCTATGTGAAGGTTCAAGAAAATGAGAGTCACGAGTTGAAGGAGGATGAAGTTGAGGATAATGAGGTGTAGGAGGGATAGAAGGAGTTCCAGAAGATGAGGACCAGGTTGATGGGGTGCCAGTACTCTCCTCTGGGTGCCTAGAATTGTAAAAACAAAAATATATGAAATACATAATGTTAATACATTTGGCCTTGCCTAAAAGTATCTGAAGAATGATATATCTAAATATATTCACTCATTTTGTTGAGATTTCTTATAATGATCTATGTATCAAGTGGTCAGCCTTTCATTAGTTATATTTAGAACTCATTACTCTGAGCTCAAATTTATGACATAATTTTCTTAATGATTTTATTTTACTACTTTGCATTGTCTCAAACACATGTTGATTAATTACACAATCTGTGATTATTCTTATGTACCATCTTAATTCTGAATTATCATAAATAGAGATTGAAATCACAAAATAGAGACTCAAGTGGCTATAAAATGGAACAACAATATGAGTGTTTGAGACCATGAAACTGACATTGTTTATAAACTATATAAAGGAACTATGTGATACTTAATTGACCATGGAACACCAACTCCCATGAAATTGATATTTTCATCTCACCTTATAAAAAGAGCAAGCAACTTTTCTCTAACTTGACTGTGGAAGTCTGTAACATCATACCTTACCTTACAAGAGGCCCAAAAGGCCTGCAACACTTACAGGGTTAATTTAGGAATTTAGTCACTTAACAAAGATTTTTAAACATGACAAATAATTCTTAAATTAATTTCCCTATTGGGTCCAGGCTTTGTGGCCAAACAGATGTCCGATTCATCACACACAAAACTGTTTCAGACCAAACCTGGACAATATCGTTGTACAAAAGAAGAATTTCAAAGAGATTACACTTCCTCTATTGGGCCTCATATCTCTGATGTCAGGCTTCTGTTTAACACAGAATTGGATTTCTTTCAGCAAGGTATGCTTCAGGCCGATTGGGACAGAATCATGGTATTCCCACAAAAGAAGGAATTTAAAGAATTTCCACTATTTGACCCCACTCATCATTTACACACTATTTCATGCAACAAGAGGCTATAGGGCCTTAATTGCTCACCTGGATCTTAAAGCCCAGCAATGTTATACATGCCTATATGTTGGGTATTTCAAATATTTCCAAATTAAAGTTCGGTCACTTAATCTCTTTGATAGGGCAAGAACAATGGGTAACTTCTTACATCATCACTGTCTTTTTCGATTCCCAATAAGAACTTATATGGTTATCAGGTTGGTATCTTAACTATATCAAAACTATGACACACCCAAGGGCTGATTCTTAGGTAACAATTGGTTTCATCTCTTAATGCCAAGCTATTCTATACATATATAGTTATGGGATAGGCATTTTGCCTGTTTCAAAGATATCACCCAGAACTTCAGTTCAGAGGGGTGGAGCCACACCCTGGGGCCAGTTCTTACACTGTGACTGTGTTTATCTCTTGATGCCCAAGCATTGCCATATATTTTTTAGGGGTGGGGATCTCAGCTGTCTCAAAGATATTACCATGAAACTGTGTGCCTAGAAGTGGGGCCAGACCCCAGGACCGATTCTTACAAAACGAATGAAGCAATGCTATACATGGTTATGGAATTGGGATGTTTTCAAATACATTTCCTCTTATCAAACCCCTCCCCTCCTGCCCTAGGTGGCAGAGATCCACCATTTATACAAAATTAATTCCCTTCACCAAAACATGATTCTCACTAAATTTGAGCAAAACTCAATCATTCCTACAAGAATTGTAGAATTTTAAAGAATTTGTTCTATTTCCTCTAATGGGCCCTACTCCTCGCTCTTGCTCCAGGTGGCTGAAATCCATTGTTTATACCAAATTGATTCCCCTTTACCTAAACATGATTCAGACCAAATTTGGGCAAAATCTGACCATTCCTACAGGAAGAGTAGAATTTTCAACGGACTTGCCAAATTTCCCCATTTGGGCCCCTCCCTTCAGGTCCTGAGGGGCTGGGACACAACAACTATACAACAAGAGGCCTAGCTGCCTTGACAGTCACCTGAGATGAGCAATATTGAATATAAAGGTAAAAGGATAGTTATCATGTGTCATGAAACAGAAAGTAAGACACTGAATATAGTAAGCCAGTGTGAAAACATGCATTCCATCAAAACTGTCATCCTCTCCCACCGCGGAAGCTAAGACAGAATTGATTCCATTTTACCTAAGAATGCTTCCAACCGAACTGGGGTAAAATCAAATCATTCCTACAGGAAGAGTAGGATTTTAAATAAATTTGTTTCATTTCCCCTAATGGGACCAACCTCCACATGCCCCAAGGGGCCTTGAGACCTACCATTTATGCAAAAATTGATTCCCCTTCACCTAAAAATACTTCAGACTTCAGGGCTTAATCCAATCATTCTCACAGGTTCCACTTGCCAAAAATTTTGTAACAATCTGTTTCAGCCATTCATGAAGGTCAAACAGTCAATGGATGCATGCCATGGCATAAACTCACCAGTTCTTTGAACCAGGTGAGCTCAAAACCCTAACTTACCAACTAAACCCAGATATTCCATGCAAAAGTAGTATGCACAAACTAAAATCTGGTATTTGTTTCAGTGACAGCAGCTAGAACTGGTGTTCTATGAGAACAATGGGGTCTACAATTTCTTGTAAAAGGTAAAGTAAATGATAAAATTAGTTTTAAGGCAAGGTTCCAAAACAAACTATATTTTCGAAAATCCAAAATTAGAAAAAAATGATCCCTGCATATACATCTATATGTGGCTCATAACATTATGGCATAGTTTCAATTGATTCCTAAGCTTAGAAAAATCAAATCTAATTGTAGGTCGTATTCGGTTACCATAGAAACAAAATGACATAAGATGTGTTTGATAATAGCATCATAAGGTCACACCAAAGAGGTCTAGGGAATCCTGAAGCACCAACTGAATCAAGGCATTCTCACATCTAACCTTGGAACCCTGAAACACCTACTGAATCAACATATTCTCATCCTTAACCTTGGAATCCTGAAGCACCAACTGAATCAAGGCATTCTCATCCTTAACCTTCGAACACTAAAACACCAACTGAATCAAGGCATTCTCACATCTAACCTTGGGACCCTGAAACACCAACTGAATCAAGGCATTCTCATCCTTAACCTTGGAACCCTGAAACACCAACTGAATCAAGGCATTCTCACATCTAAAGTTGGAACCCTGAAACACCTACTGAATCAACATATTCTCATCCTTAACCTTGGAATCCTGAAGCACCAACTGAATCAAGGCATTCTCATCCTTAACCTTCGAACACTAAAACACCAACTGAATCAAGGCATTCTCACATCTAACCTTGGAACCCTGAAACACCAACTGAATCAAGGCATTCTCATCCTTAACCTTCGAACACTAAAACACCAACTGAATCAAGGCATTCTCACATCTAACCTTGGAACCCTGAAACACCAACTGAATCAAGGCATTCTCATCCTTAACCTTCAAGGCATCATATCACTAAAACACCAACTGAATCAAGGCATTCTCATCCTTAACCTTGGAACCCTGAAACACCAACTGAATCAAGGCATTCTCATCCTTAACCTTCGAACACTAAAACACCAACTGAATCAAGGCATTCTCACATCTAACCTTGGAACCCTGAAACACCAACTAAATCAAGATATTCTCATCCTTAACCTTAACCTTCAAGGCAATCCTTAACTAAAACACCAACTGAATCAAGGCATTCTCACATCTAACCTTGGAACCCTGAAACACCAACTGAATCAAGGCATTCTCATCCTTAACCTTCGAACACTAAAACACCAACTGAATCAAGGCATTCTCACATCTAACCTTGGAACCCTGAAACACTAACTGAATCAAGGCATTCTCATCCTTAACCTTCGAACACTAAAACACCAACTGAATCAAGGCATTCTCACATCTAACCTTGGAACCCTGAAACACTAACTGAATCAAGGCATTCTCATCCTTAACCTTCGAACACTAAAACACCAACTGAATCAAGGCATTCTCACATCTAACCTTGGAACCCTGAAGCACCTACTGAATCAAGGCATTCTCATATCTTACCTTAGAACCCTGAAACACCAACTAAATCAAGATATTCTCATCCTTAACCTTGGAACCCTGAAACACCAACTGAATCAAGGCATTCTCATCCTTAACCTTCGAACACTAAAACACCAACTGAATCAAGGCATTCTCACATCTAACCTTGGAACCCTGAAACACCAACTGAATCAAGGCATTCTCATCCTTAACCTTGGAACCCTGAAACACCAACTGAATCAAGGCATTCTCATATCTTACCTTGGAACCCTGAAACACCACTTAATCAAGGTATTCTCATATCTAACCTTGGAACTCTGAAAGTACCCAGAGGTTATTTTTCCCCAGGTTTAACTACCAAGATATTTGCCACATCCCCTGATTGACCAAAATCATATCTACTAATAACTTTGTTCTACCTGATGCAACCTAATGAAAGCTGGCAGAAGGGATAATAACACAACAGCTTATGTTTTTAAAAATGGAGAGTTGACATTTTATTTAAAATTGCCATCAAACACAGGCTTCTGACTTCCAAACTTAGATATTATCTGATTTCCATGAAACTTAAGATGTAAAATGGCCGCCATTTTCTGGCCTCAGATTTGTTTAAATCTATATACTACACAATTTCCACAGCATAGGACACAAGTCACTTTTGTAACCTCAGTTTCACATTTCACCAATTTTTTTACCCTTTAGGTCAGATGACTTAACAAAAAATCTCACTTCGAATATGTACTTGTACATCCAATAAATACATAGACAATCATAAAAATATGTGTTAGCAACAGACTAGTATTTTTATTAATCTGCATCAGCTTCATAACTAACGCTCGTTTTTTAGCCTTTTGGATTCCAGCAGCCATACACAAAAACTAATAAACAAAACACGGTAGACATTCTGTAAACAAACTACAATGTATTTTGTTTTAAGTTTGTTTGCCTTATTCTGTATATTAAATTCTAAATTTCACCTGTGTATCTGTGTAAACGGAAGGATTAATGACCAATCAAAAATTACAATAGAGCTCGTTAACACTGATACTTCTGGCCAATCAAGTAAAGTTATTCAGACCAAAGCCGGGAAACTTTTACCCAAGACAAGGTGACGCCTGAATTGTTTGACACAAAAAAGGAAATTTTGGCAGAATTTAGAAAGGACGGACCACAAAATATATTCGACACAAACACAGTATTCAACTCAAGTGTTCAAATCATCTGTGTTTAATTTACTAAAATAATTCAGAAAAAAAATCGGGAAGGAACACAACATTTGACTTGTCGAATGTATTTGATTCAAGCATGTGCGACACAGGTGAGTTTTACAGCATTCTCATGTAACAACAGTGAAAATTTCTCTCACAAACTTTAGTGTTATAGATTTTCAAATGTATACATACCAAATTTGCACGTCAAACATTCCTTCACAACCATATTTATAGGAATTCATATGTCCGTTAGGCCAGCGAACCTATTCAAACATAAACAGCAGTATCAGCACTATTCCCCACAGAACATACAACTTACAACTTAGTTCCAGTATTTAATTTCTTATTTATGATTTTGCATTGTGATTCCTCATTTGTTACCCTATTATTCTGTGTTTACCATGATATTAAGGTCAAACATTCACCTTTCTTCAGTATATCTGTATGGGTTAAGAGTTGGCAACCTCTGACACATTATCTTTATAACCAAGCATTGTATTGGTTGTGTTCAGCTACACAATGTATTTTTTGTATAAACAGCACCAATTTACACCTAATCTGGTCTATAAACGGTGTTTCTCTTACCCTGACAATCCCGTTGGTATTGACATCAAAAACAACACCAATATTTGTAGGGCCACCGTCTTGGTGACCATACGACCAGTCTTTGTCTGAAATTTAACAGTAATTGTGATCATATGACAAATCTTTGTCTGAAATAGCCAATCATTTAGTAGTAATTGAGATCATATGACCAATCTTTGTCTGAAATAGCCAATCATTTAGTAGTAATTGAGATCATATGACAAATCTTTGTCTGAAATAGTCAATCATTTGGTAGTATTTGAGACCATATGACAAATCTTCTGACAGTCTTTTCATTTTAGTTTTCTTATTTAAGATATACATTTATATCATTAAAACAATAACATTTCTATTTTAAGCACTTTGTGATAGGAATCTTCATGTTATAAAATCAATTTCTTTAATGTTACAATTCAATCATTATATAATCTTTAAACATTGACATTGAAGGACAAATTAATGAATGCCAACTATTCATAACTACCTCTACACACAAGGCATCCGGTACCAATCAGCTCATCCTGCTGAAGAATTCGTGGCTCTTGAGTCAGTGAAAGGTCAAATTTTTCATCTGCTCCATACCTGTATCGTCCTCTCATATGATTCAAATCCCACTCAACAGTCAACCAACCTGATATCAGACATTAATAAATGTTTTAAACAAAAGATCTAACTGTTTTCTGTCATACTATGAAACTAAGATACATCTCTATTGGTATAACTTTTATCAGTCCATCTAGTTAACTTGACTGTCCATAAGCAAAAGACCAACTAGGCTTAACTGTTAATGAAGTTCAACTTTCTGGCCTTAATTGTTACCTAAATTTGACTGCCTGGCCTTAATTGTTACCTAAGTTTGACTGCCTGGCCTTAATTGTTACCTAAGTTCAACTGCCTGGCCTTAATTGTTACCTAAGTTTGACTGTTTTGCCTTAATTGTTACCTAAGTTTGACAGCCTGGCCTTAATTATAACCTAAGTTTGACTGTCTTGCCTTAATTGTTACCTAAGTTTGACTGCCTGGCCTTAACTGTCACCGAAGTTTAACTTTCTGGCCTTAACTGTCACCTAAGTTTGATTGCCTGGCCTTAATTGTTACCTAAGTTTGACTGTCTGGTCTTAACTGTCACCGAAGTTTGACTGTCTGGCCTTAACTGTCACCTAGGATTGATTGTCTGGCCTAAACTGTTACCTAAGTTCAACTTTCTGGCCTTAACTGTTACCTAAGTTTGACTGCTTGGCCTTTACTGTCACCTAAGTTTGATTGTCTGGCCTTAATTGTTACCTAAGTTTGACTGTCTAGCCTTAACTTTTACCTAAGTTTGACTGTCTGGCCTTAACTGTCACCTAAGTTTGATTGTCTGGCCTTAATTGTAACCTAAGTTTGACTGTCTGGCCTTAATTATCACCGAAGTTTGACTGCCTGGTCTTAACTGTCACCGAAGTTCAACTTTCTGGCCTTAACTGTTACCTTAGTTTGACTGCCTGGCCTTAACTATTACCTAAGTTTGATTGTCTGGCCTTAATTGTAACCTAAGTTTGACTGTCTGGCCTTAATTATCACCGAAGTTTGACTGCCTGGTCTTAACTGTCACCGAAGTTCAACTTTCTGGCCTTAACTGTTACCTAAGTTTGACTGCTTGGCCTTTACTGTCACCTAAGTTTGATTGTCTGGCCTTAATTGTTACCTAAGTTTGACTGTCTAGCCTTAACTTTTACCTAAGTTTGACTGTCTGGCCTTAACTGTCACCTAAGTTTGATTGTCTGGCCTTAATTGTAACCTAAGTTTGACTGTCTTGCCTTAATTGTTACATAAGTTTGACTGCCTGGCCTTAACTGTTACCTAAGTTTGACTGCCTGGCCTTAACTGTCACCGAAGTTCAACTTTTCTGGCCTTAACTGTTACCTAAGTTTGACTGTCTGGCCTTAATTGTAACCTAAGTTTGACTGTCTTGCCTTAATTGTTACATAAGTTTGACTGCCTGGCCTTAACTGTTACCTAAGTTTGACTGCCTGGCCTTAACTGTCACCGAAGTTCAACTTTCTGGCCTTAACTGTTACCTAAGTTTGACTGCCTGGCCTTAATTGTTACCTAAGTATGACTGCCTGGCCTTAACTGTCACCGAAGTTCAACTTTCTGGCCTTAACTGTTACCTAAGTTTGACTGCCTGGCCTTAATTGTTACATAAGTTTGACTGCCTGGCCTTAACTGTCACCGAAGTTTAACTTTCTGGCCTTAACTGTCACCTAAGTTTGATTGCCTGGCCTTAATTGTTACCTAAGTTTAACTTTCTGGCCTTAACTGTTACCTAAGTTTGACTGCCTGGCCTTAATTGTTACCTAAGTTTGACTGTCTGGCCTTAATTGTTACCTAAGTTCAACTTTCTGGCCTTAACTGTTACCTAAGTTTGACTGCCTGGCCTTAATTGTTACCTAAGTATGACTGCCTGGCCTTAATTGTTACCTAAGTTTGACTGCCTGGCCTTAACTGTCACCGAAGTTTAACTTTCTGGCCTTAACTGTCACCGAAGTTCAACTTTTCTGGCCTTAACTGTCACCTAAGTTTGACTGTCTGACCTTAATTGTCACCTAGGTTTGATTGTCTGGCCTTAACTGTTACCTAAGTTCAACTTTCTGGCCTTAACTTTTACCTAAGTTTGACTGCTTGGCCTTAACTGTTACCTAAGTTTGACTGCCTGGCCTTAATTGTAACCTAAGCTTGACTGTCTTGCCTTAATTGTTACCTAAGTTCAACTTTCTGGCCTTAACTGTTACCTAAGTTTGACTGCCTGGCCTTAATTGTTACCTAAGTTTGACTGCCTGGCCTTAACTGTCACCGAAGTTTAACTTTCTGGCCTTAACTGTCACCTAAGTTTGATTGCCTGGCCTTAATTGTTACCTAAGTTCAACTTTCTGGCCTTAACTGTTACCTAAGTTTGACTGCCTGGCCTTAATTGTTACCTAAGTTTGACTGTCTGGCCTTAATTGTTACCTAAGTTTGACTGTCTTGCCTTAATTGTTACATAAGTTTGACTGCCTGGCCTTAACTGTTACCTAAGTTTGACTGCCTGGCCTTAACTGTCACCGAAGTTCAACTTTCTGGCCTTAACTGTTACCTAAGTTTGACTGCCTGGCCTTAATTGTTACCTAAGTTTGACTGCCTGGCCTTAATTGTTACCTAAGTTTGACTGCCTGGCCTTAACTGTCACCGAAGTTTAACTTTCTGGCCTTAACTGTCACCTAAGTTTGATTGCCTGGCCTTAATTGTTACCAAAGTTCAACTTTCTGGCCTTAACTGTTACCTAAGTTTGACTGCTTGGCCTTTACTGTCACCTAAGTTTGACTGTCTGGCCTTAATTGTCACCGAAGTTTGACTGCCTGGTCTAAACTGTCACCGAAGTTCAACTTTCTGGCCTTAACTGTTACCTAAGTTTGATTGCCTGGCCTTAATTGTCACCTAAGTTTGATTGTCTGGCCTTAACTGTTACTTAAGTTTGACTGTCTTGCCTTAATTGTTACCTAAGTTTGACTGCCTGGCCTTAACTATTACCTAAGTTTGACTGCCTGGCCTTAATTGTAACCTAAGTTTGACTGTCTTGCCTTAATTGTTACCTAAGTTTGACTGCCTGGCCTTAACTGTTACCTAAGTTTAACTGCCTGGCCTTAACTGTCACCGAAGTTCAACTTTTCTGGCCTTAACTGTCACCTAAGTTTGACTGTCTGACCTTAATTGTCACCTAGGTTTGATTGTCTGGCCTTAACTGTTACCTAAGTTCAACTTTCTGGCCTTAACTTTTACCTAAGTTTGACTGCTTGGCCTTAACTGTTACCTAAGTTTGACTGTCTGGCCTTAACTGTTACTTAAGTTTGACTGCCTGGCCTTAATTGTTACCTAAGTTTGACTGTCTTGTCTTAACTGTCACCTAAGTTTGACTGTCTGGCCTTAACTGTCACCTAGGTTTGATTGTCTGGCCTAAACTGTTACCTAAGTTCAACTTTCTGGCCTTAACTGTTACCTAAGTTTGACTGTCTGGCCTTTACTGTCACCTAAGTTTGACTGCCTGGCCTTAATTGTTACCTAAGTTTGACTGTCTGGCCTTAACTGTCACCTAAGTTTGACTGCCTGGCCTTAACTGTTACCTAAGTTTGACTGCTTTGCCTTTACTGTCACCTAAGTTTGATTGTCTGGCCTTAACTTTTACCTAAGTTTGACTGTCTGGCCTTAACTGTCACCTAAGTTTGACTGTCTGGCCTTAATTGTCACCGAAGTTTGACTGCCTGGTCTAAACTGTCACCGAAGTTCAACTTACTGGCCTTAAATGTTACCTAAGTTTGATTGTCTGGCCTTAACTGTTACTTAAGTTTGACTGTCTTGCCTTAATTGTTACCTAAGTTTGACTGCCTGGCCTTAACTATTACCTAAGTTTGACTGCCTGGCCTTAATTGTAACCTAAGTTTGACTGTCTTGCCTTAATTGTTACCTAAGTTTGACTGCCTGGCCTTAACTGTTACCTAAGTTTGACAGCCTGGCCTTAACTGTCACCGAAGTTCAACTTTTCTGGCCTTAACTGTCACCTAAGTTTGACTGTCTGACCTTAATTGTCACCTAGGTTTGATTGTCTGGCCTTAACTGTTACCTAAGTTCAACTTTCTGGCCTTAACTTTTACCTAAGTTTGACTGCTTGGCCTTAACTGTTACCTAAGTTTGACTGCCTGGCCTTAATTGTAACCTAAGTTTGACTGCCTGGCCTTAACTGTCACCGAAGTTTGACTGTCTAGCCTTAACTTTTACCTAAGTTTGACTGTCTGGCCTTAACTGTCACCTAAGTTTGATTGTCTGGCCTTAACTGTTACCTAAGTTTGACTGCTTGGCCTTTACTGTCACCTAAGTTTGATTGTCTGGCCTTAATTGTAACCTAAGTTTGACTGTCTAGCCTTAACTTTTACCTAAGTTTGACTGTCTGGCCTTAACTGTCACCTAAGTTTGATTGTCTGGCCTTAATTGTAACCTAAGTTTGACTGTCTGGCCTTAATTGTCACCGAAGTTTGACTGCCTGGTCCTAACTGTCACCGAAGTTCAACTTTCTGGCCTTAACTGTTACCTTAGTTTGACTGTCTAGCCTTAACTTTTAACTAAGTTTGACTGTCTGGCCTTAACTGTCACCTAAGTTTGATTGTCTGGCCTTAATTGTAACCTAAGTTTGACTGTCTGGCCTTAATTGTCACTGAAGTTTGACTGCCTGGTCTTAACTGTCACCAAAGTTCAACTTTCTGGCCTTAACTGTTACCTAAGTTTGACTGCCTGGCCTTAACTATTACCTAAGTTTGACTGCCTGGCCTTAATTGTAACCTAAGTTTGACTGTCTTGCCTTAATTGTTACCTAAGTTTGACTGCCTGGCCTTAACTGTTACCTAAGTTTGACTGCCTGGCCTTAACTGTCACCGAAGTTCAACTTTTCTGGCCTTAACTGTTACCTAAGTTTGACTGCCTGGCCTTAATTGTTACCTAAGTTTGACTGTCTTGCCTTAATTGTTACATAAGTTTGACTGCCTGGCCTTAACTGTTACCTAAGTTTGACTGCCTGGCCTTAACTGTCACCGAAGTTCAACTTTCTTGCCTTAACTGTTACCTAAGTTTGACTGCCTGGCCTTAACTATTACCTAAGTTTGACTGCCTGGCCTTAATTGTAACCTAAGTTTGACTGTCTTGCCTTAATTGTTACCTAAGTTTGACTGCCTGGCCTTAACTGTTACCTAAGTTTGACTGCCTGGCCTTAAACTAAGTTTGACTGTCCTGCCTTAATTGTTACATAAGTTTGACTGCCTGGCCTTAACTGTCACTGCCTGGCCTTAACTGTTCAACTTTCTTGCCTTAACTGTTACCTAAGTTTGACTGCCTGGCCTTAATTGTAACCTAAGTTTGACTGCCTGGCCTTAACTGTTACCTAAGTTTGACTGCCTGGCCTTAACTCTCACCGAAGTTCAACTTTTCTGGCCTTAACTGTTACCTAAGTTCGACTGCCTGGCCTTAGCTGTCACCGAAGTTCAACTTTTCTGGCCTTAACTGTTACCTAAGTTTGACTACCTGGCCTTAATTGTTACCTAAGTTTGACTGTCTTGTTTTAGTAAAGCACCTCCACTTATGTAATACATTATGTATCTTATTCTACCACATCTGGATATTGAGAACATTTTTGAAATGACAAATTATGGCCCTGCCCATCAGTATCCTGGTGGTCAGCCAGGGTATACATGTGCAAACCATAAATCTGCCATCCAATACTTACAATTCTAACCAACTTTAAACTATCACTGACAGAAAGTAAGTAAACTATACTTGAATATGAAAGCTTCCTGTACAAACTAATTAAAAGTAAGCATTACTACCTCCTATGGGGAAAATGTGAGACCCTGAAGACATGAAATTCTCAATTTATATTAATAAACCATCTCATATTTCCTCGCATGAAGAGTATTTGAACCTACGTTATCTAGGTCTGGTGAAGAAGATTTTTGAAATTTTAGTTAATTTGACTAATTCTGAAATGCAAATCAGCCCCTCAGCATAGGCCAAGGCCAATATTTGGGTACCATAAGATTACAAACCAATACTGACAATTCTAAGCAACTTTAAATAATTTCTGATAGAGATAAGCAAAATGTACTCTAATAATCAACTACATCAACTATTGATCCCAAAATTAACCCTCTTCCCAAGGGGATATTGTGTGACCTTTTACTCAAGTAGTTCACAACATCAGTTAATGACCTCACAATCTTTCCATTCATCTAGAGTGTTTGATTCTAACATATCTGGGATTTATGAAGATTTTTGAAATATGAATCAGTTTGACTCCTTTTAGCCCTGTCGTCACTCACTGGGGTCAGTCTTGGTCTATATCAGTACACCTTTAACTGTCATTCCATCCTAATAATTTTAACTAATGAAAATCTAAGAAATAAACTCAAAAATGTATTTTTCTCCAAATAGCTTTAACTTTACCCTCCTCAAGTGCAAATTTGACACCCTAGGTAAAATGAAGTAGAGTGCCTTAAGCCTTTTCCATTCATGAAAAGTTCTTGATGCTACCATATCTGGGTCATGAGAAGAAGAGTTTTGAAATTTGTGTCTATTTGACTATTTTTGGCCCCCACCTGTCAGGTCCCTGATGAACGGTGACCTCAGAGATCACAGTTTTGGTTCAGCTTTTGCTGTGGAATATTCTACACAATTTTGTTATAATCTGTTTGTTGGCTTTTCAGGACAAGTCAAAAATATAAATTATTTACAAATGCACAACACATGAGACCAGAGAAAAGGCAATTGCAATTGGTCACTTGAAACTTCATCTCAGGTAACCTTAAAACTAGCATTATGTACTGGGCCAACTTTCTCATTATTCAACATAACTAGGTGGAAGTTATTTGTTAAGATATTCAATATCTTTAAGTATCAGAAATTAATGATTTTAAAGTTATACTGACCGATCTGGTTACAGTGACCTGTGATGGTTCCTGGTCCAGAAAGGTCTTGATCACCCCACATCCAGTCCTTGCCACGTCTGACCCTGGATCCCATCAGGGGCATCTGAGGATCAACGATCTCGTCCTCTTGTGTCTTACAGCTACTAAGGTTGTCTGTTTCCAGGAGGATGAGCATCATTTCCTCCTGTTTAAGGGTTGAGCATAACAGCCGTCAAATAAATAAGAGAGGAAAACATAACAGTCAATGATTGAGGTATGGGAGGAAAACATAACAGCCAATGATTGAGGTATGGGAGGAAAACATAACAGCCAATGATTGAGGTATGGGAGAAAAACATAACAGCTAATGATTGAGGTATGGGAGAAAAACATAACAGCTAATGATTGAGGTATGGGAGAAAAACATAACAGCTAATGATTGAAGTAATTGTGGTAAGGACGGTTTAGATAACAGCCATGAAATGTGGTAAGGGAGGTTTAGATAACAGCCATTAAATGTGGTAAGGGAGGTTTAGATAACAGCCATGAAATGTGGTAAGGGAGGTTTAGATAACAGCCATTAAATGTGGTAAGGACGGTTTAGATAACAGCCATGAAATGTGGTAAGGGAGGTTTAGATAACAGCCATTAAATGTGGTAAGGGAGGTTTAGATAACAGCCATGAAATGTGGTAAGGGAGGTTTAGATAACAGCCATTAATTGTGGTAAGGGAGGTGTAGATAACAGCCATTAATTGTGGTAAGGGAGGTTTAGATAACAGCCATTAATTGTGGTCAGGGAGATTTAGATAACAGCCATTAAATGTGGTAAGGGAGGTTTAGATAACAGCCATTAATTGTGGTAAGGGAGGTTTAGATAACAGCCATTTATTGTGGTAAGGGAGATTTAGATAACAGCCATTAAATGTGGTAAGGACGGTTTAGATAACAGCCATTAAATGTGATAAGGGAGATTTAGATAACAGCCATTAAATGTGGTAAGGACGGTTTAGATAACAGCCATTAAATGTGGTAAGGGAGGTTTAGATAACAGCCATTAATTGTGGTAAGGACGGTTTAGATAACAGCCATTAAATGTGGTAAGGGAGATTTAGATAACAGCCATTAAATGTGGTAAGGGAGGTTTAGATAACAGCCATGAAATGTGGTAAGGGAGGTTTAGATAACAGCCATTAATTGTGGTAAGGGAGGTGTAGATAATAGCCATTAATTGTGGTAAGGGAGGTTTAGATAACAGCCATTAATTGTGGTCAGGGAGATTTAGAGAACAGCCATTAAATGTGGTAAGGGAGGTTTAGATAACAGCCATTAATTGTGGTAAGGGAGGTTTAGATAACAGCCATTTATTGTGGTAAGGGAGATTTAGATAACAGCCATTAAATGTGGTAAGGACGGTTTAGATAACAGCCATTAAATGTGATAAGGGAGATTTAGATAACAGCCATTAAATGTTGTAAGGACGGTTTAGATAACAGCCATTAAATGTGGTAAGGGAGATTTAGATAACAGTCATTAAATGTGGTAAGGGAGATTTAGATAACAGCCATTAAATGTGGTAAGGACGGTTTAGATAACAGCCATTAAATGTGATAAGGGAGATTTAGATAACAGCCATAAAATGTGGTAAGGACGGTTTAGATAACAGCCATTAAATGTTGTAAGGGAGGTTTAGATAACAGCCATTAATTGTGGTAAGGACGGTTTAGATAACAGACATTAAATGTGGTAAGGGAGATTTAGATAACAGCCATTAAATGTGGTAAGGACGGTTTAGATAACAGCCATTAAATGTGGTAAGGGAGGTTTAGATAACAGCCATTAAATGTGGTAAGGGAGATTTAGATAACAGCCATTAAATGTGGTAAGGACGGTTTAGATAACAGCCATTAAATGTGATAAGGGAGATTTAGATAACAGCCATTAAATGTGGTAAGGACGGTTTAGATAACAGCCATTAAATGTGGTAAGGGAGGTTTAGATAACAGCCATTAATTGTGGTAAGGACGGTTTAGATAACAGACATTAAATGTGGTAAGGGAGATTTAGATAACAGCCATTAAATGTGGTAAGGACGGTTTAGATAACAGCCATTAAATGTGGTAAGGGAGGTTTAGATAACAGCCATTAAATGTGGTAAGGGAGATTAGATAACAGCCTTTTATTGTAGTAATGACAGTTTAGATAACAGCAATTAATTGTGGCAATTCAGATTAGATAACAACCATTAATTGTGGTAAGGTCAGTTTAGATAACAGACATTAATTATGGTAAGGGAGGTTTAGATAACAGTCATTTCTTGTGGTAAGGGAGGTTAAGATAACAGCCATTAAATGTGGTAAGGAAAATTTAGATAACGGCCGTTTCTTGTGGTAAGATTGGTTTAGATAACAGCCTTTAATTGTGGTAAGGGAGGTTTAGATAACAGCCGTTTCTTGTGGTAAGGGAGGTTAAGCCAATAGTCACTGATTTATGAACATTAAAATGTTGAGAGTTGCAGTCCAACTTTCTCAACACACTGAAATGGTTTTTTCAGAATCTGATACGAAAAAATTGCAACCATTCAGAATATGTTATTCGTGTTTTAACATTTGACAATGGCTCATATACTTACAATGTCAGCATCCTTGACATCAGTCAACATACTGCGGGCAAGCTGAGCGAAAACCTCAGGATCTTTTGTAGTTAAATCATGCTTACGTTTCATAGAGGTTACTTCAGTCTGAAATCACATTACAGTTGATCTACATAAGGGAACAGATAAGAACAAGTCCTAGTCATATATAACAAGATTCAAGAGATCTTGGTGCCCCACATTGAATGATCTTTATGTATTCTTTAAAATCTCGATCTTTTCTCTTCTCTTCAAAAAGGGGCCAATGTAAACCTACAATTTAAATTTGAAAGTAGTACTTCTCAAGAAATAGCAATAACAAACTTTACTAAGCCAAATCAAAGATGGCTGTCTGTTGGCTATTTTCTGATCAGTTCCAAAATCAAACATGTACAACTGGGGATTAAAGAAACCTGCAAATGACATTTCCGAAAGTTCCATCCAATACTTCTCGAGAAATAGCAATCATAAAACTATTACTGTTGAGATCCATGATGGCCTCCTGTTGGCCAATTTATTTTTCTGTTCAGTTCCAAATTCAAATAAGAACAACTAGCGACCAAGGGGAACATACATATGAAATTTTAGAAAATATAACAACAAGCTTTTTAAGTATCTGTCTGATGTCTGATGTGATATATATAAGGTTTAGAAAATATTTGTTAATTCTGTTGGTGTGATATATACCAGGTTTTTAAAGTATCTGCCAATTCTTTGGACTTCATGTTGTTGCACTAAATGACCTCCAGATTTTGAAGCAATTTCCAAGAGGAAGTCCTGAAATACAAACAAATGTGTTGAACTGATGTCCACTTTAGCCAATTAGAATCTAGGTAAAAGACATTAACAGTAGCATAAGGAATAAAATAATATGAAATACAGCAGCTATCAGATTCTGTACAATTAGTGTATCTTCACCATCAAAAACGATGAAGACGTTATTTATACTGGTAAATTTAGCACCATAGATGTAGCCTTCCTTCATTATATCAGCAACTGTATAAATTACCAGCAACTGTATCTTTAAATTGGTACAAAAAGTGACTACAATAATATTATGACAAGTATCCTTTAAATAAGAAAATAAAGCAAGTTTTAGATTTTTATAGGAATTTTCATCACCAGTAATCCATGGTCCTGACGCATCTCTGTGCTTGTGCATCAGGACTATAGGTTAAAAACAATGAGGGGAATTTATTATTTTCATTTCTTTTTTGAGTAGGTTTTGTTTTCACTGTATAGTCATTAATTTTGTCAAGATTTTATTTTGACTGTATGACCATTACTTATCATGGAGGTTTGGCTTTCACTGTAAAATAAATTTTGTGTGAAGTTTAATTTTACTGTAAAGTTGTTAATATTTTTCTACAATAAAACCTAATTATCCAGGTTTTATTTCAACTGTAAAATCATTCATTTTCATTGTATTTTATGGTATAATTGTTAATTTTTATGGTGGTATTGTTTATTACAGCAAAACCATTAATTTTCCGTGAGGTTTTATTTTTCCTGTAAAATTATTAATTTTTGTGGAGGCTTTATTTTTACTGTAACACTAACTTTTGTGGAGGTTCAACTTTTGTTGAAAAATTATTAATTTTGTGGAGGTTCAACTTTTGTTTAAAAAATTATCAATTTTGGTGGAGGCTTTATTTTCACTGTAACATTAACTTTTGTGGAGGTTCAACTTTTGTTGAAAAATTATTAATTTTGTGGAGGTTCAACTTTTGTTTAAAAAATTATCAATTTTGGTGGAGGCTTTATTTTCACTGTAACATTAACTTTTGTGGAGGTTCAATTTTTGTTGAAAAATTATCGATTTTCTGGAGGTTTTATTTTTGTTATAAAACTACTAATTTTTGTGGAGCATTTAGTTTTGTTGATTTTCAGAGCACTCTTAATCTACAGATTCAAGAGTCCAAGAATCAATGGCGGTTTGAATTAGTATTTAATTCAGCAAAGTGCTAATGCTTATTATCGGCAATTAATCCCAGGTTCTCCATTATCAACAGTAGAAATTCTCCTCACCTCATTTGCATTTCCTACAGGCACACAGCTGATAGGGTGATGATCAGCTCCAAGTCTGATTGCCAGGTTCACTATGGATTCCTACATAATGACATACAAGATGAAAGTAATGAAGGCAAAGTAACAAAAACGTGGATCATAATAAAAATGTAATCAATCACTTTGATTGCAATCAATATCACCTTAAAAATTGTACACTTTGACACCAATCAATATCACCTTAAAAATTGTACACTTTGACACAAATCATTATCACCTTAAAAATTGTACAAAAGACATACAAGTGAAAAGCACCTTTCAATAATTTAGAGTTAGACAGAGTAGAGCCAGACAATGAATTAAATTGCATCATACAGCTGTTTTTCTGTCTAGAGATCCTCAGTGATGCTAAGGGCCTAAACTTTAAAGCCTGGCTATGGAAAACCTCGGAGTGTTAAAAAGTCCATCAGTCTTGTGTCCCACATGCTGCTATTTTAAAGGATGATATACAAGACATAAAAGTGAATAGCACTTTTTGATAATTTAGAGTTAGATACAGCAGAGCCACACAATGAATTAAACTGCATCATACAGCTGTTTTGTCCTTCTAGGATTCGTCAGTGATGTTACATCATACAGCTTTTTGTCCTTCTAGGACTTTTCAGTGATGTTACATCATACAGCTGTTTGTCCTTCTAGGACTTTTCAGTGATGTTATATCATACAGCTGTTTCATACTTCTGGGATTTGTCAGTGATGTTACATCATACAGCTGTTTCATCCTTCTAGGACTTGTCAGTGATGTTACATCACACAGCTGTTTTGTCCTTCTAGGACTTGTCAGTGATGTTATATCATACAGCTGTTTCATTCTTCTAGGACTTTTCAGTGATGTTATATCATACAGCTGTTTCATCCATCTGGGATTTGTCAGTGATGTTACATCATACAGCTGTTTCATCCTTCTGGGACTTGTCAGTGATGTTACATCATACAGCTGTTTTGTCTTTCTAGGACTTGTCAGTGATGTTACATCACACAGCTGTTTTGTCCTTCTAGGACTTGTCAGTGATGTTACATCACACAGCTGTTTTGTCCTTCTAGGACTTGTCAGTGATGTTATATCATACAGCTGTTTCATTCTTCTAGGACTTTTCAGTGATGTTACATCATACAGCTGTTTCATCCTTCTGGGATTTGTCAGTGATGTTACATCATACAGCTGTTTCATCTTTCTGGGACTTGTCAGTGATGTTACATCATACAGCTGTTTTGTCCTTCTAGGACTTGTCAGTGATGTTACATCATACAACTGTTTCATCCTTCTAGGACTCATCAGTGATATTACATCATACAGTAGTTTCATCCTTCTGGGATTTGTCAGTGATGTTACATCATACAGCTGTTTTGTCCTTCTGGGACTTGTCAGTGATGTTACATCATATAGCTGTTTCGTCCGTCTGGGATCTGTCAGTGATGTTACATCATACAGCTGTTTCGTCCTTCTGGGATTTGTCAGTGATATTACATCATACAGCTGTTTCGTCCTGGGATTTGTCAGTAATGTTACATCCTACAGCTGTTTCGTCATTCTAGGACTTGTCAGTGATGTTACATCATACAGCTGTTTCGTCCTTCTAGGACTTGTCAGTGATGTTACATCATACAGCTGTTTTGTCCTTCTAGGACTTGTCAGTGATGTTACATCATACAGCTGTTTCGTCCTTCTAGGACTTGTCAGTGATGTTACATCATACAGCTGTTTTGTCCTTCTAGGACTTGTCAGTGATGTTACATCATACAGCTGTTTCGTCCTTCTAGGACTCATCAGATTAAAGCACCTGGGTAGTTAGACATGGGTAAAAAGGTGTACAGACCAAATTTGTGAGATCTTCCAGATGGACTTTGAGGCTAGTCATAGATTTCATGTGGTAAGGACATGTACATTAAATAGTATACTGGTATACAACTTTCATGAATCCAATAACTGACGATGAATATCAATTACATGCAATATTTGATTTAAATTAAATTGGAAAAGTCATGAGAATTGACATAATGAATATAACACAGCATGATACTCAATGTGAACGAAGGATGAATATAACACAGCATGATACTCAATGTGAACGTAGAATGAATATAACACAGCATGATACTCAATGTGAATGTGAACGTAGAATGAATATAACACAGCATGATACTCAATGTGAATGTGAATTCACAATGAATATAACACAGCATGATACTCAATGTGAACGAAGGATGAATAGAACACAGCATGATACTCAATGTGAACGTAGAATGAATATAACACAGCATGATACTCAATGTGAATGTGAACGTAGAATGAATATAACACAGCATGATACTCAATGTGAATGTGAATTCACAATGAATATAACACAGCATGATACTCAATGTGAATGTGAAAGAAGAATGAATATAACACAGCATGATACTCAATGTGAATGTGAACGTAGAATGAATATAACACAGCATGATACTCAATGTGAACGTGAACGTAGAATGAATATAACACAGCATGATACTCAATGTGAATGTGAATTCACAATGAATATAACACAGCATGATACTCAATGTAAACGTGAACGTAGAATGAATATAACACAGCATGATACTCAATGTGAACGTGAACGTAGAATGAATATAACACAGCATGATACTCATTGTAAATGTGAAAGTAGAATGAATATAACACAGCATGATACTCATTGTAAATGTGAAAGTAGAATGAATATAACACAGCATGATACTCAATGTGAACGTGAACGTAGAATGAATATAACACAGCATGATACTCAATGTGAATGTGAATTCAGAATGAATATAACACAGCATGATACTCAATGTGAATGTGAAAGAAGAATGAATATAACACAGCATGATACTCAATGTGAATGTGAACGTAGAATGAATATAACACAGCATGATACTCAATGTGAACGTGAACGTAGAATGAATATAACACAGCATGATACTCAATGTGAATGTGAATTCACAATGAATATAACACAGCATGATACTCAATGTAAACGCGAACGTAGAATGAATATAACACAGCATGATACTCAATGTGAACGTGAACGTAGAATGAATATAACACAGCATGATACTCATTGTAAATGTGAAAGTAGAATGAATATAACACAGCATGATACTCAATGTGAACGTGAACGTAGAATGAATATAACACAGCATGATACTCAATGTGAATGTGAATTCAGAATGAATATAACACAGCATGATACTCAATGTGAATGTGAAAGAAGAATGAATATAACACAGCATGATACTCAATGTGAATGTGAATTCAGAATGAATATAACACAGCATGATACTCAATGTAAATGTGAAAGTAGAATGAATATAACACAGCATGATACTCAGTGTGAACGTGAACGTAGAATGAATATAACACAGCATGATACTCAATGTGAATGTGAATTCAGAATGAATATAACACAGCATGATACTCAATGTGAATGTGAATTCAGAATGAATATAACACAGCATGATACTCAATGTAAATGTGAATTCAGAATGAATATAACACAGCATGATACTCAATGTGAATGTGAACTTAGAATAGTTAAATATTGACAATGTCATACCTTGTTTTTAACTGGTAGATATCAGAAATAATGACTTTAAAATGTCAGTGTCATATTCAATTGTAGAGTTAATACTGTGTTACGCTAGATAAAATCTATATAAATAGTTAATATGTTCATTTACATAAGAAGCCTAAACAATCTTACCCAGGCATCCGCAGGCAGATTTTGAGTTTTCCGATCAGTGCCATGGATGACCTCTGAGTCTGTGGCTTGACCGTCTGATATGAGAATAATTCTTGGGTGGACAGACACAGAATTGATAACTGTTTCTGTTCCTGTCAAAAGCAGACATCACAAGGTCAATGGCTAGACATTCACATTTCTATCCAATGTTGAGAAACTTTTTGATCATGTCATATATTTAAATTCGACTATTCTATATGCATTTGTAGTATTTGAATTACTTTTTACTTACAAAATATCACAATTTTGTTGTAATCGAGTTAATTTCAGAATCACTGAAGTCAATTTTCTGTCCTATAGCACATATTTCAGTGTAAGATTCACAGCATTGACCAATTAACTACTGGAAAATGAAGCTGTCATAATATTTAAGATTATGATGTGAGTGTAGGGAATGAAACAAAACATCAAGTGAAAAGACTACAATGAAAATACTATGTTGTAAATCAATCTTTGAAGTCATTTTATCCAATATTACCCTACTTTTTATCCGCTATATACCCTACTTTTAATTTCATCCACTATATACCCTACTCTTAATTATATCCACTATATACCCTACTTTTTATTTAATCCAATATATACCCTACTTTTTATTTTATCCACTATATACCCTACTTTTTATCCACTATATACCCTACTTTTAATTTTATCCACTATATACCCTACTCTTAATTATATCCACTATATACCCTACTTTATTTTATCCACTATATACCCCTCATTTTATCCACTATATACCCTACTTTATATCCACTATATACCCTACTTTTTATCCACTATATACCCTACTTTATATCCACTTCATACCATACTTTTTACTTTATGCACTATATACCCTACTTTTTATTTAATCCAATATATACCCTACTTTTTATTTTATCCACTATATACCCTACTTTTTATCCACTATATACCCTACTTTTAATTTTATCCACTATATACCCTACTCTTAATTATATCCACTATATACCCTACTTTTTATTTTATCCAATATATACCCTACTTTTTATTTTATCCACTATATACCCTACTTTTTATTTTATCCACTATATACCCTACATTTTATCCACTATATACCCTACTTTTTACTTTATGCACTATATACCCTACTTTTTATCCACTATATACCCTACTTTATATCCACTATATACCCTACTTTATATCCACTTCATACCCTACTTTTTACTTTATGCACTATGTTGCCTACTTTTTATTTTATCCACTATATACCATACTTTTTATTTTATCCACTATATACCCTACTTTTAATTTTATCCACTATATACCCTACTCTTAATTATATCCACTATATACCCTACTTTTTATTTTATCCACTATATACCCTACTTTTTATTTTATCCACTATATACCCTACTTTTTATTTTATCCACTATATACCCTACATTTTATCCACTATATACCCTACTTTATATCCACTATATACCCTACTTTTAATTTTATCCACTATATACCCTACTCTTAATTATATCCACTATATACCCTACTTTTTATTTTATCCACTATATACCCTACTTTTTATTTTATCCACTATATACCCTACCTTTTATCCACTATATACCCTACTTTTAATTTTATCCACTATATACCCTACTCTTAATTATATCCAGTATATACCCTACTTTTTATTTTATCCACTATATACCTACTACTTTTTATTTTATCCACTATATACCCCTCTTTTTATCCACTATATACCCTACTTTATATCCACTTCATACCCTACTTTTTACTTTATGCACTATATACTCTACTTTTTATCCACTATATACCCTACTTTTTATCCACTATATACCCTACTTTATATCCACTATATACCCTACTTTTTATCCACTATATACCCTACTTTATACCCTACTTTATATCCACTATATACCCTACTTTTTTTTATCCACTATATACCCTACTTTTTATTTATACCCTACTCCATATATACCCTACTTTTTATCCACTATATACCCTACTTTATATCCACTATATACCCTACTTTTTATTTTATCCACTATATACCCCTCTTTTTATCCACTATATACCCTACTTTTTATCCACTATATACCCTACTTTTACCCTACTTTAAATCCACTATATACCCTACTTTTTACCCTACTTTTTATATCCACTATATACCCTACTTTATTATTTTATCCACTATATACCCTACTTTTTATTTTATCCACTATATACCCTACTTTTTATCCACTATATGCCCTACTTTTTATTTTATCCACTATATACCCTACTTTATATCCACTATATACCCTACTTTATATCCACTATATACCCTACTTTTAATTTTATCCACTATATACCCTACTTTTTATCCACTATATACCCTACTTTTTACTTTATGCACTATGTTGCCTACTTTTTATTTTATCCACTATATACCCTACTTTTTATTATATACCCTTTATATCCACTATATACCCTATTTTATCCACTATATACCCTACTTTTATCCACTATATTTATATCCACTATATACCCTACTTTTTATTATATACCCACTATATACCCTACTTTTTATCCACTATATACCCTACTTTTATATCCACTATATACCCTACTTTTATACTTTTTATTTTATCCACTATATACCCTACTTTTTATCCACTATATACCCTACTTTTTATCCACTATATTTATATCCACTATATTTATATACCCTACTTTTTATCCACTATATACCCTACTTTTTATCCACTATATACCCTACTATATCCACTATATACCCTACTTTTTATATCCACTATATACCCTACTTTTTATTTATCCATCCACTATATACCCTACTTTTTATTTTATCCACTATATACCCTACTTTTTATTTTATCCACTATATACCCTACTTTTTATCCATATATACCCACTATATATATCCACTATATACCCTACTTTTTTTTATCCACTATATACCCTACTTTTTATATCCACTATATACCCTACTTTTTTTTTCCACTATATACCCTTTATCCACTATATACCCTACTTTTTATTTTATCCACTATATACCCTACTTTTTATTACTTTTTACTTTATCCACTATATACCCACTACTATACCCTACTTTTTATCCACTATATACCCTACTTTATATCCACTATATACTTTTTACTTTATCCACTATATACCCTACTTTTTATCCACTATATACCCTACTTTTTATTTTTACTATATACCCTACTTTTTATTTTATCCACTATATACCCTACTTTTTTTTTTTTTTTATCCACTATATACCCTACTACTTTTATTTATATCCACTATATACCCTACTTTTATATATCCCTATATACCCTACTTTTTACTATTTACTTTTTATCCACTATATACCCTACTTTTTTTACACTATATACCCTACTTTTTATTATATCCACTATATACCCTACTTTTTATTTTATCCACTATATACCCTACTTTTTATCCACTATATACCCTACTTTATATCCACTATATACCCTACTTTATATCCACTATATACCCTACTTTTAATTTTATCCACTATATACCCTACTTTTTTATTATACCCTACACTATATACCCTACTTTTTATCACTATATACCCTATATACCCTACTACTTTTATTTTATTATATACCCTACTTTTATCCACTATACTATATACCCTACTTTTTATTTTTTTACTTTTTATCCACTATATACCCTACTTTACCCTACTTTTTATCCACTATATACCCTACTTTTTATCCACTATATACCCTATTTACCTTTTTATCCACTATATACCCTACTTTTTATCCACTATATACCCTACTTTATATCCACTGAATACCCTACTTTTTACTTTATCCACTATATACCCTACTTTTTATCCACTATATACCCTACTTTTTATCCACTATATACCCTACTTTTTATCCACTATATACCCTACTTTTTACTTTATGCACTATATACCCTACTTTTTATCCACTATATACCCTACTTTATATCCACTATATACCCTACTTTTTATCCACTATATATATACCCTACTACTTTTTATCCACTATATACCCTACTTTTTATCCACTATATACCCTACTTTTTATTACCCTACTTTTTATCCACTATATACCCTACTTTTTATCCACTATATACCCTACTTTTTATCCACTATATTACTTTTTATCCACTATATACCCTACTTTTTATCCACTATATACCCTACTTTTTATCCACTATATACCCTACTTTTTATCCACTATATACCCTACTTTTTATCCACTATATACCCTACTTTTTATCCACTATATACCCTACTTTATATCCACTTCATACCCTACTTTTTACTTTATGCACTTTTATTTTATCCACTATATACCCTACTTTTTATTTTATCCACTATATACCCTACTTTTTATTTTATCCACTATATACCCTACTTTATATCCCCTATATACCCCACTTTTTATTTGATCAAGTATATACCCTACTTTTTATCCACTATATACCCTACTTTATATCCACTTTTTACTTTATGCACTATATACCCTTCTTTTTACTTTATGCACTATATACCCTACTTTTTATCCACTATATACCCTACTTTTTATTTTATCCACTATATACCCTACTTTATATCCACTATATACCCTACTTTATATCCACTATATACCATACTTTTTATTTTATCCACTATGTACCCTACTTTTTATTTTATTCATTATAAACCCTACTTTTTTACTGTGTTCACTATATACTCTTCAGCTGCCTTACTAATTGGCTATATCATCATAGACCTGAATTGTGGTATTGTGTTAAATGCTACACAAACACACCTCTAGCAGCAATGGCACACAATGCCATGTACATCCCTGCTAACATTGGGGATCGACCTCCAGCAAACAGCTGGTCTGAAACAAATAGCAAAACAAAATCACAAAGAACAAAATGACGAACAAAAAAAATTACACAACAAAGTTCATCTCTAAAGAAATTACCTTCAATAACAATAGACTTTTCTCAGCTGTACAGAAATACAATACAAAATGAGTATGGTAAAAAATAACATTACATTATGAGTGGTGGTAAGTTATTAAATGGTTAGTCATCAGAGTTGTGAGATACTTTCAATAAATTCTCACTTTTCATCGACATGATTTCCAGTGAAGATACAATTATCTATACAGTATTTGTCTTAACAAAACCTACCCAGAGATGCTCTGATCTCCTTATAGTCATTCGTTAAATGACAGTCTACGAAGGTTGTATGACCAAAGGTCACAATAGCAACATTCTCTTCTCTCTGATGAGCAAATTTACACCCTTCAATACCTGTTAAAATGGTACAAAAACCAGTCAATCAAATGGCCTTGGTAAGGTAACACTCCTATGACATAGTATTTAAATGTATCTTCAATTGTGCTGTTCCTAAATATAAGGTTAAGATGCATGTATGCATAATGCTAGATTGTCCATGACACCTCAGGATCATGAAGAAGCATTTAAAATATAACTTCACTAGTTCATGAAAGTTGAAGAGCATTACTTTTGACCTCTGGATAAAAAAAAAACAAATATATTTCACTGAGTGCTGAGGAAACTTTGATATTTTTGATGATTGTGCAGCACTGCAAATGGAATGAGTAAAAGTTACTACATCATTACAATTAATTTTAATTTAAACTGCTGTTGGATTTTGTTGGACTCTTTAACCACTTTAAATTTCCATACACAATACAATAAAGGACTCTGCTGTTTAGAGACTGATATAAGGAAATTTCAGTAATCCTTGTCTTACAGTTGTTTGTGTGTGACTGGTAATATAATGTATCATTAGAAATAAGTATTTACAGCTATTCAAAATGTAATTAAAGAGGTAGATCGCCTGAAAAACTATGCACAAAATGTTGGAATCCATACTTTCAAGAATCTCCAGCACCACTTTCTTCATTTGAGCAAGACCTTCATCAGCCATACTTTCAGAGATATCCAACAGAAACACAGTGTCAATGCCACGCCCACGACAAATCTGCAGATTCCGTGCTAAAGTAACAGTGTAAAAGATTATACATTTTAACATCTTATCAATATGAAGATAGAAACAAGATGAGAACAATCATTAGTAAATATGTAAGTTAGGTCAGTGATAAGCTTGCTTAATCTTATAAATTTTGTATATAATACAAACTAATACATCACAATACAGACAGTACCTACATCAACATCAGATACTGAAAGTAGAAATTAAACCAGTAAATCTTTATGTTTATATGTCAGATATAGACAGTAGAATATGGACCAGTAACACCTGTATGTTTATATGTCATATATAGACAGTAGAATATGGACCAGTAACACCTGTAAGTTTATGTCATATATAGACAGTAGAATATGGACCAGTTACACCTGTATGTTTATATGTCAGATATAGACAGTAGAATATGGACCAGTAACACCTGTATGTTTATATGTCAGATATAGACAATAGAATATGGACCAGTAACACATGTATGTTTATATGTCAGATATAGACAGTAGAATATGGACCAGTAACACCTGTATGTTTATATGTCATATATAGACAGTAGAATATGGACCAGTAACACCTGTATGTTTATATGTCAGATATAGACAGTAGAATGTGGACCAGTAACACCTATATGTTTATATGTCAGATATAGACAGTAGAATGTGGACCAGTAACACCTGTATGTTTATATGCCAGATATAGACAGTAGAATATGGACCAGTAACACCTGTATGTTTATATGCCAGATATAGACAGTAGAATATGGACCAGCTACACCTGTAAGTCATATATAGACAGTAGAATATGGACCAGTTACACCTGTATGTTTATATTTCAGATATAGACAGTAGAATATGGACCAGTTGTACCTGTATGTTTATATGTCAGATATAGACAGTAGAATATGGACCAGTAACACCTGTATGTTTATATTTCAGATATAGACAGTAGAATGTGGACCAGTTACACCTGTATGTTTATGGACCAGTTGTACCTGTATGTTTATATGTCAGATATAGACAGTAGAATATGGACCAGTTGTACCTGTATGTTTATATGTCATATATAGGCAGTAGAATATAGACCAGTTACACCAGTATGTTTGTATGTCAGATATAGACAGGAGAATATGGACCAGTTGTACCTGTATGTTTATATGTCATATATAGACAGTAGAATATGGACCAGTTGTAACTGTATGTTTATATGTCAGATATAGACAGTAGAATATGGACCAGTAACACCTGTATGTTTATATGTCAGATATAGACAGTAGAATATAGAACAGTTACACCTGTATGTCATATATAGACAGTAGAATATGGACCAGTAACACCTGTATGTTTATATGTCAGATATAGACAGTAGAATATGGACCAGTTGTACCTGTATGTTTATATGTCAGATATCGACAGTAGAATATGGACCAGTTACACCTGTATGTCATATATAGACAGTAGAATATGGACCAGTTACACCTGTATATTTATATGTCAGATATAGACAGTAGAATATGGACCAGTTGTACCTGTATGTTTATATGTCAGATATAGACAGTAGAATATAAACCAGTCACACCTGTATGTTTATATATATCAGACAGCTAGTAAAATATACCTTTTGAAGCTTCACAGTTGGCAGCTTCTATCCACATATTCTCTGTCACTAATAAGTCATCTGCAGTTGTTAAACCTTCAAGACAAATACATTGAATTTTATTTTGGATTCATCATACAACAAGGATTAATTTGTAAAGAATGTTATCTGTTTCTGTTAGATTGTTTACTATTATCTGATAATGACTATACCACAGGATTCTCATCACCTCTATAGATAGGAACATATTATTATCTGATAATGACTATACCACAGGATTCTCATCACTCTCTATAGATAGGAACATACTATTGTCTGATAATGACTATACTACAGGATTTCCATCACCCTCTATAGATAGGAGCATACTATTATCTGAAATGGACTATACCACAGGATTCTCATCACCCTCTATAGATAGGAATATACTATTATCTGATAATGACTATACCACAGGACTCGCATCACTCTCTATAGATAGGAACATACTATTATCTGATATTGACTATACCACAGGATTCTCACCAACCTCTGTTGATAGGAACATTGTATAATCTTCAATTTTATATAATAGCTAACTACTGGAAAAATCTATCCAATACAGAAATATGGAAAGGATTTTTATGAGCTGCTAGCAGAATGTACATTAGTGTAGCATTTTAACAAATAACAACATAAAAACTATTAAAAATGGACCACTTCTAATACTACATTTTCAAGATGGCAGATAAATTCAAACAGCTCCCAAAAACCTTTGTTTCAATGCATGTCTGCAATTCTGATATGACTCTCTGGGTAAAACATGAAGGCACATTTCTGATATAAAAGATATGGGATAGGTGACATGTAAAAGATTGGTTGTAATGTGATTCCTTCTATTTCCTACAACAACAGAACAGGACATTTTTAACTTACCATGAAACTGGTTAGCTAGGCCTTGTCCTCCAGCAGCCAGCAGCTCCCTTCAATTCAAACAGAATATCTTTTATCATACAGATAAATCTGTTTTTATGTAAAAATATTAGATGAGTCTACCTAAACAAAATTTTAAGGATATTTTCCAATTTATAAATCATCCTACAATAATGGCATATCACAGTGTGTGTAATGAGAATATTACTGCAAGATGATATCAGTTAAATCACATATCTTACATAATATGAAAACTGTACAATTATTGTTATTGACAATAATTTGATCAATCCCTATATCTTTTTGGTTTCCATTTCATACCCATAACTAGTGTAAGCCAAATAAGGTGTTTGCTGGGTTTATTGCCCCATAAACAACTTGAGAAAGAGTCTTCTTGTGGTAGTTGTTGGCAACCTCAGTGAATGATATACAAGAAAAAAGTTGCATGCTATGTACAGCATCTTGGCCATGGACACAACCACAGTGGTACCAAAGGGTCCATTTCTCAGCTTCCCATAAAATGCAAACTGCCACAGGTAAGAGATGTTGAACATCCCCAATCTTCACCTTCATGAGGTTATGTAAACTAATTGACTGAACTATTGTAACCCTCTACACAAGATAAATATTATTCTTTAGTAAGTAACATATATGTATATCAGTGTTTACACAAAATGCTGGAAAGTTTGTTATTTTCACTTTTATTGTATTTGAGAAATATTGTTAAAAAAATAGATAAATGTATGTTGAAAATTTGAAATTAACAATAGAACCAAAGTTCGTTTCACAATTTCCGATAAAAAATACTTCCTATTTTGCAATAAGCTTCAAGTGAAACCATGAAAATCTGATCCATCAAAAAAAGAACCTTTATGTAATATTGAAATCAAAACTTCCTACACTTTTCAGTATCAATCGCTCTCACCCTTCGACAACACCTTAATGATTATCTATAAACAGTTGGCAGAAATCACATGAAAGAACAAAACTAACTGTATACAGTAAAATGAAACATGACAGAATAAGGCTCGGCAAGACGATTGTTTCTACTTGCCTTGACATTTAATCAAAACAAGGAAATATATGTACAAACTTAAAAATAATTATGATCTTACCCTGGTGGAAAATTATGCAAAATACATTATATAAGACAAAAGGCCTGAAGTAAGGCACAGTGATTCTAATTTTAAAAGATTAATTACAAAGAAAAATATGTTCAGATAAAAAGAGCAGACAAGAAGGTAATATTGATATGTACAATCAAGATTTACTCTGTCTGACAAGAAAATTCAGTTAGTATACAGCAATCAAACATTTGATAATATTCTGAAATTTCACCTTGAAGAAGACTTTCTCACTTCATAAGAAAAAATAAGAGAATGCTTTTGAAACTGAAAAAAAGTCACTATGTTTTATGTTTTTTAGCAGTTTCAAATCCATTTTTCCAAGATAAAAAAACACACTAAAATATTCATTGTCAGGATCTAAAAAGCTACCCAACACTTCTAAAAGTATACTCAAGGGTTGTTCCTTTATTAGCAAATCATGGCGAAAACTATGCTGTAACAACAAGTAGTTCAGTGGTACCAAACAAAAATTTTACAAACACTCATATCAGGTGCCTCATTTTAACTCATCAGTACAAGTCTAGATAATCACGTGCTTAAAAATGATAAAAGTCTCACAGATTACATTGGAATTCCTCTTGTATAGAATCAGTCTTCTGGACAAACACCACTTTTGTACATCCTTAATTCATACAGGTATAATAATATCAACCTAGCAGCCTTGACAGTCACCCCAGATAAGCAATATGAAGGTTACAGTGTAAGTAGCTTTCAAGTGTCAGGAAAAAGAAATTGTGACATTGATGAAGACCTCGATAAATGTTTAAATCCACTGAAGGTCAGCCAGTGTCAGTATATAAACACCACCAAAGGTGTCATCTTGTACTATCAATATAGGTGTACTTACCAATTATAAGAAGGGGAAGTTATTTCCAGAGAAAAATAATCTCTATGCACAGAAGTGTACTTTACCTATATAAACTATAGTAAACTTTACCCCCTCCCAAGGGGAAATTTGAAACCCTGGGGTTATGAATTTATAATTTTGGTAATTAAAGCATCTTAAGACCCTTCCATTCATTATTTCAGTATTTGATTCTACCCTCAGTCCCAGGAGGTTAGAAAGGATCCATATGTATGTACCATCAAATTGTCATCCTTTGCCCATAATTCTAACTAAGTTTGAAATACATATTTCCAATGGAAATTAAACAAATTATACTAAAAAATGTACTTTTACTATATAAACCAGAGTAATCTTTACCCCATTCCAAGATGGAAAAAAGAGACCCTTTGGTCTTGAAATTCCTAATTTTGGTAAAGCACCTTAAGACCCTTCCATTCATGAAGAGCATCTAATTCTACCATATCTAGGGGTTAGGAAAATTGCTGAATAATCAGTCCATTTGACTGCTTTTGGCCCCATCAGGCCCCTTGGGGGATTGGACCATATAATTCACTCTTTTGGTTCATCTTAGGTCAGGGAAGGTTTCATCGAATTTGGTTTAGTGGTTTTTGAGGAGAAGTCAAAAAGTTTATGGATGCAACGTCAAACAAAAAGTAATTAAAGCAGACTTTGTCTCAGGTGACCTAAAAATTGATTTAAAGTCTTTTTCGAATGAAGATCTTTTTCAGATTTATAAAACGTTCCTTTAAAATGACTTCCTTTTTCTCTCAAAATCCTTTTATTGTTGGTTTTGATGAACTATCAGATATTTTGTTACCAGTTTTAGATTTTATCATTTTATTCCCAGTGTTATTTGATACATCAGAAAATAGACATGTCAAATATAACATAATCAAATAACAGTACAATAGTGCTGGACAATTAGTAAATCAGTTACACATATACAGTACATTTTCTGTTGTATAAATCTGAATTAAATCAAAATAATATTTTAGAATGCCTTAAATCAATTTAATGGTCACACTAAAAAATAAAATTCTTCCTCAACATCATATGTATTACGTACTTATACTTTTATTTCTCTGGTGGTTTCTATATCTTTCTTGTTCAATATGTAATTGTGCAAGCTAAGTCTAAAAGCTGCTATCTTCTTTGAACTATTATAGATTTTCTGAATTAAAATTGAAGTTATTATTTATAAAATGTCAAATAAGAGAGCCCTTTGTACAGATAACCTTAATTTATCAGTTTTTAAGTTTAAAATCAAAGTTCCTCATATCAACTTTCCAAAATTCAATTATCTTAATTTTCTCAGTTTTAACTAATAGATTTTTTTAAATAAAAATAAAATATAAAAAAAATAATAAAATAAAAATTCTTACATCCTGATAATGGTGGCCGATCCACAATATATCAAATTATTACATGTTCTCTTTTTCACACCAGGTAAAATTTTACAAAATTTAATGTTGACCTTCTCAACATCTAAAGCTTTGTGAAATTCCCATACTTTGGCACTGTAACTTAAAACACAACTTACATAAGTATCAAACAAGAAACATTGTGTATTAACATTAAAATTATGATTTTTATTCCTGTTATTAACTGCAGGGTAAGCTTTATTATCTCTTTCTGTGACATGCTTTTGTGTAACATTAAATATGACATCATAATTGAAAAACATCCCTAGATACACAGGCTGGGAACAATCGATAGGATTTCCTTGACTCTAAACTTGGATGTTTAATTGATTCAAATCAAGCAGGTTAGTTAACTGGCCTCTAATGGTTCTAAATATCAGAGGTCAGTTCATAGAGGTTTTTATCAGGTTAGGTAGATCAAATTTTACAGTAGTTTGGATTCAAAATCATCTCTATCTTTACAGATAAAACAGACACTGTACACCTTATTGATCATGGTCACTGATCTGTTTATAAACAGTTACTGTACACCTTACTGATCATGGTGACTGATCTGTTTATAAACAGTTACTGTACACCTTACTGATCATGGTGACTGATCTGTTTATAAACAGTTACTGTACACCTTACTGATCATGGTGACTGATCTGTTTATAAACAGTTACTGTACACCTTACTGATCATGGTGACTGATCTGCTTATAAACAGTTAATGTACACCTTACTGATCATGGTCACTGATCTGTTTATAAACAGTTACTGTACACCTTACTGATCCTGGTGACTGATCTGTTTATAAACAGTTACTGTACACCTTACTGATCATGGTGACTGATCTGTTTATAAACAGTTACTGTACACCTTACTGATCATGGTGACTGATCTGTTTATAAACAGTTACTGTACACCTTACTGATCATGGTGACTGATCTGCTTATAAACAGTTGCTGTACACCTTACTGATCATGGCAACTGATCTGTTTATAAACAGTTAATGTACACCTTACTGATCATGGTGACTGATCTGTTTTCCCTTGCTGTGTATACTTACCAAACTTGTTGTATTGAGCTAGCCATCTTGACCACAATGCTGTCCTATGTATCCAGCTGTTTATATTAGATAGTGGTGGATTCTGAAAAATTTCAGATACACAAAATTACCGTGACCTAAATCATGGGTAACCTTCCTATTTGATATACACCTACACACATCTAAAATTGTGAATCACTTCAGTGGTTCAAACATTAATCCTCATGACCAATTAATATACAGCCATCCAAATTTTGAGCGAAATTTTTCAAGTACAACTCAGAATACTTTCCTGTCATTTGTACATGCATTTTGACCGCGAGATAAGATGGAAATGGAGATTAAAATGAATTAAAAACAATTCTTTTGATCATACTTCCTTAACGTCAGTTTGGCAATGTTACACATTTAAGAAAAATCAAAATATCACAGAAAAGAATTATCTGTAAATAAGTTATCACAACAAGGAAAGGGCCAAAAGCCAAATATCACAACAAGGAAAGGGCCAAAAGCCAAATATCACAACAAGGAAAGGGCCAAAAGCCAAATATCACAACAAGGAAAGGGCCAAAAGCCAAATAAGTTTGATACTTACTATTTATGAATTTCGAAAGATCAGAATAATTTTCAAAATACATCAAAAAAAGTATTATTTGTGCAAAATTCATTTGCTGTTTGACTGATGATCTTGATAGAATTGACAAAAATTGGCTCTACAGCTTATATGCCAGAGCAACTTATAACCTGAAAAATATGGTAACCAATAAACATGTGGTTTTATTCTTTTCATTTCCATCCCTCTGATGAAAGTCCAATGTTTTGTATAAGTAAATAAAGGAATCCAATTATACCAACATAGAGACTGCTAAATAAAGATTTATCACTATATTTACATTTATACCACCATAAAGTCACACCATGAGAGTGAAGTAACCGAGACTTTTGGGAAATTAGCGACAGAGGTTTGATTCCCCTACGGTATGTGAAAAAGTGAGGAGGTCAACTGCACGACAACAATGGTTTTCTCTATGTACTCCTACTGCATTCCACAGTAAGACCCCTTTTCCACTTCAATTCAGGCCAACAAGAGTGATTAATATTTAAGCTTATAATTAACTTCATAGTTGCTATTATATAAGTTTACTTTAAGTGCCTAAAAAATTGGTAATCAGATAAACATATATATTTTTCTCTCTATAGTACAGGACAAGGTTTTTATCTCACCAGATTTTTTTTCCAACCTAAGAAGAAAAGGGAATAACCTACATCTTACATAGAAGAAGGTACTTTTAATTTTGTTTCCTTAAATAATCTTGTTTATGATTGGTGGTTGAAGTAAACAAAAGTTTCAGTGGTGCAATGCCTTCCTATATCACACTGATAAACTTTCACTACTCAGCAGGTCACAGTATATACTTCAGGTGAAGCTTATCACCACATGCTATCAACACTATTTATAAATACCTGTAAGTTTCACAGATCTAGCTAAAATAATATCAACATACTAAAGATCAGGAAATACACTGAAGTTCAATAATGGAACTGTATGATTTATCTCTATTCAATGAAAATTTACAAATCTACCTCAAAGACTACTAATAATATATTACAAAAAAGATTTTGTCAGTAGTTTCTATATAAACTCAAACAATGAAGCAAGATAATCTTGTTTTTAAACAAAACAATATTACAAAGCACAAGTTTCACTATTGGAGGTTAATACCGGAAAGGTACAAGTGCGTGCTTGAGGAAGTACATGTTTGATAAACAGCATCAATGTACAGGAACTTGGGACTCACAAGCTGTGTTCAGCATTTGTACCAATTGACATGGATTTGTCAGTATACAATATATCTTACATTCTCTACTATATTTATCTGCATTATTGGATGACTGTACCCTGTATAATAACTTGCAATCTTTGATTGACCCAAATTAATATACAACATGGAAGACTTACTAGAGTACTTCCTTAATGTTATTATATCTGACCTGCCTAAACAACATACGCCATGTTTATATTGATAAAATCAACCGATTAATTGAAGAATATGTACCTGATTAATTGGTATAAAACACAATCCAACCATCCAGCTATCTTAAATGTGTCAGTTTTTCCGTTCATCGAATTATTTATCGCCATGATAATGCAACGGAAAACGAAAGTTGAAATGAATATAAGGGAAATAAAAGTGTTACACAACCATAACTGTTTGAATTGAGGACTTATATACAACTCATGTTGTTTTCAATAGCTTAGTAACACCAACAAGTCTTTTCTGATAAAAATATTATCACAATGTAATCCCGACTGTTCGAGCAAGGTATCTGCCGGAAAACTTCGTCCCACGCATTATAAAACGCTTAAAATGGACCATTCAAACAAGAATCTTACCTCCACATATTCTGCCTGTGTCCGTGGTTCCCTGTTCTATGTTGTAACATCTCTATACATATATATGTCCCTCGTTTGAGGATCCCTTGATCCTAAAGAGGGAACCCAACTGTTTAATGCGTATACCTTCTGTATACCTTTTCCTATTCTTAATCTGGTCGTGATATACGGTCGTCCAGACGCTTGTATGTTCCGGAAGTTCCGATGGGATCATCGCCTTCCAGCGCGAATTTGGGAATTTTCATTTCGAGTCGTTTTCGCACCGGGGATTTCCATACTTTATCATTTTCGTACCAATAAATGAATTTCTTAATGTAGATTTAGATATAAATCTTTTTGTAAACTTTTGTCTTGACTAGACTGTTTGTTCGACAGTACATAACCATATGTAAGCAGCTCATCGATAAATAACCGGTATTACGGACTAGATCTGCTGTTGTGAAAAGTAAATATTTTCTGGAGACAATTTTTTAAAGCCACGTCCCATTTTAAAGGGGGTGCATATAGAGATATTAGAAATGGAAAGAAAACAATGGGTCAGTTTATTATCTTGATGTATTATAGAGCTTGTCTTTTTCTGATTATTGATACTGCACGATAAACAGTGGTGTTCATCACCGTCATCTGTTACTTTCTGAATTAACACCTGATCATGATATTAGTATGAATGAACGAGAAAAATTTTCTTTCCAACATGAAATGTATTCATTCTCAATCAAATTTAATAAATGAAATTATTACATAAAACTAACAGTTTATTTTAAATGTAAATTTACCATATTTCTGCTAATTGTTGTCTCTATACTCAATGTTTTTTGTTTCTCTTTGATTAACATATGATAGCCAAGGATAAGAGATGTTCTTTTAATGTATGATACAAATTAACATTTGTTACATTTTAAATTCTAACTGCCTAAAAATCACAAAAAGACACAATATTATCATACATAAAAGTAAAATCAAAGAAATTCAAACGTTTTAACAAAAAATAACATCTGCATGGTGACTTTAACAAAGTGACATTTCAGATGCAATAAGAAAAACACATTTGTTAACAATTTTCTATTTGTGCATAGTTACTTAATTATCTCCCTTTTTCTTGTATCAATCCCTTCAATTGATTGTAATGGAGAAATACTAACTGTAAGAATTACCGCTCTGTATGTGGATTTTTTTTATGTAAGTAAGTTTAAGTGGTAATTCTATAGCAATGATTTAACTGGTATATATGGAGCACTGATCGGTCATAATGCGACGTTGTTTTCTCCGGAATAAATACCTAACCCTACTCTGTTCGTGGACTGTTTTTATCCGTCAGTATAATATTTGCTATGATTGTTATATTCTCGTTAATCATTGATAGTTTTATTGCTCTAGTTTCTGCTGGATTTTCATTTTTGTTGCTTTTTGTCCAAAGTTTCTTTACTTATATCGGGTTTGTCTAATTTCCTGGATGGAGATGGATTTTAAAAAATCATCAATTTTAATTTTGTTTAAATCGTGTTCGACGAGAAGTTGATTTGTTAAAAAGTTATATGGCGTTTTGGCATGTTGGTTTAGTTTGTCCCTGTATTTAGTGTCTTTAACTTCTGAAACTATTTTGTTTGACGGGAAATCGGGTCCTAGCTTTTGTGTTCTGTATTGAAGTATGAGCTTTTTTCCTCCTTAATTTTGATAGCAGTTCACCGGATTTATCATAAATGTTTCTTGATGTGATATGTTTTGCCTAATGCTATTTTGATTGCTTTATCTTGAATTATGTCTAACATTTTTAGTTCATTATCAGAAGCCGAATGGTAAATCTGACACCCGTAGGCTATTTCTGATCTAATGAGTGCTTTTTATAGAGTCAATAGAGTGAATTTGTTTGTACCTAATTTATTTCCGGCAATGTATATCAATGTGTTAAGTGCATTTTTGCAGCATTCTTTTATATATGTGGAATCCATGATAATTTTCTATCAAAGATCATACCTAAGTATCGCGTTTCTTTAACAAACTGAATTTCATCTTCACTTAGGTATACTTCTAGACATGGCTACTGTTCTTTCTTTTGATATTTAAACTCCATTGGTCAGTCCATTCCTGGATAGCGTCCACGGGTTCTTGTATAACATTTACGTTACTTTGAATCTTTTTGTTCCTTTGCCAAATGCTGGTGTCACCCGCGAACCGTGATCAGGCACTCAAATCAAAGAAAAACACTTCTTCTGGTGTTGATAACCTGTCATACATAATATCTAAAAACTGCACACCAAAAGTAAGCAAATTAATTATAGATCTAACAAATAAAATATGGAGTTCCGGTTCATAACCTTAAACATGGAATAAAGCTGTAGTAAATCCATATAAAACCTGGTAAAGACGGTGAAAACCTGGCATCATACGGACCTATTTCCTTAACATCATGCTAATGTAAAACTTTAGGAACCATGATTAACAATAGGTTAAATCATTATATAAGTTCCAATTATCTAATCAGCGAAAAGTGGTTTCAGGAATTATAGGTCAACAGTAGACTTCCATACTATAGCTGTCTTCCCGGACTTAAAAAAAGCTTAATATCCAAATGTCATTATTGTAGCATCGTTCAATCATTCAAATAAACCACGAATCACCAAGCAATACCTTTTCCTTCCCAATCCGGCCAACATGATCAAATAGATATTTAGGTCTCAGATTCAAAATTATAAACAGACATTTTGTCCAAGGACATATTACAGAGGGTAGTGGATGCTTTTCTGGTGTTAGCTTTTGTGTCTGCTCATTGAGCCGTGAAAGCCTTCAATTTGGCTGTGCCCCGTTCACTACAAAATATATGCTGCCTTCTGACTGTCCGGCCTGACCAGAGCCACTTTGTCGAACAGTGGAAAGGGAATCTCCTTTAAAAATTAAACTGGTCAATCGGAATATCATTAAGATTGAGATTTTTAGTGTCACGGATTTACAAATTGCTTTCTTCGATATATGGTGATATTTCAGTTTTGAATAGCTCAAACACGCTTTTGTTTTTAAAAAATCTGAAGTACGCAGCAAGTATTTGTCAAAAAAGTTATCGAGACAAATTTCAAAATTGAGATTTCTACTATACTGTGTTATGAAAAGATAATGACCTTGTGGAGAGAAAAATGGTATATAAACACCCCGACGCTAATTAATTCTAATTGATGCAGTATTTCAATTCAAGATATTCCATAATACCATGTACAATCATCGTACTGAAAATATCAATTTATATATTATAATAAGCATGTTTCTAGAAAATCGTAATAATCAGGTATCAACATAGACACAACCCAGTCAGCACACTGACATCGGGCCGATATTGGCTGAAGGGCGGAATATCGGGAATAATTTCTATAACATCGGTCCAATGTTGGGCCGATATATATTGCAATATTGGATCGATGTTGGTCCGACATCACAGTGCTGGCTGCGAAACATGCATTTTCTAGCATTTGAAACAAATAGTAAAAGTAGAAAAAACAGTTTCGAATCCCTCTATTATACGTTTCTGAATTTACCTAACGTAGTTTACTTTCAAGACTTGGTTAAAAGAAGATTTCATTATGTTGGCGTGCTAGTATCGCATATAGTACATTGTATATCATTACACTGGAGTCGCACTTAAATCACGGACTCGTTGCTTGAAAATTAAGAACATGGATTGATGTTGGAACAGTCTAGCAAATGGATAACTTAATAGAATTGACTTATTGACTGCTATTTATAAATGTAAGTAATAAATGTTAATAAAGAATAAAATGTATGAGTTCACGGAATTCGAGATTAGCTCTGTACTATGTATTTGATTTGGAAAAGAAGCATGGCCACAGCAGAGAAAAAATGTACTTAACGAGTGTTCTATGCAAAGCTACGGAGACAAGAATAATGAGCCATCTGGAAAATAACAATCCTAAGTAAGCACCAATTTGGATTCGTCAACGGAAGGACTGTTTTACAGATGCTAAAAGTTATTGATCATTGGACATAGGTTATCGATCAGGGCGGATCAATCCAAACAGTTTATCTAGACTTTATGAAAGCATTCGACACTGTCCCACATCAAAGGCTCTTAGGCAAATTAAAGGCATATGGACTATCACCAGAAATAATCAAATGGGTTAAAATTTTCTTAACTGGCAGAAAACAGCCCGTAGCAGAAAATGGGGAAATGTCAGACTGGAGAACGGTAACAAGTGGGATTCCACAGGGAAGCGTTTTAGGGCCGTCCCTTTTTGTAGTTACATCAATGATCTTCAAGAACATATTTGCAGATGATAATAATATTTACAGTCATAATGATAACTTGAATCTCCAGAAAGATTCAGATAAGCTTCAACAATGATCTGATAAATGGCTTTTGAAATTTCACCCGGACAAATACCAAGTTATGCACGTAGGAAAGAAAACCGATAATACACCGGTAAACTTATATAGAGACGAGGGAAATGGAAGAGTCGAGGTTACATTAGATCAGGTAACAAAGAAAAGGACCCTGGAATTATAACAGACAACAACCTTAATTTCAACGAACATATTCATGATGCAGTCAATAAAGCCAATAGAATAATGGGAACCATCCGAAGAACATACACGTACTTAGACAAAAAGTAATTCTGTCTTTTATATAAAGCGCTTGTACGTCCGCACCTTGAATATGGGGCCTGCGTGTGGAATCCCTATCTGCAAAAAGACATAAATGAATTGGAAAATGTGTAAAGAAGAGAAACGAAACAAATACCGGGAATGAAGGACCTAAACTATGGAAGTAGACTAGGGATCCTTAAATTACCGACGCAGAGGCACAGAAGGTTGAGAGGAGATATGATTTAAGTATACAAACTAACACATGGAGAATATGATAGGGCTATCGCGGGGGATTTCCTGATACAAAACAATAACAAGATAACAAGAGGGCACAGTTTTCCACTATTAAAAAGAAGGAGCAGACTAAATCTAAGGAAGTATTCTTTCTGTGAACGGGTGGTAAACCACTGGAATTCACTTCTTACTGCCGTTTTAACGTCACCAACAATCAAAACTTTCGAATCCCGATTGGATAATCATGAGAGGCAAACTGAACGTGTTTATAATCATGAACTAGACAATAACACACTGATCCATATTCGGGATACTAATTCTTTTAAACTCTGATCTGGATATATAGGCTTAATAAACCTGCGTCCAGTATATCATCATCATTATTATTATCATATAGATAACGGTAGATCTTGCGATCCGAATCCTTGATCAAAAGTTTTCAGTTGTTTATCTTTAAATTTTAATTGCTACAGTAATGCCTATCAGTTGTTCTGTTCAAATGTATTTTCAAATTCAGGATTTTCTCGCATTTTTATTTGTTTAACCAAATTCATGGGTGTCTTTATCATACACCCCTGACCAAATCAGATGATTTCTTCGTATATTGAATTCAAGAATGTGTGAAATCAAATAGGACATAGAGTCAGACGATGAGAAATTAGCCGTTGAAAGAGAGGCTAAAGTTCACACCTGTCCAGGTAAACCACAGGGTTCTCCGTTGGGGGTTTACTGGCGCGTCCTTCGAAATAATTGACCATATGGATTCATATAATACAACGCGATGTTTTTATTCAACAGATATTGCTGAGCTGAATTGTAACACTCTGATTGTTATAATGTATACTGAAGGTATGTTTTTGTTTTTGTTTTTTTTTGTTTTTGTTTGTTTTTTTTAACATGGATATTTATGCTATCGCGGATTAAAACTGGAAAGAAGTTCGACATGTTATAATGTGTTACCTATATGAAGGCTACACCAGTACCTACTTAGTCTGTAACAGTAATGTGATAAAATCACTCATCCATATAACTGACCGCATTCTACCTGTGGACTCTCGTGCCTACGATACACATGGCATTCCGTAGAAATAGCTGCGCATGACTTAATTTTAATTAATAGTCTCAGCAGTGTTTACAAAATTATGATACTAAAGGTTCAACTGCAGTAATGATTTTTAAACAGAAAGAAAACCGTCGAAAGTTAGAGGCAAAGAAAACGGCGAGGAGAACTTTCTAACATATAAGAATCGCCTTTACAAATCGCTAAAATTTAATAGTCTTCCACCATTTGAAATATAAATTCATTTCCTTTTAAAGCAAAGTGAAAATCAGCCCTCTCTGCATCCTTTGTAACACTGAAAAAGGAAACTATTGACATTTATTTTGAAAAAAAAGTATCCACATCTGTATTGCATTTTTATGCTTCCTTGGTGTACCTCAACATGATCACAACGAACGATCCCCCATATATTAAATCAACTTCCGGGTGATAGTTTCCGGTTTCGGCGGCTATGTTTGAGAGAAGAAAGCCAACATAATTTTGAGTGATCTTCAGTCATGGTGGCGTGGAATTCAACAGAGGCGGAATTCGACGAAGAAAGGGGGGAAATCGTGTTGATAAGTCGCCATCGCCTGCAAGATGATGCACTTAAATTGAACGCAGGAGCAAAATTAGCCAAATGTGTCGGAGCTGTCTCGATCTTATTTGTCAAGTCAGATTTTAATACAGGTGCGTCTCTCGGCGTCTCTTATCAGAATCAAGATTCCGACTAGTCCACTTTATACAAGCTCCTGGTGCATATATTGAACCACATTCCTCATTCTAACGTATTTACCTTGTTATGATATCTGGGCACAAACTAAAGGTGTTAAATTGTTATATCAACCAGAGTGCTACTCATAACCTATGTAGGTTGAACAAATGTTAAAGCAAGATGAAACTGTTTAGAATCGTCCAATCAGGAAAAGAGAGAAATACAGTCATGTAGTAATTCCCTTTAAGCTTTATTGGAAAGGAGCTTTCAATCGAGTTTGTCCATAGATGGAGAGGTTACTTTCTTCCTTAAAGCCTACTCCTTCCTACATGCATGACAAATTTGTGCTGGTGAAAAGACTGGATGCAAGGACCTTAGTTAAAAAGAAGAAGAAGGTAGTAGTGTAACTGTTTATAATCTACTTTTATAACCTGGGTCTTTTAACTGGTTTCAGTCAGTGAGAATTTCCCATTAGTAAGGTAGTGTGAAAGAACAGGGAAAAAACACATTCCTGTTGAGTGCCTTGACCAGGAATTGAACCCTGGTCTCTGGCTTGATAATCGACCAGCTCTACCAACTGAGCCAAATAAACATGCTCATTCAGCTAAATGATAGAGACTGTATTTAACCTATATACCAGCCACACCAAGCAGCTACTATCTCAGTAGTATAGCTTTCACTTAATAGAGAGGATATTAGAGATCCTGTACAAATCTGGCCCCTATAACGCCACCATCTGAAATGGTATTCAAATTACATTTGTTCATGCGGTATGGGTTCTTAGGTCCCTAGTTCTATTCTCAATCTGGCCATGTCATATTTTCCATCTCCTGTTACATTAATAAGTGAAAAGAACAAATGTTTATTCACTTTTTACTGACCATAAGGATTAAATGTGCAAACCCAGACATTCTAGTTCACCATTCCACCAATTCCCACCAAGGTTTCTTTAATATATAGATAGTTTCATTGTAGTTTATAGCATTCCATTATTGGAGGGAAGTTAAAAAAACAGACACTTCCATTCAATCCAGCCACAAGAATTAGAAATCTGGAATGGCGATCAATTTTGATTACCTATATTTATACGTGTTCCATTTCTTCAACAAAAACAGCAACAGTCTTTCCTTTACTAATAGAAATTCATATTTCTATGTTAAATATACATGTTATTAATTCATTGTTTGTCAGCATGCTTTGTAGATTGTCCTTCTTTTATATATTGATATGGATAAATTTTAATCTTTACATTAGATAGTATTTAAATAGGGAATCTTACATAGCCCTTCTGATTTGGAATCATTACATTGGTGAAGGATTTACTTGATTGATCTCCATCAGGTAATTGAAATTTCTGAAAGTTTCAACGATAATGATCATTGTTTGATTGCCTTTCTCGTCTTTTATATAAAAATGTTTTACAATTTTCAAAATAGATAATCATATGTTATGATTTAATTTCAACCATTGTGATAATATGTGGATTTGCTAATTATAAGGTCAACCTTCATTATGATAGATAGTAATTTTATGACAGGACTTAATTTTTAAAATTTCATTCAAGTAACACAGGTACATGTATTGTTCTAAAGATGAACAGTTATTTGAATTGTTGATATTCATTGTTAATTATAACTGAATCATTCTTTTTAATCACATATACTTTCCCTTTTTTGTAGACTCAGTCAAACCTGGAGAGAAAAATAATGATAATGAGAAAGTAACAGTATCACTTCCTGCCTCCCTCAGTGTTGTACCAGTTCCATGTCCAAGCTTTATCCCCTCACCAGAACTTGATAAACATCTACCCGAGTTTCCTGTCACATCTAGTAAACCAATCAAGGTGCTCTCCAAGAAGCCATCTAGTTTTAATCAAACTGCAATTTCTGGCTGGGTTCAACAGGAAGGTGAAGAGGATTTAGAGGAAGACAATGGCAGGGAGGAACCATGGGCCAGTGAGGAGTTATCTCCAATGCCAGCAAATTCAGGGAGAAATGAAAGCAGTCAAAGGAGACCACCTCAGTCATACCAAGCAAAGAAAAGTCAAAAGAAACCCTCCTCGTTTACCTCAGTGGAAGCACAAGGTCTTGTTAGTGGATTGAAACAAAAACTTGATACCATTAATCTACCACAACCAAATGTAGGTACAGACAAAGGAATTGAAGTACGAGGAACTTTTAAAGGAAAAAATACTTTATTAAATAAAAAAAGTACGGGTCCAAACAAGTGTAAATACTGTCGTAAAGTAATAAATTCCTGGGAGTCAATTGTAGAGCATGCACTGGAGGATCATGGCATGATCTCGGAGGACTCGGATGAGGTGGCCTGCCCTATATGTAAGGGCCTTTTCAGTAAGAGGGACATGTCTGCCTTCATACAACATGTGCAGCTACATGACAAGAATTGGCAAAATATGTGCAAAGACAATCCAGCTATGTTTATACAGAATTCAGATGAGCTGAGTTTTACACCTGATCAGGATTCCGACTTGGAGGAAAATGAAGGAGAGATGTACATTGATGATTTTGAGGACGGTCAGTCTGAACCTGACCTGCAGGGTTCCACAAAAAGGAAGAAAGGTGGGAACAGGTCATTTCCACGTCTGAATGCACGTCTCACATCTGAGGTACTGAAGTGTACTGAATGTGGTGACCAAGTCAGCAGTTACAGCAATATTCTCCACCATTGTAAACTACATGAAATGTTCAAACAGTGTCCAGTATGTAGTAAACAGTTCACACTGAGGGGAGGTCTTCTTCGTCACTTCATCACTCATGTGGACAATAGAGTGTTCACCTGTCCATCTTGTGATGCATACTTTACCCGTAAAGATAATTTGAAGAGACACATAGAAAAGAAGTGTAGTGGTATTCCAGGGAGTGGCCTCCTGGCTGGTATTGGGGTCATGGAAAGGCCCCCACAGCAAGCACCAGGTACTGGACAAGGTAAACGTTTCAAACCTAATCCAAAGGAAAAACTTGTCCTGAAGTTTGGTAAGAACTGGCCACACAGACCATTGGATAGCACAGCACCAGATATGTATGAATCACCATCAGACTATGGTACACCAGATTCCAGTAATGAGAATACATCTGAACAAGATTTCAGAGAGACAGACACAGAGATAAAAACTGAACCACAGACTGATGATGACCAGCAGGCATATACTATTGGTATGGAAGAAAACACGGGACATGAACGATCAGACACTGACCAAAACCAATTCCATTTTTCTCCAATACCTGGTCCTAGTAATGAAAGCAATCCAAGACCAGCTCTCAGCTACAAATGTGCTACTTGTGATGTTCACTTTAACAGCATTCAGGAACTTAAGAGGCATGTTGTTGTCGAACACTCTGAGGAAACGCCATCTTCAAGCAATCTGCAAGGATATGAAGGAACAGAAGAACAGGACATTAAACCTACATTAACATTCCCTGGTAGTAACCATTATACTTCTGACCTTGACTACACATTCTCTCAAGATCGCCAAACTCACCCCAGCATCACTCACAAGAGCATTCAAGAAGAACTGCAGGCTATGGATGTGATTGACATTGAGTCACTCGGCAAATTCACTGACATGGATGAGGATAGTGCTCAAAGTCAAAATCAAAGAAGACAAAATGTGACAGGGTTTCCTAATAATCTGATAGGAGATAACAGTGCTCATCCTGCAGGATCCTCAGAGTTAGGAGTAGTGGGAGGGCTAGAAGACATGGGAGATAATTCCTCTGACTCTAATCTACTAGGAGTCGACAGTCCTGATCAGTCGACCAGCATGGACTCATTCTCAGAACGGAATCCAGATTTCTTAAGAAATGTGGGAGTTCCTAAAGGAAGGAAAGGAGCCGTGAATAAGACTGCCCCTATTTGTCATTTCTGTGGCTTGGTTTTTGAACGCCCAGTTGACATTCTCCATCATGGAGAAGTCCATGAACTAGAACTTCCCAATCAGTGTACATGCACGGTCTGTCTAAAGGAACTTAGTGGAAAGGACAGTCTTCTGCGCCATGCCAACTCACATATAGGCCGGTGGTATCCGTGTGATATATGTTCTGCTAGTTTTAGTCGCAAGGACAACTTAAAGCGACACAGAAGGAAGCATGATGAACCAGGAGGCATGGAAATGTTGATGAACCTGATGCCATCTGGTCTGGAGCTGATAAGTGACCAGGATAGTGTAACCCAGTTTCAGGATGCACAGTAACCTTAGTTTAATAACATTACATAATATAGACAGAGATTTACTTATTTGGTTTTTTGATGTAGTCATATTTATTTTGTAGTGAATTTTGTAATCATATGAACATTTTATCAATTTTTGTCAAAAGACAATTTATGTGTTCAAATGTAGTGAAAAAATTTATTTTGAAATTTATTACTCTTCTACATATTCATTTATTCACTCAAATCTATAATGCCAAAGCAGGTTTCTCATGACTTACTAAAAATGTGGCTTACGAGAAAGTAGAACTTATTGGGGTCTTTTTTACAAAAAAATATTATATTGTACAAGAAAATTTAGTTGTATAATAGACGCAAATTTTGAATGAAAACTTCAGCAGTATGTCCTTGAATTTAAAAGTTAGGATCATATTTTGAATTTAAAACACAAAGCCCAGGTTGTTCTTGTAAAGGATATGAAATGTGTCTCTGTTATGGTAGTGATAATCTATCGCTTAGTCACAAGTTACCTCCCTTTGTATGTATGTAATCACTTGTGTGAGTGTATGGAAACTACGTGATTTATTATCGACAGTGTGAGTCTGTAGATGAACAACCATTTCACTAGGTGTGCATTTAATTGTTGTTCATTAAAGTTGGAAGATTTCTATAACGGGTCTGTCTTGCAAGTTAATGTTCATGTGAGCAAATTCTGAGTGAAACCACAGAACTCTGTTATAAAGAACTAGGTATAGTTTTATAGTTTTTGTAAAGATTTTTTGTAAAGAGTTTTGTTTCAGCTATTGTTGTCATGATAACTACCACAGATTTCCGTTAATTAGGGAAAATATAGATATTGCTTCTAACTTGATTAGTATTTGTATAGGTTATAAACAGTAACTTTACACCACATTCTAGAACAATTTTTACTTTTCACCATAAGATTTGGTATCAGGGCCAAGCATTCTCATTTTATATAAGGAATGCACTCTGTGATTATAAGACAAAAACTAAGCAGAAATTTGACAAAATTGACTAAATATTCAGATTTTGTTAATTTTATGCAAATTTCAGGTGGTCACCTTGGTGATCATAGCTGAAATAACAAACATATATTTATTAGAATGGTATCGGGAAGTATTTGCTATTTGAAATACTCTTGTACAATGATATGAGTTTTTAAACTGGTGAATTTGGGGCCCAAAAGAGGCCTTAAAGCTGTTACTTTTACTGTCAGTGGGGAATATTTCGCTTTGTTTACTTTTTGAAAGCTTTTCAAAATCATATATGTGAAAAACATTTTTAAAATCATTTTCTTGAATAGTACTTTAAATGAAATGAAGAACATTGTCTATATCTACAATCTTGATAGAATAAAAAAATGTTCTCTTCTTTATGAAAATCATATCCTAATACTTTTATAAAAGATTGTACAAGATTTTACACGTGGTTATGCGATTTCATTTATATCATTCTCTGCTTTAAGAATCCAAATAATGCTGTATTTTGTTAATTTTAAAAAAGTATAAACTCTTATTATTATATTTAATGTTTTTTTAACGTGAATATGTGCGAATGTTTTATAAATTGCTGTTTAATTATCAAATGGCATATAGTTTGCAATTGTATTTTGCTGGTTAAGGTTTTGAAAATACATACATGTGCATTCATAATGCTAGATATTTTATTCAAAATCTCTTCCTTTACAAACAAGGAAATATCTAATAGAAGTGGTGAGCTTGTAATGATTTTAGGTCATCTGACCTGAAGGGTCAAGATAATCTACTGCTATCGTGCATCGTCATGCGCCGTCGGCTGTCTGTAGTAATCATTGTTGTTGGGGAATCATTTCTTCAACTCAAAATGTTGAATTGACCCCTAGGACCTAGCAGGGGGCTACTCTCCCTTAATACTTAAATGAATTTTAACCAAATTTGGTTTGAAACATCATTGAGGTGGAGAATCATTTCTTAAATTCTGAAATTTGATTCAACTGTTAGGAACCAAGGGGCGGGTGGAGCCCCAGATGGGAAAGGTAGTCAATATTTTATCTTTAAAGTGTTATATTTTCTTAATGCTTACTTGGATTTCAAGCAAATTTGGTGTGAAACATCATTGAGTGTGGTGAATAATTTCTTAGATTCCAAAAGTTGATTTAACCCCTAGGGACATAGGGGTGGGGCCCCAAATGAGGATGTTAGACAAGATTTTACTTCAAAATTGTGCTCTTTCTTACTGCTTGAATGGATTTCAACCAAATTTAGTTTAAAACATTACGGAGAGTTGGGAATCAATTCTTAAATATAGAAAGTTGATTCAACCGCTACTTAATATGACTTAATGATGTTGATATGCTTGAAAGGTTACAGGGGCCAGATATGTTAAAATATATTGAAATTACTTCTTCTCAGTAACCAAAAAGCCCAGGTTGCCAGTAGCATGCCAGGATGTAGGGCTATCATCTTTCTTAATATGAATGACATTGACCCTCTTTCAAGGTCACAGGTATCAAATGTGTTAAAATGTCAAAATTACTTTTTCTCATTAACCAAAAGGCCCACAGTACTGATACTGGACAAACTTTCAAGGTCACAGGGTTCAAATGTGTTGAAATGCTTAAGCAACTCTTTGTATAAATGGTGAATCTTGGCCCCCTGGAAGAAGGAGGGATTGAGCCCAATCTGGGAAATAGAGCAAATTCTTTAAAATCCTATTCCTGTAGGAATGAATGGATATTTCCCAAATTTAGTCTGAAGTATTCTTTGATAAAGGGGAATCAATTGTGTATAAACAGTGGTTCTGGCCCCTTAGGATGGGAGGAGTGGGACTCTGTTGGAGAAATAGAACAAATTGCTTAAAATTCTACTTCTCCTACTATTAGGAATGATTACATATTTCTGAATAGCAAAATCAGTCAGGTGAGTGATGCAGGAGCCTTGGGCCTCTTTTTTCAGAAATGGGGAAATATCATAAAATACACAAAGTGTAGTGTATTTAATCAATAGAATTAATTTATAATTATATTTTACAGTTGTAAAAGAAAAATTACCTCTAAAATACTGACAGGTCTACTTCATTCCAACAACAATATCATAACTTTTTTTAATATCATTTATATTTCATACAATTCCTATTTGAGCTGAATGTTGAAATATTGAAATATTAACTTCTGAAACCTGGAAAAAATCTTGAAAAAAAGTGAATAAAATCAATTACTTTCTTCCTGAAACGGGAATGTCCGAAGTCCAACATGACTTATTGTGACATGAGATGTTACTTTTTATTGCTGTCTGATTGTGTACCAGTGTGTAAGTTCTGTTGTACTTGTTGATGATTTGTAAGAAGATGAATGTTGCTGATATATCTTCATGTTTGTGATTACAATATTATTTCCTACCTGTTGCCAGTAAAGCTCAATCTATGACAGTATAACTATGATGTAAAGCAGCCAGTTATCTCCTAAATGTGATATTCAGTTCATCCAAAAATGAATATTTGTTGTATATAATTTAAAAAATTATTTTGAATTATCAAAATATTGTTGTCAAGCTACATCCTTTTGACATGTCACAATGTCAATAACTTGTTAGCATTAAATATTTCAGCAATATGAACCAGTCACATCTCAGTTAGGTGTTGATAAGTCAGTGTTCTTAAAACAAATTACAAATTAGGTTTTGAGATATGCACATTTTACAGATTTGTTCTTTATGAAGGGCAAAGTATGAAATATTTCCAGTAGATTGTAAACTAAATATACCCTTAAGTGTTCTTTTGATATATAAAATGTAGTAAAATCTGCTAAGTAAGAAATGTGAGATCCACAGGCAAATTAAAGAGATGTGTATCTACAATGATTATTAAGCATTGTAAACTCTTCCATCCATAAATTTATTTTACTATATAAAGAGATCTCCTTACAATTTTTTTGGTCCTTGTGTTTAAAACATGTTTCCCTCCCTATTTTGTTGTATATCTTATGGTTGTGTCCTGTATGTTTATTGTGTCTTTGTACAAATTGTGTTCGGACAACATTTTGGTATCTTGTATATTATTTTCTATGTTCAATGCATCTTGTGTTGTGAATCATCTAATCAGGTGACAGAAAGTTACTTGTATCATTTCTGTACAAGAGTATACACGTTTGATATCAGTGGACCTGATGATGATAAGTTATGTACAATGTACACTGACCATAGTGGTACACATGTGTAGATACGTTATTCCTTATCGTTATCATCCAAAAACTGCTTCTAAGATTCTATATAATCATTTCTGTAATGTGGTTTAGTGTAGTCAACAGCCAATGGTGATGCAGTATGACTGTATTGTGTCATTTTTCTTGGGACAGAACAGAGTTTTGTATGACAGAAAAGAGTACTCTGGTCAGACCAAAGGAATGTATAACAGTACTGTATGACAAAGCAGTGTACTCAAGACAGAACAGAGTATACATATATTAGCAAATGAAATGATAAAATAAACACTGGAATTATAGAAAGTCACTGTAACTTCTGATGAACACATCACAACATCACTGATAGCATGGAATGCATATATGGTCCCTGTAACTCCGATGTTCTCGTCCGAATTCAAGCATGGAATGCATATATGGTCCCTGTAACTCCGATGTTCTCGTCCGAATTCATCTCCTCCTGTCAAATTAATGGGCAATTTCTATTGGCCACATAGGTGGAAAGCTACAATATACACAAGACCAACAGTACCTGACCTAAGGTCCGCCACGAATGTTGTGAGCCCATAGGTTGAAAGCTACAATATACACAAGACCAACAGTACCTGCCCTAAAGTCAGCCACAAATGTTGTGAGCCCATAGCTACAATATACACAAGACCAACAGTACCTGACCTAAGGTCAGCCACGAATGTTGTGAGCCCATAGTTACAATATACACAAGACCAACAGTACCTGACCTACGGTCCGCCACGAATGTTGTGAGCCCATAGGTTGAAAGCTACAATATACACAAGACCAACAGTACCTGCCCTAAAGTCAGCCACAAATGTTGTGAGCCCATAGCT